CTCCTTATTCCCATCCCACCCTACGCCCCTCATCCCTCCTCTAATCTTTCCTCCTCATCATTAAAAACTCTACGGGAGTCGCACCGTATATTTTACAACTGATTCGATAAAAATCACATAGGGTGGTTATAACTGCTAGTATTTCTTAGAGCATTTAACTTAGGCCTAACACCCGGTCATGGCCAAGAAGCATCACTTGACTCGCCTGGTTGATGGGGTTCTGGGAGTTCTTCTACTCCCCAAGCCCAGCCCGAGGCCAGGCTTGACTTGTGAGAGTTTGGTCCACCAGGCTGTTGCTTGGAGCGGCCCGCAGGCCCACATACCCACCACAGCCCGGTTGGTCCGGCACTCCTTGGAGGAATAGATCTAGTTTCCTTTTGAAGATGTCCACGGTTGTTCCGGCAATATGTCTTATGCTCGCTGGGAGGACGTTGAACAACCGCGGACTCTGATGTTTATACAGTGTTCTCTGATTGTGCCTATGGCACCTCTGCTCTTCACTGGTGTTGAATGTTAGACCACCGGAGGCGGGAAGATTGTTGTTGTTATCGATTAAGCTACTCGGAACAAGTTCCAAGTAGCACGGGCTATGGTGAGCCCGTAGTGGACTTACCTGGCACAGGAGCGGTGGCGGGAAGAGCACGTACGCGTTGTTATACTTTATGAAACGGGTCGACAAGGGCATCTGTGGTGGGAGGCCTCCGACGAGAATTAACACCCATTGTCAGTTGCAGCCCTTGGAACCGCATTTGTGGAGTGTTATGGAGGTCAGGCATTACTGTCTAGTACCCATTATATATTACTAGGAGGGGTACCCGGGGGGAGCCCGGTGGGCTTCCCCATGACCCCCCTCCCCCTCCAATAGTCGCCCCCCATTTTTCTCCACTCACCCCCCCCCCCTCCATCCCTTAGTCCTTCCTGCCCATCCTCTCATCCTCCCTCCACACCCCATCTCCCCTTCCCTTCGACCTCCCTCCCTCATTCCCACTCCTTCCCCTTCCCACATTCCCTCCTCCCTTAACCCCTCTTCCCTTTCATAAAAAATATTAAGGAGCAATAAAAGTACTGTATGGATTTAAGGATTTTTTTATGTTGACGAAAAACTCTTCGGTCATATCCATCAATATTTCACACTTGATCAGAAATGAACCCGTGGGAATCGGATGAGGGGTGTGAATAATTACTAATAGTTCTTAAATTATTTAACTTAGGCCTACCTCGACCAGCCTATGTCCGTCCTGCGCCCAAGACCATTTCCCCTATAAGTTTGAGTAAGGCTCGCCTCAAGCGTGTGGCCTCCAACTTTGGACAAAAAAGTGACAGGTATTCTCTTATAGGTATTGATATATTTTATCTACATGAGAGATTAGAAAGCAAATTTTTTATTTTAATAATCATGATATGGCTTTTTTATTTGAGGTAAACTAGATATGGTTTTTTTATTTGAGGTAAACTAGATATGGTTTTTTTATTTGAGGTAAACTAACTCAGTAAATTAACAACACTTAAATATGCCTATTATTCCATAACTCTGCTTAAAGCAGGTAAAATTAAGCCTCTATTAAATAGCAGTTAATGATATCAATATAATTTACTTATCTCATTAATTTGTTTTGCAAGATGAATATAAGAACAAATATCTTCCTACTTGGCAAAATAGACCTTGGCCACTTAGCGGCTATCAAACAGAAGAGAAGATTGACCAGATTGCATCTTCCGTGCTTTCCAGGAAACATTCGACAATGTCAACTGCAAATTAATCACCCCAAAATAAGTGACAAGTTCAAGTTCAAGTTCAAGTATGTTTATTGAGATAAGCAATAAATACATCTCAAAGGGAGAGAGTAGCTTAGGCTATTTCTACCCCCCCCCCCCCGGAAATAAGTGACTACTAGAGATTAATCCCAACTCATAAATGATTCCTGGAGATTAATCCTGTCAAACAAATTATTACTGGCATATTAGTCCCAACAAATAAAGGGCTACTGCAAATTAAATCTGACAAATGTAAAATACTGGGAATGGTGTGGGCGGAAGAAGGAGCAATATCGTTATAAAGGATGGTAGCTACATGACTCAGAAAAAATATGATGACCTTAGGGTGGAACTCACGCCGGAAGGGCGCATAAAAAACTGCCATCAGCGAACACAAAACTGTCTATCTATCTAAATATAAATATAAATATAAATATATATATATATATATATATATATATATATATATATATATATATATATATATATATATATATATATAGATAGATAGATAGATAGATAGATAGATAGATAGATAGTTGAATATACGCCTGGGGACTATTCAGGCTTGTTCGCATATATAATATATATATATATATATATATATATATATATATATATATATATATATATATATATATATATATATATATATATATATATATATATATATATATATATATAAAGAGAGAGAGAAATAGATAGATATAAAGATAGATAAATATGTTTCATTGTATATGACATATTCGTTTCATTGAATATTCAATGACATATTCGTTTCATTGAATATGACTGCATATTGCGTGTTGATTATTTTCCTGTTTAAGGCTTCTATCCCTCTAACTAATGCTCTTGTATCTTGGTTTAATTGGAAGAGGATATCTCCGAATGTGATATTTGTTTAAGGTTGACTAAATTAACAAAAACTAACTATAATGTATTATACTTAATATAAATTATACTACGTTTTTAACCTACAAGGTTCATTCTCAAGTGAAGAATGACAAAATTCTTGTTAAAAACAAGAGACAAATGCAAAAGGAGTGTTCGAAGCATAAACAAGTAATCAATTAAAATATTATACACAGCCTATGTTGAATGTTGTTGTTGTTGTTTAAGATTCGCTTCCTGGAACAAAAAGTTCCAAGTAGCACGGGCTATGGTGAACCCGTAGCGCCTATGTTGGAGTCGGACTAGTATAGTCCGATAAGTGACGCCGGATTGAAATCTACTCCTTACAACACTTACCAAATGTATACCTTCTTTGATCTTTTAAAAAATACTGATATCTGAGATAAGCAGCTACAGCTTCGAGATTATGGTTAATAAGCAACTGAATTTCCTATGCGTTAGACGGGAGTAGAACTAGAGGAGACATTATACAGACGTATAAGATACTAACATATTGACAAAAGGGAGAACGACAAATTATTTAAAGAGAAGCAGAACGAGAGGATCACAGCTGGAAACTGGAAACCCAGAATAAACAGATGACACCCAGAGATATACAAAAGTATACATCAATGTGGGTGTATTGGATGGATGAGATTTATAGATAGAAGACGTAGTTGAAGCGGTAACAAAACACAACTTTAAAAGTCAATACTGTATGACAAAATCAACTAAAACTGTGAGCAGATTTGCACGGAATAGGCTACCTTAAACAGGAGAGGCGAGTTCAAGAGATATTTCTCACTTCCCACAACTGCTATTGGGTAAGAACTATTAGGTAAGAACACATATACCCACGCACATCCCAAAACATACACACACACACACACACACACACACACACACACACAGAGTGTAAACAATGACTGTACAACAGTCATTGTTATATAGATATAAAGACCATTTCCGTAACAGGCCACACCTCTCCACCTTCAACCAAAATTCCCACTCGTTTGTTTAAATGACACATTGCTTAGGTTCCCCTCGCCCGCTTGTGGGATTTAGTTTAAAGCCGAGTTTTGTTTTTTGGCATAAAACTGCCGTATGTTAACTGTTATAAGTTTTAATAGGAAGTTCTCAAGCGCTGTGCCTCTCAGAGTGTACGAAAAGGTAGAGGGAAGCGCTGTACTCTTTTATCTTTACGTACCTCGTGCTGAATCATTATTTGAATACGAGTGACTGTGCTTTGAATTATCTAGAATAACTAGTTCCACTGCGTACAGTATATGTTCTAACAGTTTAACCGGCCAATACAAATTAACATCATACAATGTTATTTGTATTATCACTCAGAAACTTTAGTCCCGTCATATGATTGATTCCAAATATTCTATCTTGAATGCATGGTATATTTAGTTCTTTCCATATATTGAGAACATTGGTGGTTATTGGACAGCCAAGTATAATTCAGCCCATCTTCCAGTTTTGGTAGTTCTTATGGTAACGACGAGGACCATAGTGTGTGTGTATATATATATATATATATATATATATATATATATATATATATATATATATATATATATATATATATATACATATTTATATATATATATACCGACGTACAACGAAATCAGAAAGTAGAAATCGGCACTATTGAGTTGGACAAACCGGAAAACTATTTTTTACTTGTGTTGCAAAGACTAAACTAACCTTCCTAGGCCTAATACACGATATCTGAGGCCTAATATAGTACATATGTGTGCTATACTAGGCCTAGGAATATTAAAGTTTGCTTTTTAGGTTCATTTTTTATAAAAGAATTCCTTACGAGTCAGTATACTTCTATCTAAAAGCTAAGTATGTACGAATTCGTGACTATTGACAATCGATAAAATAGGTACTATCTAAACAGGAGGATGGGTTCCATAATTCTGAGGGCTTCATTTTGCATTTTTTCCAGTCTATCACTGAGAGTTTACTTTAGTCCTGGACTATGTTCTAGACTAAAGCATACTTGCTAGTTGGTCTGTACGTTAACAGGCCTAAAACCCAACACCAACGTAAAAGAAGGACCTTGAGGGGGAACTGGGAATTGAATGCGCCGCGCGCAATGATATAGTCCCGCGCAATTGATCGTTAATTATCATATCAATATTTGCGGGGACGTTACGGGACCTCTAACAGAGCGCAGAGGACTGTGCACATTTTAAGTTAATCATATTTCAATGATACGCGGAACAGACAGGCCTGACCTTAGCCACGTGGGTTTTGTTTATGTCAGCGTAGACCTCGCCCTTTGTACGGGTCTGTGTATATAGAGCGGTGAGACAAGGGAGATGTGTCAGTTAGACGGGGAAGCTTACACTAAGCACAGGTTGTAGCTGCGCTCAACAGCATACCTATTGTAGTCAATACAACTCCTGCTCTACAACTGTCTTCAACAAAATCTATCAAGGTAAATTTACATGTACAATGCACTAAACACTCAGTTTCTTATTGTTTGACCAACATATTTATTTTATGTTATTCTCCAGGTTACTCTTGAATCCAGTAAATAGTTAACGTTGAGAGGTCTTATCTAGGTGTCCCCAGGATATCTTGAGATGATTTCGGGACTTAGTGTCCCCTCGACCCGGTCCTCGACCAGGCCTCCACCCCTAGAAAGCAGCCCGTAGCAGCTGTCTAACTCCAGGTATTTACTGCTAGGTAGCATGGGTATCAGGGTGAAAGAAACATTTTGCCCATTTGTCTCTGCCTCCACCGGGGATCGAACCCGGATCCTCAGGACTACGAATCCGAAACGCTGTCCACCCAGCTGTCAGGTGCCCTTGTGTACAAGCTACAGTGCTACGGACAAACTATAGTAAATGTGGATTTTATACACAGAAATCCTCGCCACGGCCCTTGTGGATTTTAGGGTTCGTATTTCAGATTAGCTTATTTATTATGCACCACATACCCATCCTGTAGGCGGTGGTGGACCTCATACCCATCCCGTGGGCGGTGGTGAACCCCATACCCATCCCATGGGCGGTGGTGGATCCCATACCCACCCCGTGACCAGTGGTGGAACCCATACCCATCCCGTGGGCGGTGGTGGATCTCATACCCATCCTGTAGGCGGTAGTGGTATGTGGTCCCACTCACATACTATTAATTTTTCTTTATAAAATGCAGTCTTATTTCATTATACTCAAAATCTTAATGTATCAGTATGCCATGTTTTCTGATCGACACAGGAGAAAGGGTTGGTACTTAGTATCAACTTGAGAATACTGTAATATAAAAATTAAAATAGAATTAATGCCTTGATGGAAGCTGACGCTGTATTGACTGAGTTGGAAGGTATATAAGAGGAAGAATTCTGCGCTGCTTTTCACGAATATACCAGTTATTTTCAGGAGTAACCGACTTTTTTTAAGATTTAGTTTTTTCCACTACATAAAGCCTGTAGGGAATACATTATGCCAATTATATATTCGCTCCAAACTCTCATTAACCTAATGAGAGTTTGTGCTACTCTCATTTCAAATTCATTTTGCATTTTACTTGTTGCAGACAATGGCCAACGTGAGGCTTCTCCTATGTGTCTCCTATGTGTTAGGAGTCAGTCTTGGATCCCCCGCCATCTCCCCGGAAACTGTCGATAACTCTACTGCAAAGATAAACACCACTCTGAACACCTCGCAAACAGAAAGAACTTTGCTCACTTCGGAAGCTTCGGCCGATGCTCAGAACTCAACTGTGCCTGAGCCTGAGGACAGATTGGAGGACGGGTTGCCGAGCAAGTCGGCTTTACCCGACGATATAGAAGAGAATGGAACAGATCGCACATTGAGCTCGGGAGGTAACGGGTTTGGTAGATATGGATCTGCAGGAGGCCTCCAGGATGTGCCTAACGACCTCTTCCCGGGACCTTTAAGCCCTCAGGAACCCTTAGGGCCACCGGGTCACGTCGGCCCGCCAGAGCTTCTTGGTTCTTCGGGTCTTCTGGGCCCCGTAGATTATCAGAATCCACTGAACTCTCCAAGTCTTTTAGGTCCACCAAAGCCCTTGGGACTTCTGGAATCTCCAGTTCCGACCCAGAAAACCTTTATACCCGGCCAAGGCTATTCCAAGTACAATACGGGGTGTAAACACTACTGCCCTGGCTTTACTCCTGGATCCTTCTACTGCTGCAACCGTGAGTAGAATTTATCACTTATCTTTATATTTATCGACTTTGCATTCCACATCTTTCATGATATTTTCATTCCTCACTATTTATTATCCAAATTCAACAGTTGCATCGCTGATTGCCCCTTTCTACTGTTATATTTTTCAGATATTCCCTACAATTTTACCATCACTGCTCACTATATTTAAGAAATATTACATGTTAACTCCATTCATCTTTCTCTGCTGCATTCAACATTTCTACACCTCAACCTGTAGCTTTCCCAATATGCAAAATGCATAGTAAATGTGCAGTGGTCACAAAGATAGTTGAAGGTTTGTTCAGGAGTGTGAGATAGTTTGATAAATGTGTGTTAGGTATTGATGGTGGAAAGAGAAGGAAAATCATTCTGCCCTAAACTGTGTGAAATTGTGTTTATGGAGAAGTGCTGAAAGTTGTTAATGAATTTCACTGGGGTATGTGATGCCTTTTGATAATTATATTACATTATCTGAGTTGTGGGATGAACGAAAGAGGAATTTGTAGAAGCAAAGTTGAAAATAGAATGAGTTAAGAAAGTGGCTGGTGCTGTGAAGCCTTGGTTAAGAAGAGTAAGATAGAATTATCAACAGCCCTATGTATAGGAGCACGAACACAGTGTTACATCAGTTGAGATAGACAGTCTGAGGTGTGTATGTACTCACCTAGTTGTACTCACCTAGTTGTGTCTGCAGGATCGAGCATTGACTCTTGGATCCCACCTTTCGAGCATCGGTTGTTTACAGCAATGACTCCTGTCCCATTTCCCTATCATACCTGGTTTTAAAATTATGAATAGTATTTGCTTCCACAACCTGTTCCTGAAGTATGTGTGTGTGTGTGTGTATGTGGTTTTAGAATCGATAGAATAAATACAACCAATATTATAAGAGTCTGCAAATTGTAAGTTTAAAAGGTGTCTAAATGGTTTGGTCATGTTAAACAAATGAATGATGATAGAAAGGCGAAATAATCTTTAAGTTCAGATGCAAGGAAAGTCAAGAACAGAAGCCAAAAATTAGTTTGTGTAGAATTGTAGTTTAAGTGCAAACAATTAAGGTGAAGTGGACTAGAAAAAATCTAAGTGGAAGCAGTGTACTAAGAGGAAAAGAAAACATTTTTGCAAATGACAACTTATGAGGAGCATTTGTTGAGGATAATTTGGAAGTGTGTGGTACTCCTGGTTATCGTGTGTATCATAAATAACGAGGTTTGGCGAATACCGGGAATCTTTTTTTATATAAATATATTTAACAATATTGTCTTGTATTACCCATGCATCATGTCCAAGCAAATACATCCCTATCTCATGTAAGTATGATTGAAGGGTAATGATGATGGTGATCTCCACAATTGCAAGTCTCCCTCTGCATATGTCTCAACACGTTCATAAATATGAAATAATTACTGTATATACTTTCTGTAGAGATGTTGTTCAAGATACTCAAGCACGACTGCCCCAATGCCCCTTTCTCAATTGATAAAATATTTCTAAAATGAATAAACATATCTTGGCATATTTTGATACACAACACAAACTACTGTACCACTTGCATGAAGTCATTGAACTATTGATCCTGCAACTGTCATGTGGTTAATCAAATATTTGAGGCTCTTAACTGTATGGAATATTGTCAGTTAAGGTGTATACCACAAGATAGACATTCATTATTTCTCTATTTGCTAGGAAGTAAAATTATTATTATTCCTACAGAAGCCCCTTCATTAGGACGACCGGTCTGTCCACCACTGAGAGAGTCGTGTCCTGATACTTTTCGTCACAGTTCTGTACGATTCTGCATAGAGGACAGAGGATGCCAAGCCGACGAGAAGTGTTGTCTGGATGTTTGCATCCAGCGCCATGTCTGTAAATCTGCAGACTGGCTGAGGTGAATCCAGTAGTTCTCCCTAACCAACACAACACAACTAATCATTAGGTCTTAGATAATTAGGGGATAATTATAATTATCCACCTACCTTCTCTTATATATATATATACTGTATTATGTATTATATGTATTATGAAATAAAACCAAGACCATATTTGCTGCCATTTTCATAAAACCGTGCCAAAAAAAAGCACTAGTGATTCCCTGATATATATATTTTATATTTTTATACATGCTCGCATGAGAAAAAAGTATACTGTACTATTGGAAAGAGATAAAAAAATATCTAGCAGGAATTTATTTCACTCCATACATGGACAGAATAAAATGCATATTAATGATTTTAATTCTTACATAGTTCAACCATTGTACAGAGTCCCAGCCCATAAATGAACTATCAGATTCCATAAATGAAGATTTTTCTATTTCAATCCTCCATTCCTTATCATCATGCCATTTACTTTCTAGAAATATGAAATTTAACATTTTTAGAATATGATTTTCATAAAAATGTAGAGAATAATTTGTATATCCTGAATGAAACAGCATGTTTCAAAAATAAAATAGGATTACTGTACATGTGAAATACGAAATGCACAGATGTGATATTATTGTACTAAGCATAAGCATACAGTATTATAATGGCGTGTTATCCCCAAAAATGGTATACCATACCATTATGGGGCAAAGCCCCACATTAATTAAACAATATACAATACTGTGCAGCACAGCATAAGCAATACCATACAGTATTCCACACTGAAGTGAAGATAAGCACCATGCATCATGCCATTAATAACTTGAGAGAACTTTGCCGAGGATGAAAAGTCAAATTCCTTATGATTAAATGGATTCCAACTGACATTTTTGACAATTGACAATACACAATTGACAATAGTGGGCTCAAGTCTAATTGGTGTTTGATAAGTTGATGTTTTAAATGTTTTGATAATTAAAATAACACCTACTCTAAAAGTAGATACTGAATATAACGATATCTTGTAGGTGGACAAGATACTTTGGAAAGTTTAATACTGAATAAAAAAGCCAGATTATACATTACAATACTGTAATAACAAAATGTAAGAATATAAAGTACAGTATAGTACTGTACTGTATAGTGCTCAGTACTCATATTAGCATGATCCATAATAGGTCCCAGAATGGAACTCTGACTGACTTGTTCTCACACTTGAGTCGATGTGGAAACTTATTAAATGACTGCTAGATAGTTTTATTGGTCATATGTAAAGAAGGAACAAAACTGAAGACAAGATAAAACTTAAGAAATATATATCAAACAATGATAAGAGAAATGTCTACAGTAAATATATAGAGGAAGAATGTATGGAAAATAATAATAGAAAATTGTGATATAATTATGCAAAGTATGAATAATAACAATAATAAATATTAATTAATAATTATAAAAAGGTGAACAATTAGAATGAAGCACTGTACACAGAGAATAACAAAGGGAGAACAGTAAATCATTAAGATGGAATGTTATTGAGATCATTAGAGAAGAATAAAGAAGTGAAATGTTAGACAAAACTTGTGAAACAGAATGTAGATGAAGAATTATGAGATGCTAAACAAGAAATACAATAAAGACATTATCTGATATAAAATACAGTAGTCACTTAACCCCCTAAAAAGTAAGGTAATAGATGGAACAATGTGTCAGAGATATATGGATAATGAATTTAGTTTTGAACTACTACAGTACTGTACTGTATATTTTTTCCATAGCTACCAGAAAATTCCATTACTTAATTTTAAATTACCAATGAATGCAGGTAAATCTTTCTGGGTGCTGTACTCTGCCTATCTCATCAATATTAGTAACATAATTTCGAGAGCTGGCCAATGTGAAACAAAATACCATCTGAAACACTTGAAATTTATAAACTTTACACTTTTCTTTTAAAGCATGAGTACAAAGATTGATACCTATCGGCATTGTATATGAACTTGTACTTCTGATTAATTTTTCTAATTATGAATGAAAATACTGTAATAAAAGACAAGAAGTGTGAGTGAAGTATGTTTAACTGTACAATATATGGTGTACAGGCATGGTAGTACACTACTAAAGTAGACTGTACAATACATGGTGTGCAAGCATGCTAGAACACTACTAGACTGTACAATACATAGTGTGCAAGCATGGTAGTACAGCACGAAGATAGACTGCAATGGTCAGCACTTTGTTTAGCAAAACATCATATCACACACAGATGCAAAACAAAAATACTATGAAACGTTTATGTCAATACCACTTTAATATTACAATACAGTATTCTAATGAGGATATTAGATACTGCCCAAGTGAAACAAAAACAAATTTTCTGCATATTTAAAAATGGTCTACTGACAAAGCACATAATTGTTTAAGTACAGGTCTACTATAACCAGTCTATTACAGGTAAATATCAGCAATCATAACAATGGTACTACTCTATGAATTTCTGTATACCAATTACACCATGTAACATCACAGTATGCAAATATTATTTCACAAAATTACATTTACTGAAACTTTGGAGACCATTCAACAACAAAATATTTTATTAAGGTGTATTAGTTGCAATTTTTGCAATATAAGCTTATATAAATAATGCATTAACTATCAGAATGTTGGTTTGCTGATTAACTGTTCGTAGAATAATCAGATCTTGGATTATATCATTCAAGCATAATATAATAGTGTCATCACCATCTCTACTCTATTTCTCTTTTCATGGAGTGTGGAATTAGTAACAGATAAGAAATATATTGCAGGAAGAAGAGCATATGAAGGAGTTAATAGTGTAATGAGTGACTGGTTTAACATCAATGTATGTGTTTACCAGGAATGTACCAGAGCTGTGCAATATCACCACGGTACTTTAATGTAAATGTGGATGAGGTCATGAGGGTGGTCAAGGTAAGATTATCAGAGAAAGATGCAAATAAAGGTGTAGTATGACACATAAATGTGAATAAAAGTAAAATTATGGTGGTAGAGAGTGAAGGAAATTGTGAAATAGTAATTAAATGAATGTGAATGAAAAAGGGCTGTAAGTGGTTAACAAATTTAAATATCTAGCAAGTGTGATTATTTTCCTATGAATTTGTGCAATTAAAGTTGAGACTAGGGTCAGTCAGGGAAGGAAAATGATTAGTGCAATGAAATTCTTGGTTAGGAAAAACGAGATAGGAATTATGCACCAAACAAAGGCAAGGTAAGGTAATTATCAGGAGAAAGCATTAAGCCATTATGACTATATAGCATTTGGAATTAGATATGAGGATAATGGTTAAAGAAAGTATGGAGGAAAGGAATGGTGTCCAACCATTTAGACAGTCGGGGATTGAATGCTAACCTGCAAGAAGCGAGACCATTGCTCTACTCTCCAGTCCAAGTGGTTGGACAAATACAGCCAAAGTTTGCGTAAAGGAGAGGTGAAGCCAATTTATATACAGTACATGTTTGTGAAATGACATAGACAATCTGAGAAGCATTTGTGGTGTTAGAATACAATAAGGAAATGAAAATATTATAGAGATATGTTATGTACAAAAGTCAATAAACTACCAGACTGAGAAGAGATATAGTTTGAGTACAGTATATTGAATAAATGGATGATGGTTGACTGATGAAGGGTGTGTAAGCCAGTACAGCAAGTGTGTGTGTGTGTGGACACTGGCAGAGTGAAGAACAATGGGATATTGTCAGGAACAAGACTTGGTGAAAGTAGTTTGTAAGAAGGAAATAAATGTACATAATCCAGGTGTTATATATTTTGTTGCATATCATAATTATGGCACTGTCTTAAATCTTTCACAGATGCATGAAATAAATTAGCAGCCATCAAGCCTAGCAAACAAATGATGGAAAAGAAGCATTGTATTACCATCACTAATGGTATTGAAATGTGTGTACGTTTTATTGAGGCACCCTATATTTATAAGTAATGTACAGGTACTGTATATGACAATTCAAGAGGAGTTCTGTTCACCTGGGTACATGAAAGAATAGGTTCCTGCAATGGATGACTGTTGGGTTGTGCAGTACAATAGTGCTTGTTTATCCATGATACTATATACTGTCTATGATCAATAATCTGAAATATATAGGACCCCACACCATTCAAGTTAGCCAAATGTTTACTTGGAAAGTCCAAATACTGAACAATTTAAATTTATTTGGGTTTTTATTCACCACAAATCTCAGTAACACAAATTTTTATTCATGTTGGGCAGTCAAAACTTTGAACTAAAATTTATGTGGATTATCCAAAGATTCAGGAACTCGGATTACCGAGCTCTTACAGTAGTGGACTGTGAATGATACAATAAATGGACAAGTGACAATTTTAATTCATACTATACAGTATTACACATCCAATAATTCTGATCACTAGGCTGATGCCTTTCCACCTCTTGAAATTGAGAAATGGTAATTTAATGAATAATGTACGTATGTATATGTATACAAAACATACTAAATCAAAACTTCTTGTTACTCAACATGAGGTTGCTAAACATGAGTCTAATCAATAAGTTCATAGTGGTGTATATACAGCATACATAAACTACTTCTGATTTCTTAAAGCAAATAGCAAAAAATCAGCTTTGAATGTAATGAAACACTATTTTCTGGGTGAGCCCTGGAGGCTCCCTGGAGCTATCAGGCTAATATGCAATATATTAGTCTAGGGCATTAGTCAATGGAGGCCTACCAGGAACCACAAGCCGGAACCTCGTCCCCTTAGAGAGGCAAGGGAGCAATGGCCTCTGGAAACCCCCCCTGTGGTTAGGGGTATTCCTTGTCTGCCATTGACCAGGATTAGGCACCCAGAAAGGTAGGCATAACAAAACAAACCTCACTTGGTAAGAAAATTTTAACCGAAAACCGAACAGGGTTCGGTTTTGCAGTTTGCACTCCCCCAACTCTCAAGGAAACGAGCAAACAAGCAAACGTCACACCACCACTGCCGCTCATCCGCACAGCCCTCTCCTTCCTGGGAGGGAGAAGGATGAGCCCAGGACCCACCGTGCTGGCTACTCAACCCCAGTTTGGAAGCTAAGCATGAAAAACAAAATGAAACCGCCGACCAGAGGGATGGAGGGAGGAAGGGTGCCAGGGAGCCCCCAAGGCTCACCAAGAAAATAGTGTTTCATTACATTCAATGCTGGTTTTCTGTGGGGAGCCCCTTTGACTTCCTGGAACTACATTACCCAAGATAAGTAAAAGAGGGACTTACCCTGAAGGCAGCCGCCACAGCTCCTCAACTCGAAGGTGAGACAATTGGCTACAACCTGCGACCCAAAGCCACACACGAACACCCAGGACCAGGAATGTTTACCAAATAATGGGCAGCCAGGACCCTGTTCGACCTCTAAAATCCCTGCTCCTGAATGTCAGCCCAAGACATGTTGCCGAAGACGGCAGCCAAAGCAGCAAACTTATGAACGTCATAGGCACAAGGATAGTTTGCAGGCTGGCTAAACTAATAACCCTGTGGACAACCTGGGAGACCTGAGCCCTGGAACAGGGAATGACAGAAACCGGATCAACCCAAAACGCATCGCCGGCCATGGAGGCCCAGGCGTGCAGATAACGGCAAAGAGCTGCATCAGGACACAACACATGATACACTCCTGGCCTAACCAACTAAACATCAATGACCCAAGGGCTCCTCTGAAAAGCCGCCGTCTCGTTCTTCGCCAGAAAAGAAGGAGACAGCTGCAACCGAACAATCCAACCACCAGGACCGAAAGTGCAGAAACTCCTGCACCAGAGGAAAGCATGGAGCTTGCCAACCCAACCCCCAGAGGCCAATGCCAACAGAAAGAGAGCCTTGGAAAAACAATCTTGAACCAAAGGCATCACCACAAACTGAGGAGAAGAGAGAAAAGAGAGCACCCAGTCTTACGACCAGGACGGCTCAGGCGGCGCATGAGCAGGCCAGATGTGAAACAAAGCACGAGAAAGCTTACGGAATGGGGCAGAAGAGACATACACCTCAAAAGCAAGCTGGAGCAGCTCCACCAGCATTGCACGATACGAGGCAACAGTATTCGGCATCAAATGACGATCTTGAAAAAGCCAAGAAAGAAAGGACAAGACAACCCGATCAGAAATAGAAAACAACCTACGAAGAGACAGAAAATAGCGAAAAGAATGGCAGGAAACTTCATACTGTCGCCGAGACGAAGCTCACAGGTGGGAACACCATCAATAAAGCCACCTGATCACCATACAGATAATGATAAACCCCGCTTCAAAAAGACCACATGCAAAGAGCGATGGAGTAGCCTGAACCAGCCATGTACCGGACCGGACCGATTTGCTGAAAGAAGCGGAGCCCATATAAGCTATTTAGACTTCTAACACGACATTGATAGATCCATCCTCAACAAATCATGACATTTACAAGATACTCTCACTTCTGATGTGCCATGAAATATCTTGAACAATATTTACATGGTCTAACCGGTACTCTGCATACTACAACAGTTATCAATAAATTAAAATACACTTAATACTCTACTGATATACAATACATTTAAAAAACACAAAAATCCTGTGACAAGAAAATAGTATAACAAGCTACATACGTTCTGAACCTGTTGCTCGTAGTCACCACTACCAGGTGTGAACTACAAGCTTCATGTATCAAACTAATGGGACTACCCAAGTTATTTCTTACATGACAAAGATTGTTAGTATTTTTACACATTTTTAACAGCTCTGAACTTAAAGAGAAATTGCTTTGTGCACTGTACGAATTGCTGAAGTTACAGAATTCAGTAGAAACATATAGCTGACTATTTTATATTTCTTTCTGATTCAAAATCTTCAGTGATATATAAAAACCTATTAGTGCATATACCCACTAATCATTATACAGGCACTACACTAATTACAATACAGTACTGTATATCCAAAAATCAATTGTTTTAAAGTCTGAATTATCTCTAGACTTCCAGGCCGTGTATATTAAAAACACTTTTAAGCTTCGAGTGCAAATATAAAATGAAACCAATGAAAATTTATATCCACAACTATTTTCATATATTACAATTTGTTTGTCATTTACAGTAACAGTTTAAAAAAATGTAACACAAAGAATGATTACCGGTAGCCATTACTTGGCTAATAGCCCTTGAAATGTGAATACCATCTTAAGATCTTCAACCCATGCCATATCATCCCAAGATGTTTTATGTACTTTACAACTTTTGAAACTCCCACTGGTACAGTACATGGTCGGAGACCGGACCACAGGAATGTTGATCCCCAGAACCACCACAAGGTAAGGAAGCCTCTAATAAACATCTGCCATCTTGGGATGTTGCTGTTGTGCTTAGGACACGGGTTTTAACAACATAGGAACACAAAATCTTCTTTTGAATACTATTTTTCTGTGCGCATACAGATAATGCCTGATGTATTCCCTTGTACAATCCAAGGGTTAATAAAATGGGAGTAAGTTAGCTTACTCCCATTGAAGAAGTGATGCATATCACTGCAGCATGGCTCTTCTGTACTCCTAGTCAGTGAGAGCAGACTGTTCTTCCATCTGACACTGCTAGTTGTGGCTCCAAATCAGTCTCTAATGTTTCTATTAACCTCACAATGCTCCAATTGTACACAGGTATTTGCAAATTTCCCATTTTAATTGTAAATTATTTGTTATTAATGCACACCTCAGTGTAGTACTTTTAAATAGCTGTGCAGTTAAGGGAGGTTAAATATCTTACAACTTCTTCTTATTTATCAAAACATCAAGCATATTAATGATGCCAAGATCATAAACTATATTCGAGCCATAATAATTTTGGAATAACGACACTAAGATCACTTAAAACAAAGATACATACAGTATTATCTATTAACCTTATTCTTAAGTCACCTAAGTTATATTACAATTAAAACTGTTATTGAAAAGACCTTCACCAGCAAAACAGCAAGGACTAAAATTAAGATTGGAAGATGCATTCAGTTTAATGTGGAGCAAAAAACAAATACCCTTAGTAATGTTTAAAACTACTGCACAATTTAAATTATTATTAATTGTATTTGAAAATGTAGCGTAGTCAGTTTAAGATGTGTTTAGTAGTTTGAATAGTTAGCAGAGGCAGTTTAGAGTCCTTAGCAGTTATAGTACCAACAATCCAGAAGGGTACTAGATAGATGTGTGTCCCACACCCCAGAGCAATAGATCACCTGCTTCCAACACTCAGCATCTCTTCATAGGGAGGTTGGTAGTATGGTGGCCCAGGTGATCTGTAGTCACGAGTTCCATTCTACACATTACACTTCAATTTGCTACATGTATGCCATTGTGAATTTCAGTAAATGTGTATAATGTATGTACTTGTGATGTGTGAGTATGTGTGTGCATGGATATACACACGTGTACTTGTGCACACATTAGACACCAGTTATTCAATGTATCAGTAGCCACAAAATTCCTTATTTATAATTAAAGAACCAACAGCATACCATTTAATTACACAAATTCACTTTTAAACACACAAATAATTATATAAAAACTCTCAAGTGTCACAATGGGTTTTCCCTTTTTTGTCTGTTTATGTACAGGTTATCTGTTTCTCTTCATATTTTACTGTCACTTAATTTTGTGCATCCCTGTAATTTAAAGACCTATAACAGTATCTAAAATAAACTCCAGATGAGCACGAATTTGTCGATTGGCCAGTGATGGGTAGTGAATATTCCAGAAAGTTTAGATGATGGTAACTCTCAACTATCTACTTGCTTTACAACCATTACTAAAATAATGCACAAGATGATTTTAAATCACATTGGTGTGAGGAAGGCCAAGTATGAATAGATAGACCAAGTCCTGACTATTTGAGTGGAAGACCATTGAAAGCATGAAGCTTTTCTATCAGTTAATCATGTATGAAAACGTAAAGGAAATTCTTATAAAATATTTCCATGCATTAGCACTACAGAAGTATTCTCGTCCTACAAAGGTTGAGTGGACAGATTCATGCAGTCAGAAATCTCCACACTCTAAATTAAAATAAACCAAATATTTTTGTCTTAACTCTCATTAATGGGTTTCCCATTGCACTATTGTACCTATTTTTGGTACATTTATTTTTGCTATTTTTTCCCATTGGTTACTGAGATAGTGTTCTACCCCCCTAGACTCCCTTTGCTTTTACTGAGTGGGGCCAAATTTTGGTACTGGCCTTTGGTAGGTGTTTGTTATTTGATAGAGTCAAGTGTGGTACTGTACTTGAGCTTGGCGGACTCCTGGTAGGTAGCTCTGAAAGATACCAAGGAAACCCACCAGGAAGAGGCATTTCATTATATTCAATGCTGGATTTTTTTTAAATAAAACCAACCCAACCCACACCTGAGTAAACAAAAAACCATACCAATTGAAAAGTGAAAGTGAATCACAGAATTTTGTTTTATGTTCAATGGGTTTCCAGGAGTATCAACTATATCTCATAATTTTGTGCCCATCTGTGAAAAACTTAAACACAATACAAGTAATATTAAAAGTGGTACTAATGATAAATACCTATGGGTAAAAGGATCCCAGAACCCAGCAGGCCCCACAAAAAGATTCAACAGAAAGGCCAACGAGGTCAAAAATATCAAAGCTAATAATGGAAAACGGCAATCTGCAAAATCAGGTACTGAATCAGATGATGAAGCTATAATGACCAAGCTAGTCACACACACAAGACAAAGACATGCCACAGAAACAAGAGATACCAGAAATCCAAACTGTCACAAACATTGGGAGGCATGCCAGAGAAACATCTCGGTGAAGCAAATATGACCCCAAGTGTGCCCTCGACTAAAACCAAGCATGCAATTTTGTACATGCACAAAATGGTTTTTTTCATGAATAACATACAGTCTACAGACTGTCTCTACCCATGAACAGGCCTCACAAGGAAGAAGCAAATACCCATAAGCACTACCCATTAGCAAAGTGACTCAAGAGGAGTCTGCTCGTAGAGCCTGCAACACCCTCACAGCAGGTACTGTATCTTTAGTGAGGCACATATGGAAACGCAAGTTAGCTCCCCAGAGAAAAGTAATCTGGCCACAGTCAGCATGAATAATGTGGGAGGGCATAGACAAAGCCAAGCAAAACAATGGCTGAACTAATGTTCCAAGCAGTTGTTACTTATGTTGAACAGATGGCACCATGAAGAGTAGTGAGGTGGCAGGCTGGTTCAGACCCCAGGTGACCTAGATTGATATCTGGTGACAGTTGGGTGCATAATAGTTAAGGAATTTTTTCTACAGGAACAATTATTTGCCTTGTTTAAGGTGCCTAATTTCCTTTTAGCACTTGCTTAGTTTGTTGTGTCTATACTTTCTGGCAAGTTTTCCCCAAGTTTTGTTGTTGATCTCTAATCATGTCTCCCTTGCCTTGAAGACTGAGTCAGATTCTGGTACTGGCATCCATTAAACCACGGATAGGTCTCGGATGCCTGGTGTGCTGGTGAAGTGCGATGGCACTAGAGCTTTATTCGAGAAGCTGCTGGTAGCCCACTAGACAAGGGCATTTTATTACAGTACTGTACACACAACCCTTGGTTTTTACAAATGCAGTAATCTATTAGCTTTATATTTGTACCATAGCGAATGAGATTTTTCCAGTAACTTATTTTACCTTTAGAACTATCTACTGATGGCAGAGGCAAATCTTTATAACGTGGCTGCTCTTTGTTGGCCACCACATGGTAACTGCAATATTGTGCATCCTGAAATCAATGCACTTCAAACAAAATGTGCAATATTGTGCATCACAGAGTCCAATTGTTAATCACAGTACATAAATGTACTGTACTTACTATACAAGATATTTACACTCAAAGTGACCTCCATCTTCCTTGTACATTTTATATGTACATGTCTACATGTATACACAAGCACATGTTCTATGTGTTTGGGCATGTGTATGTACATGCACATGTATATGTACACACATGCAGACACACACACACAAAGGCACATAGGCCAAAACTGTCAGTACTGTAGTCTTAAAGCATCTTACGAGTGCTGGAAAGACAGGACACCACGAACATAGCTCTCATCCTGTAACTACACTTAGGTAATTACATTAATAATAATGTATATACAGTATACAATTTTTTTTTTTACAAATTAATAGTACAGTAATACCAAACTGCCTAAAAATAAAATTTCATATTTCCATTTTGAAAATAAATTTGGAAGATTTTATAAACTCTTTTTAGATAACATCTTTTCATAACTTTTGTTAAATGATTGATATTTTGTTTATAACAATACTCAAACCTCCCTAACCTCAGCCAGCACCCTGAAGTAGGGTTGAACTACACTGCAGAAGCTCAAGATATTTCAGATATTGATCAGCATGATCTCATTCTGCTCGAGAAAGAGAGACAAATAATAACACACTGCCAGGCACTATATGCAACACAAACTGTGCTAATTTGAGTTAACAGTCTTTATAATACTGTATAAACTTTACACTGAAAATTTTATAAATATGATGAAAGACATGACATAATTAACATTAGTAAACTAAAAAGTTTTATATTCACACTATAGTAGCAAAGTGACTCACAACAAATGAGAGGTGATAAGTTCATTCTTAACAATGGTAATTCTCAGACAATCTTCTATTTGATATTCTGTAACTACAGTATGTATCTACATCTCTCTCTCTTGAATTTATTTGTAAGACCCATATTGGAAATATGCTTAATTATCATACATTTCCAACTACCATGCACAAACTGATGAGAATTATAAAGTATTCTTAATTACTTGTTTATAAAGCTAACTGAAAATTCTAGTTTTTGTGTACAATCAGTTATTAGCATAATTCCCAATTAAAATACTTCAAATATTTTTTTCCATGCCACTAGTTACAGTTTACTTTAAATTTTGCAAGCTAGAACTGCACAATTTCTCTGCAGTTACAGTATTTGCAGTAATGTGTGGAATTCTGTACTTTTATTTAACTATTATTGTGTATCATTAGCCATTCACATACAAGATTTTTTGAATTGTTGAAATGTTAAAAACCTTGTAAATACTGTAGATGGCTAAGGACACACAGGAGAATTAAATAAAAGTATACAGTCCCAGCATTATTACAGATAGTTGGCATCCATCAGTCTCAGGAGACTATGGAGTTGTGCTCTGGTTATTGGTCTGGAGTGGCCCCTCCAGGGCACAAAGCCAGGGTAGGTCAATAAGGAGGAGAAGCTATTACCCACGCGTCAGGTCCCCCCTCTCCACTGTGCCGAAAGTCTCCAATGGAAAGGCAAACACCAATACAACTGGTTCCAGAGCTGTCACAGGAACTGTCAGAATGAGGTTGAAGGCAACAATGAACTGCCCTATGGGCTTCAGCTCTGGTGTGCACATTATCACACATCATTAACATACTTGATGTTTTGAACTTAATTACAGATAATGTTCAATTCGGGCTTACAAACTTCATAGTAAACTAGCCAGCGAAGTAAACAAAAATAATAAATTCATATGTACAGTATTTTGTTTGTGGTCACCCTAAAGACTGAATAATTTATTATACAAGTGCTAAAATATTAAATACTGTATTAAATAATTTAGAGATCTATTCACTGCACTATTTACTACATCTGCAATTTTGACAGGCATTGTGGGACATTCTCAATCACTGTTATGAGAGAGTGAAAACGTTAAGTGTTGGTTAACATTTGAGAGCATGGAGAAGGAACCCCCACAAAACACAAACGATCCCACAACAGATATGAACATTTATCTTGCATTTTACCTTTGAAAATGAGATCAAGAATACAGACTTCAAAATAAACTACAGAATAAACAAGAACACTATTTAATAGGATTATTCATATACAAAACTATATTTGAAACATCCTATTATTTTCTATATAAAATTTGTATCACAACATACACTGCACATAATTACTACAGTATTTTGTAACTACCTGTACTGTAAATAAATTCTCTCCTAGCTTAATGTACTAATCTGTGCTATATCTTTTATCCAAATATTAAAATAATTAAGAGAATCACAGGTACCCAGAAAAAGTAATAAACATGAGCTTGAAATATACAAAAACAGTTTCAAATAATGACAAACAAAAAGCATGATGTATGTTCCCTATGACAGCTTAGTAGCAATCTTGGAAGCAGACAGTTTACTGGAACGTGCAGCTTCTTTCTCAGCCTTACGTCTCTGCTGTTCCTGTCGCCGCCGGTCTCTTTCAAGCTGCCTTTTTTCACGCAATACAGCATCCAAGTCTGCCTCCTCCTCTGCCTCATCCTCCCACCCACCGTCATCTTCCATCCATTCCTCAAGCTCTGACGACTTATCAAAACAAAATAAAAACACCTAAATATTTTTCTATCAAAAAACAGTCTATTAAAATAATATTTACATTCACAGTTATCAAAGCATAACTTTTGAGGTTTATAAGAACTTGCTTGCAATTTTGCAATTCCTGAAAATGTTAAAAGTAAGCCCCCACCAAAAAAAATCCAGAAAATGGACAGACATGAAACACTAATCAATATACCAGTGATGATAACATGCATCTCATGCAGAATTATACAAAATATGAAGATTTCACATATATTGGGAGATGCTGAGAGCACTCCGACGCGAATGGTCCACCTTCGGGAGCCCGTACGTCTGGCAGAGCCAACTGAAGGAGTCGCTGTTGACTGTCCATTTTGTGGACAGGGGAAGGAACTGAGACAGGCCAGCTGCCAGGATGTTGGACACTCCCTGGATATGAACCACATTGAGAGCCAAACCCTGATAATCCAGTCACTCGAAGCAACCAGCCCCAAAGAGCCAAGGCCCAAAGAGAACCCCCACAGTTCAGACTGGAGAGCAGTCCGAATGGAGATGGATCAATGATCCCCAAGTGACCCAATCCCTTCAAAGCGACAGCCAAACCACTGCAAACTCCTGTACCGTGCTGTGAGCCTGACGGAAGGATGGAGCCCACCACCCCTGGCTGGCCTGGTGAGCACTGGCCACAAAACCCCAGCCGAGAGACGAGGCATCCGTGAACACATCGAGCGAGGGTTCAGGTAGGTGACAAGGCACTGAACTCCGAAAAACTTGAATAGGAAGCCGGCGATACAGCAACCGACGCAAGGGCCCCCCCCCCCGGAGGCCAAACCTAACAATCACGAAAGAGACAGAAGGGACATCCCCAAAAGAATCAGAACAGATGCCGAAGCCAGACCCGACTCGTCAGTTAAACCAGCATGGCGAAGGTCAGACTCCCATACAGTTGCTCTAGCAACTACCGAGTGACCCGGGAACCCCCCAAAAAACAGCTGAAGGCGGGACCGCAACCGCAGCAATGCTGCCGAAGGGAGAGACATGGAAGGAAGCAGTCCGAGAGTCCCACACGAGGCTTAGCCATGTCCGAACCTGGGACAGAACCAGATTCCAAAAAAGAATTTTTCATTATACAATTATTAACAATTTCATCCTCCTGGGACGTAGCTGATGTCCACAAATAACTCTGAGGATGTCCGGCGGGGATGCATGTGGTGTCCACATGTGCCACATACGCATGTGTGAATACACTCTCTGTGAATGTATTCACAGAGCTAGAATATCCATATTTGAATCAAACATGTAAAACCCAGAAAATAATTCTTTAAATCTTCAAATGACGATGACTGCATTCCCCTAGTAACATTCAAAACGATTACTGCATTCGTAACCATGAAATGGTAGCTGGATTTTTTCATGGGTTAAGGTAAACTCCATTACATCCACACAGACCTATTATATCCATATTTGCATCATACATGTAAAACCCAGACAATAAGTATTTAAATCATAAGATGATTTCATTGGCCTAAGGATCATCAATAGACGATAATTGCCGCCTAAGGGTTAAATAACTTAAAATATTCTGGTTAGTTTATTCCCACATTATCATTTTAATGTTATATTTTATGAGAAAACAGAGGCAATGGTCCATACCTGAAGAAGTGGGTCAGCTAATGAGAAGGGTAATCTGTTTGACACTTGCTGCTCCTCCTCGGGCCTCTCAAGAATTACCACCTGTGGCTTTTTTTCTATGCTTGGGGCTAAATCCTGAAAAATTAACAGTGTTCTTTATAAATAAATAAATGTCTATGCCAACAAACATATACATACATGCATACATACAAACATTACATACATACATACATACATGTATGTTGACAGTTGAGAGGCAGGAACAAAGAGCCAAAGCTCAACCCCTGCAAGCACAACTAGGCGAGTTCATACATACATGCATATATATATATATAAAACAGCACAGCACAAAACAGCAAATTAATACTGATAGAGTTCCAGCATATGTCAGACAGCAAAAACAAATCATTTTTATAGACTGGGTTTCTTAAATAAAGAATGTGAGGAAATTTCAATTCTCACATTCCACCATCAATTAAACTGTCTGGCATTTATCTGCGTTCGTAAGTTGTGAATAGGAAACAAATATTTTGTAATATAGTTTGAATGCACATTATTACAGTAGTGTGCAGAATTTAGAGGTGAACAAACGGTAAATTATGTTAAATATCATGCAAAAGCCATAATATAATTATCAAGATAAACTCTGTTATAGTGCTCTAATGTGATGAAATATATAAATGGGTAGTTACATAACCAAATGTTCCAAAGACCACACACTGTCCAGTATGGAACAGCCTGATCCCAACCATGTCTGGTTTTTTAAGGTTTGACTGAACAGGTAACTGAAAATTTTTTAAGTACCTACCTATAATTGAATTACAAACTCACCTCAAAATAGTTTGGTTCAGGTTCAGGTTCAGACTCGGACTCTTGCAACTTTCTCTGCTGATTGAGTCGGTACTGGTTAATTTGCTGTTGCATCATAGACTGCTGTGGTGATAATGAAGCTCTTCCACCACCATCACTCACCACAGATGATGGGACATCCCACGAGTCCCAACAACCAAGACCATCATCATTCTGCAGTGGAATTAAGCCCTATTTGTAAAATTGGAGTATGTCATCTCATTAAAATAAAATTTCTGAGCTGTACCACATGGTTGCTCTTTTATGCAATGTCCAGCTCCTTTCACTGAAAGGAATAAGTAGTCAGGATAGGTCACCATTCTGAATCAACGCAGATGGGATCCTTACGCATTTCTTGCTTGGCATACTGTGAGAATGGTTAAACTGGGGTAAAAGAAAAAAGCATTGAAAGTAATGAAACGCCATTTTCTGGGCGAGACCTGGAGACTCCCCGGAGCTATACCAGGCTAATGTGTATATATTTGACTGTAGCAACAGTCAATCGATGGAGTTGTAGCCTACCGGGAACCACGAGCCAGAACCTGGTCCCCTCAGAGAGGCACGAGGAGCAATGGTCTGTAGACAACCCCATATAAGTGGAAGCAGTCTATGTCTGCCATCTACCAGGTCAGGCACCCAGAAAAGTAGGAATCCCAAAACAAACTACAGCTATTTAAAAACTGCAAACCAAAAGCTGAACGAGCAAGCAGAACTCCCCAATCAGAAAACAAGCAAACAAGCATGACGTCCCCACAGCCGCCGAGCCGCTGTCTGTGCAGCTAAGTGGAGAAGCTCACATTTGGATCACCCTGCCAACTAGGATTCTGATGCTTGACAGGTTTCCTTGATCTTGCGTTTCTGTGGTGGAACTGGACTCAACTTTCTTTGAGTTCAGTTCTACTTCCATTGACTGTGGTATCAGGTTTCTTCTTCCTCCCAGTTGGTAGGCAATCCTTTATTATCTGTGGGAAGGGAAAGTGATGGTTGTACTGCCAGACTCAATTCTCAGGTGGAAATAGGTGGGGAAGAATCTGAATTCCATCAAAAGAGCTCAATATGCTCTTAATTTTTCTTAGTCACTCAATTTATTGCAGCTGACTTTACATTTCTCTCCAGCCTAGCCGATATGGTCATATTCCTTTCCTGCCAGGAGCTCTTCTCTCAAATTCAGGCTAAGTGGGCTCAACTGAAAAAGATAAGCACTTGCCTACCTTTCAGTCAGCTTAACAAGCTTGTGTAAATCCTTATTAATTTTAATGTTGACATCTTGCTTGCAAATGCACATGTTGGACTATTAACAGGAGATGCTTGGATCCTCTTGCTTTTGCTCTCCTTCCCTTTTCCTGCCATTCTTTTTCCTGATACAGAAGTGCAATGGGTGATAAGAGGGCAAGTCTGTCTTTTTCACAAACTGCACCTGGTATTTTGACTGAATCCTACTCCTACTTCCTCCATGGGAGGAAACTTGGAATGTTGTTGTTCAGAATCCTGAGCATGGTAGTGGCTCTGCTGTGCTTGTTGCCAGAATGTTATCCAGTGCCTGTGATACCCATGTTGTAGAGGCTGGCAGACTCCAAACATTTTTGAGAAGTTGCAGTGGGTTCTGCCTTCTTGTCCACCCTTTGACAGGGACTACAAATTCTTGAACTTCTCAAGTGGTGTCGCGGGATCTCTCCAGGGGTGTGGTCTCTTTCTTTTCACATGATCGTACTGGGCAATCACTTGCTATGCACCCACAAACACAGCTAGGAGGGGGGCTGATTAGGATGATTTTATGGGTACAATTCCTTTTCTTGTCTCTCACCAAATGGGATTCTTTCAAGAAAAGAATGATCTTTGGACTTCTTTGAGTTTATGACTAAATCCCTTTTGCCAGCCTTCTAGACGACCACTGCATCTGTGGTTATACTTAGAGATATCACTCACTGAGAGATAACAATATCACTTCATAAAAAGACACTCAGGCAGAGCCACTCCTGGGCTTTGGTTTGGTTATCTCTTCTTTTTCCCTACCTGAAACTTGTTAAAGCATTTTTAACACTTTCGTTGCCCCGGCAGGTGATGCGCCATGCACCTGAAGGTAGCTCGAGCGGTGTGCACTAACTCTCCACCACCCACAAATGTGTATACAGTACTCTTTTTATCTTTTTGACCTCAACTTTTGTGCTACATCATTCAATTTGTTATCAAATTGTTCCCAATAGAATGCTATAAAGGGATATTTGCATATAAGAACTTATGTCTCACTTTTCTATACTTTCAATGAAAACTCAATAACTTTTCCCTCATACGTCTTTCTTTCAATGCTTTCATCATGGATTGGCTCTGTTCTTGATCAGTATCCATCTGCAAGTCAATTTGCAGTATTTATAAAGCTGGAGCTGCTTTTGATTTGTATTTTCGTTCTTCCCGGGTGCTAATTAACCGTATCAAAATAAAAAATACTGTTTTTGGAACAATTTATTTTTGGTACACCACGGGAATGTCATTATAAGAGGTGTGCAGAGTGGGGGATAACTAATGGTATTCCAGTAGGTGAGCATCCTCTTCTCTTTCACTGCTTCTGGATTTATCCTTTCTCATTGTAATAAGTTTTTGTGCTTTTTAGATTAAGTCCTTGTTCTTAGTGCACTTTTGATTTGCTTAGCATTAGTCCATATTTTTTGTCTTGTAGTTGCACTGTGACAATTGCACTTTAAAAATCCTTTCAAGTGTCACTGTACAGTACTGTATATAAATACAGCTTCTGCGTACCAGAGAGAGAAAAAATAATTTCAAATTAAAATATACTGTACTTCCATATTAGACTAAACTCGTACAGTATTAGTAGTTTCATCTCATCAATATCTAATATAAATCTCCTTATCACAAGACAAGTTAGTATATGCAATAACTTACCTGTGTGGGTGGGACAGCATGTGTACTGTCCTCGACCGAGATTGCAATGGGAAGATGAGTCTCTGAATGTCGTCTTCTACGAAAGCAACAAAAGCACCGCCTGACCAGGCCCAAAAGCAGAAGTAGCAATGACTTCACTTTTCTCACAGCGACCATAACAATCATCCTGCAAAAGTGTTGTAATACAACATTAACATTGTGGTGGTCTGGCATTTCCACCTGTTCTGAGTGCAAACATTCTGAGCTCCTTGCACTACTCATGGGCCACTCAGCGATGGCTAATTTTTTACTACTGTATCATTTCACATTTTCTCAGTTATTTTTATGGTTTACCTATAAATTTAGTGTCAAAATGCTTGCAAATAAATTGTCCAGAGAACAGATGCAAAAACAAAAGTGTATTTATAATACTTTAAGCTACTCTCCACAAGGTCATAAATGCAAGTATTTAGAGCTTGGGGGATCCTGCTCAACAATGCATGAAAAATGTTTACAACCATTTCATGTTTTCTTACTTATTTATTTTTAATTCATTGTGTCGGGGGACAGGAAGCCAGAGTATATTCATGCACATCTGGCTTTTGTCGATGTCCCCCCCCCCACCCTCTGAAGGCCAAATTACTGACTCCGACCAGGATGCAACCCCACAACAAGCTGATTAATTCATGAGTACCTACTCACTGCTAGGTGAACAGAGCCATTAGGTGAAAGGAAACATGCCCAACCATTTCTGTTCTACCTGAGATTTGAACCCAGATGTCTCGATCGTGTGTCGAGAACAAACCCGACTGTAATACCCGGGCCCATAATATGTTGGGTTATAACAATAAATTTTGTGTCAAAATGTTTGTAAATGAATACTCTAGAGAACAGATGCAAAAAAGGAGTATTTATACCAGATTATGTGCAACAGGGATGAATATACAAATGTTTTTGAATGGGATGATACATTCATCATCGGAACATTTTATTGTTAGAGGGCAAATACAGACCAAAAAGTGTATTTTACCAGGAATTAATAAAATGTCAATGCAAAATGACTGTTCTAGCTTTTCATTTAAACTTGTGACACATATTGTATACTAATTTTAATAATAAATAATTTAATTATGAAGAAACTACTGTACAAAGAGTGTGATATGACCATTTACATCAGGTATCATTTCAAATCAATCGGAGTTCAGATTGTACTGCATCAAAAAAGTGTATTCATATTTATTTTATTTATTTATATACAGAAGAATAAGATACAATGCATTGTAGTAATACAGATTTTTGTGATTATATGTACATTCTTGCAAAGCTAATAACATGTATAGTGTTTTGAACAAGTCTTAAAGCTAACACAAAATTTGCAGAGAATTTTAAGTTACATGGTGAACTATCAGACTTAAACAAAGAAATAAAACTAGTGAGAAATTTGAGTACTATTAGAGTTAACATCATTACTGTATTAACATTAACTGAGCAAGTTAATGGTAACGAGTTAATGGTAATGAGAAGTTATACTGATGGAGTTGTATTTCTAGACAGTAATAAATGTTTAAATTTTCGTAATACAATTCCTAAATACTTTGGTTGTTCTTTTATCTTTGTTTACATATTTTTACTAAAAGAGCAATATCTTTTCTGTGAGGGAGCCTCGTCAGCTCCCTACACCGGTTCTGTGTCGGTGGATGCACTGTGGGTTGATCTGGTTTCCATGGTTCTTTGTTCCAGGGTGCAAGTCTCTTAGGTTGTCTGCAGTGTCATTAAGTCTAGCCAGCCTGCAGTCTACCCTCATGCCCATGATGTGCGAAAGTATGCCGCTCTGTTGGCTATGTTCATGAACATGTCTTGGTATGATATTCGGGCGTAGGGGTTTTGGAGGTCTAACAGGGTCCTTGGCTGTCTGGTATTTGGCAAACGTCCCTGGTCCTCTGCAGCCTTTTGTTGCTTTGGGGAGGTTGTTGCAGCTGATGGTCTCTTCTGCGAGTTGATGTGTGTGGTGCTGCGGCCTCTCTGGTAAGTCCCTGCTTTTCTTTCTTTGTTGGCACAGTAGTTACCTTCAGGGAGCCGATGGGCTTCCCACAGAAAATCAACATAAATTTTGTGTCAAAATGTTTGTTAATGAATACTCTAGAGAACAGATGCAAAAGAAGGAGTACTTGATATGATGAGCAAATGCTTATATGAACACGGTTTTACACTGTCAGGGGAAGGATGTCTGTCAAGCTTATCGAGCTTTCTCTATGCCAATGACTGCCCGTTCTCAAGATGCAACCCACAACAGTTGCTTAACTTCTAGATATAATAAACAGTGCCCAAATGTCTCATCCAGCCTGGGAATCAAACCGAGCCGCAAGCAGCTGTGAGCCGACTCCCTTGACCACCCCTCTTGGAAAACACAGATTCTTCCTCCTGTAAACGTTTCACAGATGAATGTAGCTTTGGCACCTACATACAGAGATCTATAAAGGGGATTACAGAGTGTAGGTCACACACACACATACCTTTGATCTTGTCAGGATAAAAACAACAGACGCATCCAAATGTGTGTGGTGGAGGATGTGGTTAGAGTTGTAGTAGTGGAGGCAATCTTGGGGGCATTAGTGAACGTTATGGTTGTGAAGGAAACTGTGGTTAGAGTTGGGTTGGAGGTTGTGGAGCAGGAGGTGGAGTTGTAGTGCAAGTTGGGCTATGGTGGAGCCCGAGGTCTGGGTTGTGGGTTGGGCTGTGGTGGATGCTGTGGTGTGAGTTGTGGCTGGGGATGTGGTGCAGACTGTGGTTTGGGGGCTGTGGCAAGGGTTGTGGTTGAGGTTGTGGTGGAGGCTGTAGACGTAAACAACACCCCACTCGTCCGGTTCCTTTCCTTTGACTTGATCTTCGTCTCCGTTTTAAGGGAAGCAAGCTGACCTACTTTTCCTACATTATTAATTATTTCAAACTCGTTCTTTTCCTATATGTCAGTATAAGGAATTCATCAGTAATTCAACACAGCACGATAATTTTGTAGCTATTAGGATGTGGACTAAAATACAAATGATGGCGCTTCACCTATTCACGTTGCGTATCTGATTCATTATTGCTTATAGAAAACAAGTTTGGCATTCAAATATACCCCCAATATGTGTGGTGTGAGGAAACCTCAGGCGTGTGGCTGTGTGTGACTGGCTTTCGGGATGAGGCATTGCCGGTCGCCAGTGTTTCACTTAACTATCACCCGCCAGCTTTGTAAATTGGACAATTCTTTATATATCTTATATTAATAAGCTTAGGTAAAAATCACTGTGCTCCGCCCGAATTCTATATAAGAGATTACAGAATGTAATAATAATAATTCCCTTTGTCTAAGTGAACAGAAGCATGGAGACCTCATCTTCAAAAAGACATTGCTTCTTTGGAGAAAGTTCAACACCGGGCTACAAAAAGCATTCCTGATCTAAGTTATCATGATCTAAGCTCATCAAGATTGTAACTTGCTTAGCTAAATGAATTGTGGGGTTCAGTCCCTGAGCCCATTATGTGCCTCTGTAACCCTTTCCACTACCGCCCACAGGATAGGTATGGGGTGCATAATAAATGAACTAAACTTAACTAATACAGCAATGGGCTGCTACCTTATTCAATATGATGAATTACAGATTGTAGATCAGAAAGTAGCTAATTGGAGTTCATCTAATGTTCCCATCTCATGATAGACACAAGAATATCTTCCATAGTCTTCCGTGTGTGAATGAAGTAGTTACAGAGCTCAAAGTACTTCATACCATTTGGCCTGAAATCTTTGATAACAGGGCAATCAGAGATATTTACCTGAGGGCTACTAACACTCTAGTCGCCTCGACAAGGACAGGAAGCCGGCGGCTTGACAAATGTCCCCTCATTTGCCCGGATGATTTTTTCACATAGATTTTAAAATGTAACAGAGTTGGCATTTACCGCTTCGGTGGGTAGGCCGAAATTAAGCCATGGGTTAATAACCCTATGGGAAAAAAAACATATTTTGTTTTCAGTCCTACATTGTGGCTTGTTGAGCTTGAAACTTGTTTCTCGTTTGGGTTACATCTGACCTTTCTCTCTCATGTTTGCTCTGCAGTGTTGACCAGACCACACACTAGAAGGTGAAGGGACGACGACGTTTCGGTCCGTCCTGGACCATTCTCAAGTCGATTGTCTTGAGAATGTTATCGACTTTATCGTGTTATCGACTTGAGAATGGTCCAGGACGGACCGAAACGTCGTCGTCCCTTCACCTTCTAGTGTGTGGTCTGGTCAATATACTTTAGCCACGTTATTGTGATTCATCCTCTGCAGTGTTCTTAGTCCTGAGGCCCTCAACCGTTCCTGGTATGAGAGTCGACTTAGTTCTGGAATGATTTTTGACGCCCGGTGATGTATTTTCTCCAAAGCAGCAATGTCCCTCTGAAGATGAGGTCTTCATGCTGGGATACAATAATCCAAGTGGAGGCACACCAGAGATTTATAAAGTTCAATCGCTACCTTCTTTTCTTTATAGTCAAAGATACGCTTGATTATTCTTAGGGTTTGGTTAGTTTTTTAATGCTGCTCCAACCTATTGTGAAACTTTCAGTGAATGGTGGATTTTGACTGCAAGGTCCCTTTCTCCATTAATCTGCTGCTAGGTAATGTTAATAACTTGGTAGTTGTGACGTGGGTTGTTATGCCCCACATGCATGGTCTTGCATTTGTCGATATTAAAAAGCTTTTGCTAGTCTGACCATTTGTGGAGTTCCTGTAGATCTCTTTGTAAAGTGGTGGAGTGTATATCCTAGCTCTTGTTCACAACTGTAGTGTTCACCATTGACCAGGATTTATTACCTGCAGCCACCTGCTAAAGATACCAATATCGCAGCCTAATTCTGGCACCTGGGGAGTATACGAAAATGATATTGAGGCCTATATAATTTTCACATACTGGCCCTGAGGCCCACAAACCAGCAATGGTTGAGGGCCTCAGAGTTAACAACATTGCAAACCAGACATGACAGGGCTGATCTCATCGAAACTTAAAATAGTGAACAATTTGGAGGATGTTGATCTAAACAATTTCTTTAAAAGGTCAGATGTAACACAAACAAGGAACAGCGGTTTCAAGCTCAACAAACCACAAAGTAGAACTGAAAACAAGAGATGCTTTTTCACTCATGAGTTATAAATCCATGGAGCTGCCTACCCGCCAAAACTGTAAATGCCAAAACTCTGTTGAACTTTAAAATTTAGGTGGAAGCGTCCCCAGGACAAATGGGGGACCTTTGACAAGTGCCAGCTTCCTGTCCTCGTCGAGGTCACTAGAGTGTTAGTGGTCCTCAGGTAAATATGTAGTAAGGTGGGGCGAGTTTATTGGGCAGCGCCACTCATCCTGTGAGTGAACATACCGCCATAGCAGTATGTACAACACTCCCCAATAGGAAGAAAACCCGCTGGGTTGTTCATCTTGTCACTTGTACCCAGACACAGCTGGGACTTGTCTAACTATCTCAAGTGACCAGCTTATCAAACAAGAAGATTTACATTTGTCAACCCTTAAGTACTTACTTTATCTTGCGGGTGCAAAATGGGGGGATTCTTTTAAAAACAGTATCTATATTTGACAAATAGTATTTTCCTAACTCAAACAATGTGGTGTTTATTACACATACACACATATTCCTAATGACTATTACACATTCTACACATATTCCTAATGACTCTTAGATGTTCAGTCTCTCAGGTAGTGGTCTAGGCGGTGTCCATCACTCTCATCACAGATTCTGTAACTCCTGTCCTCAATTGTTATTTGCATTCCGAATCTCCATGAATATTTGTATCCAAGACTGATTCTTGCTATTACTGATTCTCTTTCTTTATTTCGTTGCCCGAAACGCTATGCGTATTAGTGGCTTTAGGTATTGTATGTACTAGCTCTATCTATAAATCTGTAGCGAGTAGATTATCCCAATAATATACTCGCTCCAAACTCATTAGTACTAAGAAGAGCTTTGTTTCTCTCGTTACGCTAATGAGTTCTCTTTGCATCTATGTATGTACTTTTCCTGAATAACATATTTTTATTATTATTATTATTATTATTATTATTATTATTATTATTATTATTATTATTATTATTTTGGTACGACCCATATTAAGCTGCTGATATCGCCGAGGGGGGAGCATTAATCTTTGTTCATATATCTTAAATCACTATAAAGTTTGTTTGATTATAAATATGCCTACGTGCCTGTGTGGAAGCAATTTCCTCAGTGTATGTAATAAATACGCTTCGTTACAAACTAATTAATATTCTTAGAAAAATATCCATTCAAATTTGTATACAAACATTGGAACAACCGCGAGAACAATATATTTTAATAAAGGATTTCAATGTATACTACCTACAAGAATACTTCAATGATATTCATAGACTACACATACAAAAAATTACTAAACACTGCTTATTAAAAAAAGTGGGTATAGAGTTAAAACTTAATGTATATTTAAGCAGAGAGGCAAAGGAAGTTTGTAGTATAATAGTTTGAGCCGGCGAGCGGTGGTGTTTTCCCGCCATTACTCGCCTCTGTTGGGTGTTATGTTGTGGTCGTCTACACCTTGGTGTCTGTTTGAGCCGTGATGAGTGTGTGTTGGTGCTGACCTGTCGACCTCGCCCACGGTAGTCAATGTCAGAGTGTGAGCAGCTGTTTCGGGGCGGTAGTTCAGCCGACGTCTTCGAGATGAACGGCGCCAAGATAACCCCGGCATTCCAAGGCAAATTGGTGAGCTTCCTTCGCTCCGAAATGATCTGACTTCGCATTCTGTTCCTGTTTTATTTGTCTCTCTCTACTCTCAAGTTTCGTGTTCTTATGGTCTTAACAACCTTCAGTGTGTCTATAATCAGTAAAGGCGCTGTGTAACGTAAGGTGGTTACAAGTCAGACTTATCTCTAGAAGAATACAAAATACCTGGAATTATTGGCGTGCTCACATATCACTTAGTAGATACAGGAAATTATAAATTGTATAATTAATATCAGCATCAACTCTATAACTATGTAAATTATAATACTTTTGTCCTTTTTTTTGTATGCATATTCTTATACATATTATTACTACTAATATCCAAGATTAAATGAACAAATCCACAAGGGCCGTGATGAGGGTTTGAACCTACTCACGGGATGTTCCCAGATGCGCCCTAGTCAACTGTGCCACGACATAGTTGTGGCACAGTTGACTAATGAGCAGCTGGGAACATCCCGTGCATAGGTTTGAACCCTCATCACGGCCCTTATGGATTTCTATATATGATATTTATTTATTTATATATATATACAAGAAGGTACATTGGGATTGTGAGGATACATAGTATAGTAATTACAATCTTGTAAAGCCACTAGTACGCGCAGCGTTTCATGATTCTGCATGATATAATATTATCATATAACATGATATATGATAATATATCATGTTATTGTGATTTGTGTGTAATATCCAACATTGTTATGTAAAATCCAGCACATTATTATGTAACTGACTTTTCTGTGTAATAAATATTACATTGTTATGCTGTATTTAGAATTTGCAATGCAAGCAGTGAATCTAGAACATATTAGCACGTCATTATATTTACGAAAATGGGTTACGTAGAAATTGTAGCACGATATAAATCGAGTGCAACAATTGATACCTCTGACATCTGGAGTTCGTTTTGGTGTTTTTTCCCCCCTAGCTCGTGAACCATCGGATGATTCCTTATTCTGGTGCCGCTTGTTATTCTGCTTTGGCAGAGCTTCTCTATTGTTGGTTGTCTGCATAGAGGATTCTTCTTCATTTTTTAAATTGTCTTTGGCTTTCTCTCACATCCAGTTGGTTTATTCTCCTCTGAATTTGTCTTGGTTTTTAGATCAGGTTCTGGTCCTGTGGCTCCAGCTGTTGCCATCATTTCTTAAAATTAGACTTGGTTTTCAAAGGAGTCCTTTGGTCATTACTGAGTGCTCCAGCTGGGAGTTCATCATATTATGTCTTGTAGCAGTGGTTTGCCTGTTACTATGGCTCAGTTGGCTGCTCTTTGAATCTGGTGTCCCGTGTTCCCTGTTCTTGGGCCCAGTTGATGCAGGTAGTTTGCAGGGCAGTCAAATTTAGCCAGCCTGTTACTTGCCTATGAGCCCATGATGTCTATAAGTTTACAGTGGTGTTCCCTTCCTTTTCTAATGTCTTGGACAGAGATTTGGGTTGTGCTGATGGGTTCTAATCAGGTTTGAGCAGCTCAGTACCTGTTTAATGTTCCAAGCAGCACAGAAGCATGTGTGGCATTGAGTCAGTTGTCATGGCACTAATCCATCCGGGGGTTAGTGGCGATGATTTCCTTTCTCTCAAAGTAAGACCCTGTTTTATAGTTGTCTGGGGGAGTTAGCCCTTGGAGCCAAAAAGGTGGCCTTCCCAAAAATTCAGCATTGAATGTAATGAAATGCTACTCGATGGTGGATCTTTCAGTGGCTCCCCATTCCCACCCATCCCACCTTTCTGTGATGTTCAACGGTTGTTGCAGTGGCAGCGCTTGTATGATGGAGGTGGCCAGTTGTAATGACTGGCAGTGGCCAGGGCTGCCATCTACTGTATTAGCAATCAAGTGTTGCTACCTTGAGGTTACCTTGAGGTGCTTCCGGGGCTTAGCGTCCCCGCGGCCTGGTCGTCAACCAGGCCTCCTGGTTGGTGGACTGATCAACCTGCTAAGGAGCAGTTGCTGGGTAGTTTCTCTGTCTTTACACAAACATATTCTTTTATGCTAGGAAAGTTTGTAACATGATTTGGGTTAAAAAACCCAGGGTTGGTACAAATGGGAGGTTGGTTTAATAAGCAGGTAATAAGCTGTTTTTAACTTTCACTGGGTGGACAGCTGTCATACAAAGTGATGAATTAGTAGCACTTTGAATCTTTATGAAAGTATGTGCATCTAATAAACAGTTTGGAAAGGAATGAGCTGTTTTAGATTCAGCTACTTGGAACAAAAAGTTCAACATACCACGGGCTATGTTGAACCCGTAGTGGACTTACTGGCACGGAGGCGGAGCTGTAATTGCAGTGCAGGAATGAGCTTTTCTCCAATCCATTCCTTCAACTTGTATGACCCTGTGCAGATGTCATTCTTGTCAGTGTTCATGAATCTTGTCAATGGTGGTACAGTATGTTGTTTGTTAAATTAAATCGAAGCCTGATTTGTACATGCTGTACTGTATTTCGGTATTTTCATCAGCTGTAGACCATCTGTCCTTTTATATTGTACTTGCCCCCCCCCCCCCCGTGTCTACATCATGAGTATTTTCTTAAGTGTTATCATGTGATTGCATTTTCACTTCTATCTTCAGCCCAAGGAGCTAGTGCCTGTTCCTCTTGTGTGGTACATAATCTCCCATTTGCCATAAGCCTAAAGTATGGCCTTAAATTTTAAACAGGAATTTAAATGACTAAGAATACCTGTATAACCTTAACACTTCAAGCATAAAAAGATACTGAAAATTTTACTTATTGATTATCTATGTTATAAGCTTATGAGAAAATATTGGCCATACAGTAGAATCAAGCCTGCATACCTGGACTTCATTGGCACACCTGGTTGATATATTTGGGAGGAAAGCTGGAATATCAGTGTTGAAAAAAAGGGTACAGTACATTAACCATTGTCTGCTATTTCAGGAAGCTCAACAAAAATTAAAAAATTGCTTCAAAGAGTTCCACGAATCGTTTATCAAGACTAAGCAAGCCTTCCTTGTATTCAAAACGAAAAGTTTCTTCTATCCAGATCAAGAATTCACCAAAACATTTACCAAGTCAATTAAACAAGTAAGACCTTTAATATTAAACTTGATGTATGTATTATTTTATTTTAGTTTACCTTAAAAAAAGTTCACAAGGCTTCTACTTCTGACGTCAGACTGTTGGTGCTGACAATTCACAGTTTGCTGCCGGCACCAGTGGTAGGCTGATCAGGATTACTTGGAGGACCATTATCAAGTTTCCTCTTCATGAGAGTAAAGGATATGTTGGTAATTGTCCTTATAGCCAATGGGAAGATGTTTACTATATTCTTTCATATATACTGCACCTATATTTTTCACTAGAGCAATTTTTAAGCATATGTGACACTCTTAGGGGAATTATTTAATTGTACAGAACTAGTCCCTCTACAATGTTGTAGATATAAATTATGGATTTCTTTCTTGCATATCAAAGAGTACAATCTAAAATCTTATGCATCTGAATATTGCTTGTGTGTGATGGGGCTGTTAGTATATATTACAATTATATTCCAGCCAAGAGAATAAAAGTGCTTTATGTACTACTAATGTATTATTGTAGTTTGTCACGGCATATCTAATGGGACTATTTCCAACATTTTTGAGTGCTTGCTTTCATAGCAAGATCATGACGAGGTGTACTTGCAGACAGTGTTGGGTGATCAGGGTGTCTAACCTGTAGTTCTTTGAGAGAGTATAGTAATGATGTTACTTTCATTTAGGAGAGACATGACCATGAGCAGAGCTTCATGTGACAGACTGTTAACTTGAGGGAAATAAACAGCCATTTCAAGCTGGCCTGTTAAACAAGGCCAGCATTCTATATCAAGTGTTCCTTGTACATCAGATGTAGCTGAAGTCTGCTTCTTCTGACCAAGGAAGCTTTCCCCAAATCTAATTAATTTACTGTAATTCTACTAGCCAATTTCTTGCCTTTATCATATTTTCAAGAATACTGTGCTGACAGGCAGCCATGTAGAATGTTGTGGCCCATGTAGCCTACATTTTGTCATTCTTTCCAGGCTTGATTAAGCTTTCCTCCTGTGACCTTACCCCCCTTCCCTAGCATCAATTATAATCTGGCAGAAAATCCTGGGAATATACCTTGTGGCACTGAATCTGATCATTTCACCTGCAAGGTTGTTACGATTGTTGTACACAAGACAAGGAGCAATGGAATTTCCTTGAAAACCAAATTAGTTAAGAGGCATGTGTTATGGTTGGCTAGTAGTAGTGGATATTATGATAATTATATGTGAGCTAATATTTCAATGATCCTGAGCTTCCTGAACATAAGCGTTAAACACCAGCAAGCCCCCAGGTAGAGTTAAGCAAGGCCCAGCCCCCAAGGAATTTATTCCCATCAAATTACTTGTATGAGAGCCTGTATCACCAATACAATAATCATTGTATTGGACCTACAGTATTCAGTAGGGTGCCAGATAAATTATTTGATCCATCAATCAACCTAATACTGTAGAAATGATGATGCGGGATTAAAGTGCGAATTCTTCTCTGTGAAAATAATTTAAAGGCTTCCTCATTGATTGAGTTCTGGGAAGACTACACATAGTGCACTGTCTCCTATTTAAATCCACCTTGCCTTTGAATGTAAAGAGAAAGAGCAAGTGAGTGATTGAGTCTGTGATAAGTTATGAGATAAATGAGTACATTTGTATGCAGTCTCGACAAATTTTCAGATGCAATTTCCATCTCTTTGCAGATTGAAATTGAGGTGAAAGAAATGGGTAGCAGCTTTAGCAGATTGACTGGATATGAGTCTGGAATTGCCAATACTAAAAAGACAGCTGCAAACTCTGTGGAAGAAGTCAAAACTGAGAATCCTGAACTTCACAATAGTTCAGATCGTCTTTTCCCTGCGCCAGCAGGTACCGTTCTTTCCTCGTACAGTGATTCTGTTGCATGTCTTTCAATGCAAATTTATTTTAGTCTGTTTTTTTGCTTATTTTTAATGTGTGTGCACTAGTGCCCACCTCATAGCTATTGTACTTTATGCATTTATACCTCCTGACTTTCCAATGCTCTAATCACTTGCCTAACATTCAATGCTGGTTCTTTGTTAATACCTAGTCTCTTAACATATGAAGTGAAGTAAAACAGTATGTAACAACTTGATTTATACCTTTCTAGTGTTTTTTAACCATTTTCTTCCTCTTGTCACCTCCATATATTTGGAGGTATGTATATAAAGCCATCTTTTACCAGGCATAAATATGAAAAGTTTGAGGCTTGAATTGTTTAGCATTGAAACTCGAGTGCTGTATTTAATAGATCCTCCAATTTCAGATGTGTTAGTGAAGGCTAATGAGGATGAGAGCATTACTCCACCAGTGTCTGAGGCAGGCAACGATGATGAAGCACCAACATCGGCAAATGTCCCAGAAGGGAAAACTAAATCAAATTTATCAGAGAAGAAAAGAACTTATCAAAAGCAGGCACAAGAGAAATATAGTTTATCAAAGAGACGGAGGAGGAGCCTGATGAATGACTATGCCGAGACGTCAAAAGATAAACATGAACTGAAAGATGGTGCAAAGGAATCGAATGTAAAAGAGGAGACAGAATACGAGGTGGAAAATATTATTGATTTCAAAAAATGTCAGGTGAGTGTACTTTCTGTATCTGGTATGTGAACTTTCTATACCCAATATGGAACTTTCTGTACCCAGTATGGGAACTTTTAATATCCAGCATGTGAACTTTCTATACCCAGTACAGTATGTGAACTTTCTATACCCAACAGTATGTGAACTTCCTATACCCAGTATATGAACTTTTTATATCATGTATGTGAACTATCTACATCATATATGGGAACTTTCTATATCAGATATGTGAACTTTCTATATACTGTACAGTGTGTGAATTTTCTGTACTGGTATATAAATTTTCTGTATTGGGTATATTGTGTCGCCTAACTCGAATGTATCAATTTGTCCCAGGACCAGCAATATATTTATCCCATGATATTTGGAGCGATATATTTTCTGTTATCAGCATATATTTTTATGCCATAATTTGTTTTTGTTAGCACAAACTATAGGCATATATTTGCTCGTGCAGTATTTTTATATTAAAATAATGCATGAAAAAGTAGATTCTTAACCCTTAAATTGTGGATACAGACTTTCTTGGGCAGTCCCCTTGGTGGCTCCCTGATGCTATCTCACTGGGATTGCCCCATACTAATTGGTCACATCAGTCGTGAGCGTTCTGCTTGGCCTGCCGAGGACCTAGCCAAAACCTGGCTTCCCTCACGGAGGCACAAGAAGCGAGTAACAATCTGCCATCCCACCAAGAGAGTCGGCAAAGCATTACAGATAATTGCAGGGTTCACAGAAAATAAGGCCTTGACCGGAGGGAGCCGGTCGGCCAAGCGGACAGCATGCTGGACTTGTGGTCCTGGGTTCGATCCCAGGCGCCGGCGAGAAACAATGGGCAGAGATTCTTTCACCCTATGCCCCTGTTACCTAGTAGTAAAATAGGTACCTGGGTGTTAGTCAGCTGTCACGGGCTGCTTCCTGGGGGTGGAGGCCTGGTCGAGGACCGGGCCGCGGGGACACTAAAGTCCCGAAATCCTCTCAAAATAACCTCAAGATCAACTAAACAAGCATCTCTGCAGACAATTCACACAGTAAGAAGGTTCACTCAAAACTAACTCTATTAGATAAGAAATTAATTTAGGGAATTCTTTTAATATTATAGTGCTAATACTGTATAAGAATTAGCACTATTATATATTATATAGTGGTAATTATAATATTATGTTTATCAAATATCCCCATTATTAAATGGGGATTATGTATATTAATTATGAATATTATTAATTATCATTATGTGGCTTAAGGCTTAAAATATGAAGACTAAACCACACACCAGAAAATGAGGAGACGACAACGTTTCGGTCCGTCGTGGACTTGTACACAGTCTTCATCACTGTCAGGATCTATGACACTTACGATCGTTAAATAATTGCAGTTACTGTACTTTTTTTGTTTATCATTATTAAGTGATACTATGAGCATGAGCTGCATGGTAATGCTTATTTATGTATAGACTTATTCTTAAAATGTGTTTTGTATTAATAATAATGTACAGAATTTCATTGAATATACCTTTCAATCTGCAGCTATTATTACTCTTAGCACACTATGTGCACCACTATATCATTCTTGGCAATAATTCCCACTTTACCAATTCAAATTGCCTATAAATATGATTCTAACCTTGGTATTATACAAGTCTCACTCTAAATTGTACCAAACACTTTTTTTTTTTATTACACCACCAGGGCCACACAGAACCAATCACACACAAACAATTACAAGCCAACCATCCCTCGAAATAATTACTGCTTTTCAACATTTTCAGGGACAGTATTTTTATAAAGTGTGTTGGCGTGGCTATGATCCAAAAGATAGCTCATGGGAACCTTCTTCAAATTTGACTGGATGTGAAGATTTGCTATTAGAATTTTATAAATCAAGATTAAAAGAACAAGAAATAACTGAAACTAATGAGTAAGTACATTAAATCCATTATAGGAATTATTTCAGTTAAAAAATGTGGAGAGGGAAGGATTGCAGAAATCTTTTCTTTTGATTTGCTTGAGGTAGAAAAATATATAAATCATCCCTCAAATTTATGTTTGCATGTACAGTAGGCCTTTATTAATTTTATTATTTAATTTATTTTTATTGCACACTAGAATCATGTACTGAAGTGTAGTGCATTATTGAGAACTGGAGCTCTGGTGATTGAAATTGACAGATAACATGTCGCACCATGTTTATACTATGACCTCTCTGTTTATACTATGACCTCTCCCTTAGGTTTTCATTTTGAGTTTAATGTATACCTCTTTCACCTGGTTAGGTTATTCATGGTACAGTATTTTGAAAATAGGGTTTAAGGGTTGATTGCTTAAGACTTGGCATGCAAATACAGTGCTTGAACATATTTATAGGATATTAAAATTACAGTGTTGCACTATAAATTGTATATCCTCAATGTATTTGTGTGCCGAGTCTAAGGCAATCGGCCCCTAAGCCCTGTTTGTTTTGATCTTTTCAGATTGAATTATCAGGTGATGCCACATGATCCTCACAACTGGCATCTTATTCAAAAGGCCCTGTTTTCACACATAAGTAAACCAAGCCAGAAGGACTATCAGGAGGGTATAGCAATTTTGGTATCGTCAAAATTGCCTGCACCGAAGACACAGAAGGAAATAAAAGAGGTGGCAGATAAAGCTCTTGCTGTGAGGAAGGTGAGGTGAAGGCTTGTCTTTTGCAGCTCTGTATTTGTAAAAGTAATTGGTTTAATCAAGGTAACTTCCAGGACAAGTTAGTCTGGTGTCAACTACTAAATCTCGCTTCTTTACTCAGTTGCATTCTGCAGTTGGGGAAAATGTTATTGCTTTTGTTATTAAGGTATTTGCATAATTTTGATGCAGTCGTGGATAGTAAAATTGATAATTGAGTAGCCTATGTGCCAGACAGCATGTTTGTCAGCATTTTTACATATAATATATTGTACAATTATACTCGTAGTCGGTAAATAGTTTAGACATACTGTACTAACTCGCTGAGCTGTGTCTTTGTGTTGTTTTCTGTGTTAATATTTATTTTAAATATAATTTACTCTCCTAATATATTTTTTCACATTTTTCTTTTAACAGAAGGACAAATATCATGCACTTCTCAAAACACTGGTGGTGGATTCCATCATGAAGGAATTAGGGGGCAAGCGTGAAAATCAGCTGGCACAACTTCGTACCTGGGAGCGCAACATGAACAGGATCTGCTCTGATCCTGCAAAACTCATTGTAGAAAATCATGTTGATTTAGAACTTCCACCCATGGACTTCATTTACATTAATGAATGTATAGTAAGTATTATAGTTAAACATCTTATTAATGAGCCACCAAATTTATTTGTATCCTATTAACTTTTTTGTCTCCTTTCCATTATGATTTTTTTTTTTTCAATCTCTTGGAAAACATCCTTTTATGTAGGCTTTAAACTTTAATGTATTTTTTGCAAGGAAGGTCCTTGTGTTTTATTGAACTGTGTAGTCGACTGGAGGAAGCTTTTTAGCACCATATAATGTTTTGGGAGGGGGGGGGTAATTGCCTTAGCAGTATCTCAAGCAAATGATCATAATTGGACTTAAATTTCTACATAATTTACCTGATGAATGGGGATACTCCCAATAATCTCAGTTGCAAACAAAGCTGGAAAGGTTTTGCAGTGGAGCTAACTATATGGTTTCTGAGCAGATGTCTTATTATGGCAAATGTCTTTTAAGGCAAAATTATTCCCCTATCTCAAAGTTCAGGGGCAGACGACTTCTGACTTGTTGGCAGGCTTTGAACTGTCGATCTCGGCTTGTGTTAAGCTGTACCTCTATCTTCCTTGAAACACACATTGTCAGTCAACTTGCAAACAGGTCCACAGTTACTGTTGGAAGAACAGGTAGGAATTGGCGAGTTCATTCTTTTCCTAGAGGGATGATTTATGAGGAAAGACTGAATGAATTAAACTTCATATCGCTGGAAGACAGAAGAATGAGACATGATTATAACATAAAAAAAATTGCAGAGAAATTGTGAAAGCAAACAGGGACAGATTATTTCAAATAGATGGTACATGGGGAAAAAAGGTGCATAGATAATAATCAAGTATCCAAATGAGCCATGTATACATTCAAGAGATATTTTGTTCGTGCGTAAGAGCACTGAACAAGTAGAATGCACCATAAAGTTTAGCGGTGGAGACGGATTCCAATCACAATTTCAAATATTGATATGATAGCAAAGCTCAACCTCAGTAAGTAAAATTAAGTACTCTTGCCCCACCCAACATAATGCACCTCCCACACTACCCATTCTTACTCCACTCACCCTACTTAACACAAACCCCCACAAGCCCCATTTTCTGCTCCATTTCTCATGGACTTTGAGCCCCCCTCCCCCCCCCCCTCCCCTCATCTTTCCCCTCAACTCGTACCCTAACCCATTCACCCAATTGTGCTTGCAGCAGTTGAACTTCAGCAATTTGCTCTTGACTTAATTATGTTATAACTTTTTGTATTTTGATGGGTTCTATTCACAGTTTGAAATTAAATGTGGTGGAAACTTCAGGCATCTTGTCCATTCCAAGACTGGCATTTACTAATCGGTAATGACTACCGAGTGGTCCAATTAAGTTTCATTTAGTAAACTCCGTATTAATAATTGTGGTACAATTTTTATTATACTGTAATTATTGAATGCTACTAATTTACTGTCATTGTTTACAAACCCTGAGATCTCAAGGAGCATTATGTCACATTTGTAACATTGTAACATTTTTACAATGTTGTAACATTTTTACAATGTTACAAGTTGTAACATTTTACAAAATATATTAAGTATTGGTGTTGGAATATCATTCCTTTTATAATATTGATATCGTGTAATACTGTATTGGTCAAAATATGGATATCAGTATACCTCTACTGTATATTGCTTCAGATGTAGTAGTACAGTACAGAACTTCATGTGTAGAGGTAATATGATAGTGTTAAAGATGCAGTGGTTTCAAACTAGCTGTGTTTTGGAGTAATTTTAAATTAATAAAAATTAAGGGGATAAAACAGATGATTCATGAAAGATTAGGTACACCTCCCTCAAGTGCCTCGGTTATAAGCTATTATAGATTGTATTTGGTAGTTTTGGTTCTGAAATGTATTAGAGTTGGTCACTGACAAGTTGTAGTGTGAAAATTGGTGCTTCTGTCATACATGTAATATTTTTTCTCTTAACTGCTGCACTTATGGAAAAAAGTATTAAATTCTCAGCATGTAAGAAGAGGAGTGCTGAACATGGCAACATAAACAAGGTAATACTTCTTGCCTGACATACTCATATTTGACAACATAAATTATTGTATATAGCAGTCCATCTGTATACCGGGCTACATATACCATGTCTAATCTCATATTGGTCATGAACTTTACACTTCTTTGTAGTAAACATTGTGGTTTTCGAATATCTTGACCTTAAATTTAGAAATGCCATACTCTTCATTGTGTGTTTGTGATATTCCTAGGTCATGATAATCTAGTTGATGATCCATACATTCACATGATTTTTTAGCTTGTATTTCTTGAAGGGTGAGAATGTCCTGCTAAAGCTCCAGGCTGATCTTAAAAGCTACTGTAGTATAAAACTAGGTCAATGGCATGTTTCCAGAATGCATACAATATTGGCCCATTGAGCATCGTGGTTTTCAGGGGGGAGCCCCCAGTAGCTTCCTGAAGCTATCTCACCGAGATTATTCCATGTAAATGGGTCACATCAGACAGATTTCTCTTTGGCCTAGCAGATACCAGAGCCAAAACCTGGCTCTCACAGAGTTCCAGAAAACAAGTGAACATTTACCACCACACCAGGAAAGCTTCCAGAAAGTCTGAAGTTTTGCAGACAACTGAAGGGTCAACACAGACCAAAACCTTGAAAATGGCAAACAACTTTGCAAACAATTCACATGGAATGAGAAACATTCAAAATTAACATGAAACTCGTAGTACCGAATGCCACCACCAGGCGGTCTGGCTTCTGTGTGCAACCATCATCCATGTCAGATCTATTGCTGATTTCATGCTGGATACTTCTGTTCCAGGTCTTTCAGACATTTCAAGTCCACTCTGCTTCAAGCTAAATGCCATCCATCCTTCTTGTTCATGTAGGGGCCATGTTTGTTCATCTGCTCTTTGAGGTCATGTTTGCTTGATTCTCCGTTCTATATTTTATTTTTTGCTTCGTGTGCATGTTTACTATCCAGTTTGTGTTGGCTTGGCTTTCCTGTCCCTGCATTGACGGGATATTTACTTTGGTGTGTTCGGAAGTTAACCATTTTTGGGGTGTAGTCTCCTCTGGCAAGGAAGATGGTTTTGTGTGGAAGCCAGGCAGCCTGGTGGTGGCATTTAGTACTATGAGTTTCATGCTAATTTTGAATGTTTCACTAGTTCTGTACTTGCCTAATTGTGCTTGTGTAAATCATTTGCTGAGCTGTTTGGGATTTTCAAGGTTTTGGTCTTTGTTTACCCTCCAGTTGTGTGTAAAACTTCGCTGACTTTCTGAATGCTTTCTTTTGTGTGGTGGCTTATTGTCATTTGCTCAGTATGCCTCTTGAGGGGGGCCAGGTTTTTGCTCTCGTCCTCGATAGGCCAAATAGAACTCCCCCTATCTGATGTGACCCATTTGCACTGAGCAATCTCTGCGAGATAGCTTCAGGGAGCCACTGGGACTCGTCCAGAAAGAGGCATTTCATTATCTTCAACGTTGTGTTTTGTTAATAGGTTCTTAGGAGGTGATGTTTTGTTTTAATACAAGTCTTTGAGATGCTGCCTTATTTAGATACAGGATAACATAATGTTTTAAAGACAAAAATTGAACCTGGAAATGGAGCAAAATCACTTAAATCAATGTAATAGCTTTGCAGTTCTTTATACATCTAGAAATTTTAAGCTGCATTATCTAATAATGAAGCTTACCTATCCTAATTGTATATTATTCTAATGTGGGATCTCTGTATTAGCTCCACAAAACAGAAGAAAGTTTGATGTGGAATTAACATTTCGTGCTATTATTACTGATGGGTGAATGTATACATACGTACAGTCAATCTTGTTATCCATTTTCTCCCTTTTGTGGAGTGGGGGAAGTGGTAGCTCAGAGGAAACATCATATGTCAAGTGTATTAGATAATTTATATTAAATTTGTATTTACTTCTTGAGTCCCTTTTAGTGCAGTATAATGTGTGTGTGTCAACAGGCTGGTGAAGGAGTGACAATACCATCAGACCCAGTTGTTGGATGTGAGTGTACCGACTGTGCTACTGACCACAAGTCTTGCTGTCCAAACCAGATGACCTCGTGGCTGGCATACAATAAGCAGGGCAGACTCAAGGTAATCATGATTTAATCTCATATTTTAACAAATATTATTTAGACTAGAAAATATTTTAATAAATTAGAAGTAAAACAGTGTGAGGGGTTCACAGGCTTCTTTAGATGCAAAATTATTAAATTTGACAAATTATTCATTTAACCCCTTAACTAAGGCTATTTTGCTTTTGCAGTTAAGGCTGTCGTGCTAAAAAAAAAATTGTCATGCATTTGAATTATTATTTTTTGGATGTTAATTACATCCAGGAACTGTGAGAACCCAATTAAAATGTCTCTACCTCCTATGGTTTAATTGTAGTGGCCTAAAGAAGTTAGGATTTTCCATAGAAATGAGGCGAGATTCTGCACGGGAATAATTTTGTACATTTATTTTCAATGTTTGTCCCCTGATTTACTTAAATATATTTATTTTTATTCACATACATTACCACAAATGTAATTTCCAAAGTTTTACATAATGAACACAGTACCGCTATTGATAATGAACACAGTACCGCTATTGACACATTAATATAACATGTGCACCCCCCAAAAAATTAAATTAAATTGGAATTAAATTAAATTATAAATGTAAATATAAAATGTATGTGCATATATTTATATTGACTGTAAAACCAGTATTTTCATAGCCAGTGCAATAGATTAAATAGAACTTCCAGTTTAAACATTTGTATGTCACTGTTGTCTCATTAGTGACGTAGAATTCTTCCTTTCGAAAGCGGAGCTCAATTCAATCAGAAAATTTTCCATCATATTTCTTACTAGGCTAAGTCAAAGCAACTATGCACAAGTGGTAAGGCATTTTGTGGCAGGGACATTGTGATTTGTAGACGTAAGACCTGAGCAATAGTAATATGCAATCCAAAATATACTACAGGTATGTAGGTTTCATTGTGCATCATTATATACTGCAGAAAAAGATCATAATAATGTACCTACTTCTTACAGGTGTCATTGGGAACTCCAATTTATGAATGCAATAAACTCTGTAAGTGTGGCCCTAGCTGTATAAACAGAGTGGTGCAAAAGGGAAGGAATATCAGCCTGTGTATCTTCCGCACTGCCAATGGACGTGGCTGGGGTGTGAAAGCAATGGAGAATATTAAAAAGGACTCCCTAGTCACAGAATATGTTGGAGAAATCATCACATCTGATGAAGCAGAGCGCCGGGGAAAGATTTATGGTCAGTGGCATAAGTATTGGTTCCATAACTCCTGTGATTTTTACAGGATTATTAATCATTGTGATTTGTGTGGTATCTATGTGAAATTTGGATGATAGTGATATCTATGGTACCAAATGTTATTAAGTCATGAATCCCCCAGGTAATAAGTTTTAGAATAATTTTAACACATTGTTGTAGAAGGGTAAAGATAAACCTTGGGTGAGACCTCGAACACAAGTAATAAGCATTTCTGCAAAATAATTACACACACGACCTGATGCTGGACGATATTCCCAGTAGGCTCATTTGCATAAGATGGAAGTATTGCTCCTCAATAACGACAATTCATCACATGAACCACTGGAGATATTTTATTTAAATTTGGCATGTTTTTGTCTTGAACAATGTTGCAATTTCTGCTTTTCTAATCTTTATTTCTATTTACTCTTTATTCTTTAATTACTCATTTTTGTCTTGTCTCTCACCTTCAGTTTGCAGCCATGGAATCTGCTTTTTCATGCCATTGGCTGCGCTCTACTTCCATGTCCTACTAAAGCTCTTCCCCCTTATTATTTCTCCAGTTTGTAGAACACCATGCACAAGCTTAGCATTTCTAATGAATGGGGTTTGCTTACTTCTTACATGATGATGTTCATTTGGGAAAAAAAATTTGCTCTAAGCTTCTTACTTTCTTCCTAAGTTGTTAATTTCCCATCAGTGTTTTCTCTGTTTCTGTTTACAGTTGTCACTTTTAACTTAATGTTATTTTATGTAATTTGAAGAATATTTAACAATGTTTTGTGTATTTGGAGACATTTTGTGTAGGAATCTTATTTCAAGTTTTGCATTTATTCTTCATACAGTACAGTGTAAATCATTTTACTATTATGGTACAAATTAAATTATTTAACCAATCATTAATTCTTTACACAGATGCTCAAGGTTGTACTTACTTGTTTGACCTGGATTATGATAAAGGTGACCAAAATCTATACACTATTGATGCTGCAAAGTGTGGTAATGTGTCTCACTTTATCAACCATTCTGTGAGTTACTATTATTTTTTGTTAAGTGAAGAATGCTTTAAATGTGTGTGATACAAGAGCAGTGAGAGGCAGGTCTTAAATAGTGTGTTTACCAGAAAGCATGGGATAATGGTACTGTGCATAGAGAGAGAGAGAGAGCTGTGATGGTACCATAGTATATAAATATATAAAGAAGAAGTAGTAAGCTTAAGAATTATGGAGGCATTAGTTTAAGTGTAGCAGTTAAAGTATATAGTAGGATAGTGATTAATGAGTATAGGAAATTTCAGAGAAATTGATTGATGAACAAGGTAGGTTGAATATCAGATACTTACACAGAGACCACTTGTATACAATGCTCGTATGAGATTGTAAGGTATGCATGAAATTGGAAAAACATATGACAAATTTAAATAGAGGAGTTTGGGGAGTAAGAAACATGTAGGGAATTGACCGAGTACTGGTAAATATTGTGAAAAGCTTCAAATGTAGAAAGTACTTCATACATAAAGACTTGATGATATAATGAATAACTGATTTGATATTATTTAATTTAAATTTGTTATAGATATCACACAAGTTTGTATTAGTCTTATTTTACCTCCTCTCCTAACAACAATACTACTACTTGATCAAATCCACAAAAGAACTTGCACAATCTCCACATAATATCCTCTTTTGAAGTATGGCAAAATTTCTTTCTCTCTTTTTCTATTTGTTTCCAATAAGGCATAATCAGTCCAAAAAATCCTCATTATTTCTAATAAATACAAGATCCAATACACAGACAATGAGTCACAGTAACATGGCTGAAGATATGATGACCAAACTACACATGAGAAAATGAAAAAAACGCCAACGTTTCGATTTGTCCCGAACCATTATCAAGTCTTACTACTTGATAATGGTCCAGGATGAACTGAAACAGTCATTTTTTTCGTTTTCTGGTGTGTGATCCAGTCATCATTAGATCCAATAATGATGGAACATCCCTTTGCCCTATTCTTGTGGCCTTAGAATTTTTTAATTTTATTTATATATAAATGCCTCCGGGTTAAAATTCACTAATTTGATGGTTCTTATAACTTCTGTTCATGTTGCCTTTGCCTTCAAATAAATAAATTTTTATATTAAACTTACCGAATGTCAGCAATATGGGTTTATTGTGATCTGGCACCTATATTATCTCTTTTTGATGATCATTATTTCTCTCATTTGTCATCTAATTCTTGTTTAATACCTGCACTGTATTTTTTACTGGCAGGTCTTTTTTTATGATTGCTAATTTGGTTTGTCTGGTTTGAACCTGCGGGTCAACATTTGAACGTTTGTAAATCGGTATTAGTGGCAGTTCTGGACCCACTGTTAGTTGAAATTAAAATGAGCCTCATTATAAATTTTCAATAGCAGTAAAGTTTGCTTTTAGTTTGATTAATCACTGTGATGACATCTTTTCTATGAGGGCTCCAACTTGGCTCCCTGTTACTAACTGCTCTGGATAGTTCCATCCCTATCAAATTGCACCAGTCATTAATAGCCTACCAGACATCAGAGGTTAAAACCTGGTCTGTTCAACAAGGCAGAGAGAACAGAGGATATTAGATGGCTTACTGAGGAAATTGCGACAGGAAAGGTCAAGTGAGACACAAAAGAAAACAAATGGAAAAGTTAGGTATCTTCACTGCTAGTTCCACCTCCTGATGCTGCTGGCTCAGTTATTATAATGTATAATGAATGTATCGGTATATAATGAACAACCTTAAACTCGACAGAAAGGGTATTCCCTCACATGCAGTACTTGTTTTAAGATTTTTAAGCAGTTTGTCTTGGTAATAGGTCAGTAGATGAATACTTGCTTCCCTGCCTCTTTGAGAGAGAAAGTAAGATCTTTGGCTGTGCTCCTGGTGGGCATCACTGAAGCCTGCTTTTGCACAGGAGCACTGGGGTGCTGATGCAGCGAGTTTGAGGGAGTTACTGAGGTGCCACCTAGACAGAGACATTTCGTTACACTCAAAGCTTTATATATATATTTATGTTCACATATCCCTGGCTACATTAACTATTTATTTTAACAGTGTGACCCCAACCTGGTTGTTTTCAACGTTTGGGTGAACTGCCTTGATCCAGACCTTCCTAGACTGGCATTATTTGCAACTCGAGATATCAAAAAATGGGAGGAATTGACATTTGATTATAACTCAGGATTGAACTCGTCTCAGATGGCAAGCAGATTTTCTCATTCATCAGGTGAGTTTTTTGTGTTTTTCAGAGAAATATTTAGATAGATGCAAAATAATAAAAACACAGCCCAGTAGAATTTTTATATAAAATACTAGCTGTACCCAGCCACGCAACCCATCCCCCCCCTCCCCTGTCCCCACGTCCTCACAACTAAACCCCCCTCCCTTCCCCGTATCCTCATCCTCCCCACCATCCCCCACTCCCCCGTCCCCCCCACCATCCTCCACTCCCATCCCCTCGCCCTCCCCATTTATTTTTTATTTATATAGATTTTTCATTTGGCTTTTGAACTAGTAATATAATATCCTCAGTTCAGTTTGTCTTAGTGTATCATTATTTTTTTTTCTTCAGAGTGAACCATTGTTAAAGTTTTGGTGTCTTGAAACTAGAAGTAATGTTAGTGGCATTGACTTAACTGCATGATATATTTGAAAGGAAAAGTATACAGAATAATAAAATATTTTGTTTTATAGATTTGCTAGGCAAGAGTATTTTTAACTTTAGAATGTCTGACCATTACATATAAGATTATTTTGGTTTTAATAGGTAATTAAATAGGTATTAAGTAATGAATAATTAAACAATTAAGTATACATTGGGCAAAATCTTACTGAAGCGACAATACGAGTCATAAATACTCTCACTCCGCCTAAGTAAAACAGAAACAAGCAACACTTAGTGGGCCAGCGAAAGGCTTAGGGCCCACGCAGGAATTTCCCTGCAAATAAAAAAAAATTTAAGTAACCTAATTAAATAGGAGTTAAATAACAGGCAAATCTCAAGTCTCCAAATTGGAGGAGTTAAGTGATAAATACTTGTTTGCCATAATACTTTGGCGAGAGGTTCCAACTCTCTCATTACAGGTGGCAATACAGTACAGTTAACCACTTAAAGAAAATTCAAGTGGTTACAGTACTATATTGAGTTATTAAAATAAAAACAAAAACCTAACTATGTAACTAGTGTCTAGTATCACATAAATAATCTTGTTTCCAATATTTTATACTTGTTAATAATTTAATTTAAACTAAAAAAAAAATATCCTTTTTTACAGAAATATATTTTGTTTACCATCAGTGAAAGATAAAATTATATTTTTTAATCTCTCTTTGACCAATTTCAGAGAAAAAGGCCCCCTTCACTCCCGAGAAAAGCAACAGGACAGTACCCTCCTCCGAGTTAATACTGAAGACACCCAAAGGAAACAGAGGCCTCCAGTATGGCAAGACAGAGTGTCATTGTGGTTCTGCCAATTGTCGAAAATATTTCTTTTAAACCTCTCTTATCCAATCGTGACTGCTGACTTTCAACACTAAAGGCCACAGCAGGACAGTTTTATCACCGAAAGAATTACAAGTGGCAATATTCATAGGGCTGAACTGACATAACCGTTCTAAAGATTCTTTCTGTGGTTTAGTGCAAATAAAATTATTGTTTTGTCTTTTCAGATTCACTGTTATCAAACTGTAACTGCAGATCTAATAAATAGTTAAATCTGATTTCACAAAATGTTTCCATTGTTCTTCTTTATTAAGTTGTTACTTAGGATCTGTTGCCCTTAAAATATTTACTGTACTGTGCCATTCTTAATTTTCACTGGGTGAATGACATACTTTTTTATTAAAAGCATTCTAAAGTTAATTCTTATTGTAGCAAGTAATTGATCCTGAAGAGAGATTCTACAGTATAGTAATATATTTATCCATGTTTTATGAACAAGTTCGTTGTTTGCATCATTGGTAAATTCTCAGTGTTTGTGTATACTGTATGTATGATTGTTTATGTAGTCATCTTCTCTAAAACTGGTCTCTTCAGAGCACTGAAATATGTACAAGCGGTTCATGTCACATGAACTAATGAGCTGGTAAGACTGGGTAAGTATGATTTATCAGTGGAATTGTTCCTTAGTATGGATATAGAGTACCAACTTGCTTTTGTTTGATGTTTTGTCACCATCTGTGATGCTTTAAAGTGGGGATTTTATTTATTTATTTATTTATTATTTGTTTATTTCCAATATTTTGATGTTAAACAATTTGTTAAATTTGCACACTCCTCAACAAAAACTTATTAGTTTGACATTTTATTGCTAAATGTGTAAAATAAGTGCTCTTGGACATGCACACATTCAGTTCAAAACAGAACTACAATTTAGAGTTTAATTCTTGTATGATTCATCATACAGTATAAAAAGAAATCTATGCTTCACCTAGGAAGGTAGCATTAATCACTCGGTTGAGGATTAAATTGTCCCAATATTCAAGATTTAATGTCAATCCCATGCTGTAGTTGTAAAATTTCAATAAATGGTTTAGGACATTTGCTCCATCATCACTTTTATTTCTTCGTTCACGAAGAATTGGATTATCTTTAAATATTTAATTTGCGCTATGAAGTCGCCTCACTATGGTGGTTATCCAAACAGCACTGTGATAGTATTGGTTGGTTAAATTACTTTTCTTGAATTCACATAACTGTATGTATGTTTGGCCTTAGTATTCTCCTCTCTGTTTGTTGTCGTTCTGCCTCCTTTTCCTCTTGTATCTACTTTTCTTCCACTGGGAGTAATGTTAAATAATTTCACCAGTAAAACTCAAGAGACTGGTGAATGGCGCTGACTTGTCATAATGTTGACTTTATTACAAGCTATAAAATTCTGTTATTCTTATTCTCAGATATAAGTGCATTTTATCAATGAATTATATTTTTTGCAAACTGCATCTCTCTCCAGAAATGTAAAATGTAAAGTTATATGCAATTACTTTTCTTTTTTTTGCTGTATTGTGGTAAATGTACTTCTGGGCGTTCTTTTTATTATTTCATTTTAAAGAGACTTTAGTTTGCAGTTGATTTCTGCTTTGTTTTATTGAATATGAGTCTTTGTGATTAGCCATATAAAATGTGTGAGTAATGTTATTTAAAGTCCTGCTAATATTTGTGTATACTGTGCAAGTTTCGAATTCATTATTCGGTACAGAAGTTTAGTTACACTAGTGATTTATGCTAAAGGTATCGACTGTTATGGTATTATATATACTAAGTAATTTTATGTGATCTTGGACAACTTGCAAAATATATTAGATGTACCAGAGAACTAAAATGTAATAAATTATTACACGTGTACAATAATGCAAATCAACTCCGAAATATTTGATTAAGCCTTCTACCTTGCTCATGTTTGCTGCAAGAATTACCTTCGGTTGTAGATATATTAATTTTCAGGTGTGTATCTCATATATAACCAAATGGACTTTAGTATCATCTACAATTGTGGCAAGTCTTGGTTGGCAATTAACATTAAACTGTGTGTGTATTTGGCAAATATTTACTGATCTAATGCCTGATTTTTTTTTAATCTTAAAGATCAAGATTTTGTAGGAGCACTTGTATTCATTTATTAAACTCTCAGTTGTTGTTAGGCTCTAGTTGATTTGTTCATTTGCAAGAACAGTTTTTTCTTCATTAAATGTGAAAAATGGGCAACAATGAAGCCTGGCCCCTGGCTGGGAGTAGTAGACCTCCCAGAACCCTCTCCAGATATCTCGAAGTAATAGTTGTCAGTTATTTGTGTCACTAGTCCTTGGTCCCTTTATATGTGGTCTCATGTAGAGTCTTCCAAATAGTTTATACCACCTTGATAAGTTAGATTTTCAGAAAACCATTGTAATGTGCTGAAGAATCCTTAATTTCTTTTATTATTAACTTCAGAAAAAAGTCGGCAGTTCTGAAACTAAAATTAGAGACTAAGGATTGCCTTAGCAATTATATGCATATAATTTTTTATTATATTTTTTTTAAGTAGCTGAATGGAAAATGCAATGGCTGAAAATTTGATAAATCAGCAAATAGTGCTGAATTGGGAGTATTCCACAAAAGAATTACAAATGGGAGCTAGGCTCGTTCTTATTGTTGTATTTAGTACTCAAGTTATTTAGCAAATTATCGAGTGAAAATAAAGTGCAGCAGGTATAAAAAATAAAAAAAAAATCCATTGTAACTAAATTATTGACCATTGGAAGTCCATTCAGTGCAGCCATTTAATACTTTGGTTTAGCCGCTGTGATTATTTATTTTTTGTTATACAAATTCATCAGTTGGGATTTTTTTTATACAACAAGTGTACCCTTTGAAAATGCCTACTGGTCAGTGAACGAGAACGAATATATTCTGAAGAAATGTGCTATATATTTAAAATTTTCATTCCCTTCTGATATTTTGTATATTTGTAAATAAAAGATTGTCTTAAAAACTGTTTTCTTATCAAGCAATGTCCCTCCATACAATAATTGAGTTTGATACCTTTGTCGCCTTGTGCTGTGTTTTGATATCGGCATCCTGACTGATATTTAGTCTAACTGGCTTAGTGCCTTCTGTTGATAATTACTTTCAAACACCCAATAATCACACTAGAAAATGTCAACTGATAGACATGGGTAACTACCTTTTGCCAATCTTTGCCAGTCTTTCATGTGGAACCTTTTTAATTAAACTCAAAGCTAGGCAACCTCAACCTCTACAGTAGCACCCATTCACAAATGTCCTGTGTATGGGCAAACTTTCCAGATCCAGATTGGTCTCGTCCTCCAACATTGGCACACAGCCACTAACCTTTGACCTGATATATTGAAATCATGGCTGTCTTTGCATCCGAAGGACGAACATCACCTTATTAAAAGCTTTAGAGAAATTCATCTGCTTTTGAATAGCTTGTTACAGTTTCCAAATATATGAGGTTTGTAAGGCAAGATTTATGTCAACAAAATTCATGTGTTAATTTTACTAGATATGTTATAGTGAGACGGTGAATAATTCCCTCCCTTTGGATTCTCTCCTTGAGCTTGCAGATATACGCGGTCAGGCTGATCACAGTAGTTTTCTGTAGAGCTCTTTGGCTTTTTTTGAAAATAGGGGTGACATTTGTATATTTCCAATCTAGGGGAAGATCCAGAGATACTCTTAAAAAGGAGTTTCAGTGATAGACATAGTTCATCTACCAGTTCCTTTACTACTTTTGGATTGAATTCCGTCCACACCTGAGGCTTTTGAATTATTTAACGTGTCAGTGTTCTTCCTGATTACATCGCATTGTGAGAATATCCTGTGACTATAATCTCTTTCAAGAGAGATTGAGCCTGCTCTTCCCTACAAAGTACGTAAATATACAAGATAATATAGAAGATACGTCCAGCAAGTATCGCCAAACGTTTTGCCCAGAGAGCAAATCGTACCCAGCACACAGTGACACCTGCTAGCCACCACCGCCGTAACCAGCAAACTGCTCGTCCTTTGCCTGCCTGTCGCTGATTGGCTGGTGTCCCGTCGCACCTGCCCTCCGCCCTCCACCACAAGTCGATGTCTGGGCTGCAGTGCTCCAGTATCGTCAGAATATCTCAGTGCTCCTTGCAGTTGACATCTCTCGCTGGTAGACTAAGCCTTGGCTTTCGTGTACTAAGGGAGGTGGCAGCTCGAAGCCGGTATTCCAGCACCACCACTAATATTTATTTTGCTATCACTGTAACTCACTTGTCTTAACGTAACTTTTCATTTGCCAGTGATTATTCATATTATTTTGTTTGTTGACTTGTCTTTTATATTTTATGTTCTTAACTTTATTCATGTCTTGTTTTTCTAAAGTAATTAAAATTTCATTGTTAATTTACTTGTGTTTTGTGTGTCTTCCCATTACCTTACCACAGACGAAAGCTCCAGCTTTTCTCTTTTTTTTCTATTATGTGACGAGGCCCTGCCCCTAGCTTATGAAACAGCCGAACACCAACGCTTTACCGTCACAATCCCTTAATTCATGACCTGGGAGAAACAATTACCCATAGAACAAGAGACCATGTATAGCTAGGTCCCATTGTGCACCTGCAAGATAATGAAAATTTGAGGGGTGTAAGATGTTAAACCCTTGTTTGGCACTTCACATGAAAGTTCAAGTGATCACTGCAGTTGCGTCTGCCAGTGGAATGCTAGGAATAGGCAAAGGAACTTTTGGCGTCAATGGAAAGAAAGTGGATATTAAACTGTTAAAGTCTTTAGTGCACTCTCATTTAGACTATTGAATGCAAGCATGGAGGTTTTACCTTCAGAAGGACATATCTGCCTTGGAGAAAGATCAAGAGTGACAAAAATCATCATAGAATTAAGTCGGCTCATATCAGGAATGGTTGAGGGCCACAAGGCTAACAACATTGCAAACCAAACATGACAGAGCTGATCGCATTGAGACTTAAAATATTGAACATGTTGGAGGATATTAATCTAGACCCATTCTTAAAAGGTCAACAAAAGTGTAACAAATACAAGAGCCAACAGCTTGACAAAAATTTAACAAGCCACAATGTAGGGCAGACAATAGATACTTTTTCACCCACTGGGCTATAAACTCATGGAACCGCCTACCCGCCGAATATGTAAATGCCTAGACATTTCTTAAGTTCAAAGTCAAGTTAGGAAACAACTCTCACGAATAATGGGGAGGGGGGGGGTGAGGCTAAATAACTGCCGACGTCTTGTTTCAGTCGACACCACTAAGGAGATGGTGGTTCTCATGTAAATTTAAGTAAATAATGAAGAACCTGGAGCACATAGGCTTACCACCACCACCAGGCCCACACACCTCTACAAAAGCCAGCTACCATTGTCTTACATCACTACATGCAGTAGGCCTAACACCGCCACATCATCCCAGCCCCCCACTCCACCAACCATTGCTTATTACACCATCTATTTACTGATATTATTAATCAGTACATCAGTGTGTACCCACAAAGACTACATTAACAAATAATTACACCAGTACGGGGATAATCCCCCCCCCTCCCCTCCTCTTTCCCCGACATATCTACATACGACCCCCTCCCTTAGCTCGACTCTCCTGAGTAATCTTACGACCTATAGCGCTTGGTCAAAGGCCTAAATATCATAATTCAATTGAAACTTCCCCCGACCGCCACCCCACCACCTCCTCCTCCTCCCGGCCACACAACACGACCTACATAGACTCTGGCCGTCACCCCCACCACAGTGCCGCTGGGGTGACGGTGGGGAGTGGATGTGTTAATCGTCTCCGCTCCCAGTTTCTCACCTGTATATACTGAAATAGTCAAGTGTTACAATTATTTCGAAACAGTCCTTGTTGTATTTTGAATATTCTATACCGTAGAACAAATATTAATTCCCAGAGTAGCAAGACATGAAAAGGTAAGTAAAATTTGCCTGAATTTACCTGAGGGCCATTATATCTCTCGTGGCCTCGACGAGGACAGGAAGCCGGTCCTATTATTTTGTTAGCAAAACAATAGTTTATAATTGTATAGGTATGTTGGATGTTAAGGTAAGAATGGAGTACTTGTGAGCTGTGACGGATTAACAATTATAATGACATGTAACGCAAGTCCAACAATGTCAGTCTGTTCTGTATATGGCTTGACGGTCACGTGATGACGAGGTTCAGTTGTAATATAAATCTAAACTATGCATTATATAATGATTTATGTGCTATGCTGTCATTGTGACCTTATCTTATGTATAGATTTTGTACCCGGCGGTGCCCGGGGCTCGTTACCCCTTCTCCCTCTCCACCCACATTCTCCCAATATCCCCCCCCCTCTCTCTCTCACCTCTTCTCTTCCCCTATCCCACTCTCCTCTCCTCTTCCTTCCTGCCCCCTCTCCCATCTCCACCTTCCTCCCGGGCTCCTACACTCTCTCCGAACATTCCCCCACACCATCCACTTGGGCTGGACGGTAGAGCGACGGTCTTGCTTCATGCAGGTCGGCGTTCCATCCCCTACCGTCCAAGTGGTTGGGCTCCATTCCTCCCCCCCCCCCCCCCGTCCCATTCCAGATCCTTATCCTGACCCCTTCCCATTGTTATATTGTCGTAATGGCATGACGCTTTCTCCCGATAGTTCCATTCCTTTCCACACTCTCATATGCTTTCTCTCCTACCGCTCTCTTTCTCTCCTATCTCTCTCTTTCTCTCCTACTCCTCTCTCTCTCTCTCTCTCTCTCTCCCTCCTTCCCCATCTCTCTTTTCCTCCCCTCTTTATCTCCCTATCTCCGAGAAGAAAAATTGTCCAAAAAATCTACGGAAAACAGGTCTTAAATTTCAGACTTCATAAAAATCGCCGGAGCTTGTATGTCTTAAAGTGGGTTATTTGTCCATTGTCAGGTCATCTGACATTAATATGGGATGGGTTATTGATTTCATATTATGGGCTATCACTTCATGATCTCACATCAGACACATGTGCAACGTTCGTGTATACAACATCTGCAATTTGTATCTCTTTTAACGCTTCCGTGATTTGTCATAGTGGTTGAGTAATTGCGTAAGGCAAGATCTCCCCATTCTAAATGCACGTTGACATAGGTTGTGAAGACTATTGTTCTCAATAAAACTGGAGATTTGACTCCTAATCACTCTTCCAGAAACTTAATTAAGAGTGACGTTGGTCTGACCGGCTATCATCAATGCAAATTATAAAATTACAAATGAGAGCAAATAATACCTGGACGAGTGACTGACTCTCTCAGAATGAGCCAGAGGTGGTTAACATGTCTATAGCAGTGTCTTCAGTAATCTTTTGAATTACGAGAGTAGTTCAGCAGTTTAACCTGTCTCAGCCCTTCGCTTATTATATTACACTAAATTACTCTACTCCAGCCCTGTCTCACCCCACCCAGGCCCCTGTCCCACCCTCACGTCAGCTCTGTCTCACCCCCCACCCCAGTCCTGTTTCCCTGACCCCAGCCCTGTCCCACCGCCAAAGTGTTAGTTATGGTGCCAGGAAATATGTCAAGGGTATGTCAAGTATGTCAAGGACGATACGCGCCAGGAAAGCCGTGGGGCAGCAGATGGTAATCGGACAGGGGAAGTGGAAACCAAGGACATTACAGGGCAAGGACGTGACGCTCCGTTCTTTGTCACGCGAAGGTCAAAAGGAAAGGATAAAATATATATATATGAATGAAAGTTACTGCAGCGTGTGTGTACTCACAGGAGTTGTACCAGCCGGACCGAGCACCACCACCTTCACCAGTGAGGTATGATCAAATCTTTCACACGACGAGTCGACTCTGCGCGTTTTCTGTTTGTTAACACCAAATCAAAATCAAATGTTTATTTAGGTAAGGTACATACATACAAAAGATATTACAAAGAGTGATGGATTTAAAGATAGGGCTAGTACATACAATGCCTAAAGCCACTATTACGCAAAGCGTTTCGGGCATCGAAATACACCGTATATTAATCTATTATTAGGCTAGAATTATTGTCCGTTGACGAACCGTCTTGTGTACGATGTGGCTTGTATCCTTTGCAGGTGATGGGAGCTTCGTGGCTGCCATCTCACTAGTTCTGTATTAATTGATTGGTTTAGAATTATATGGAACTAATTTATAGTCATACTGGTTTGAGAAGTTAAGTCATAGCTTCATTAAAGCTTATGAATGGGTCTGCATGTTTGTAATTACTTAATTTTAGTTACAGTGTGAGAGATAAACTCGTGGTGACCCATCTTTGTTGCTGTGTGTGCTTACTTAATGGTGTATATGAGGAGCGAGATCCAGCTCCGGGGTTCCGGTTCATAGCTATTGTAACTCGTGCATTAATACTCTTGATGATCTAGTAACCTAGCATACTTGCCATGGAAACTGTATACTTGTCTAAATGTGCTCGTAGGGTAGATCAGTGGCTCCTGAGCCCCGCCTTACCAGCAATCGGTTGTCTTTTGCAGTGATTCGACCCTCTAGTTTTTGTCATATCTATACTTTAACTCTTATTGTATTAGATTTTACAATGTCTTTCTCGAGTCCAGTGTATTTTCCTGCTACTTTTACGCTAAAAAGCTAAAAAAGTTCTCTCTAACTTCATTATGACATTTGCGCCTCCGGTTTGTAAAGCTGATATTATCGTATTTATACGAGGTTCTAGTGCTAGGCTAGTTGCTATATTAGCTCCTCTTCAACTCTCAGATTTTGCAATATACTTCATTGGAAGAAAAAGTCCTTATTTTTTCGGATATTGTGTGCTAGTTTAGGCCGGAAGTGTAGACACGGGAGTGTTATGGCAGGTGCTCCTGTGTAACTGTTGCATCAGAAAGAAATTATAGACGTGCTTCCCCGGGGCACATGTTCAGTAGTGTATATAAGATGAGCCAGACGCCTATGGCTCAAGTTACAGCTCCACTCCTGTGTCAGGTAAGTTCACAACGGGCTCACCATAGCCCGTGCTACTTGCTTTTTGTGTTCCTTGTAGCTGAATCTAAAACAATAACAACAACCTGTGGCTTGTTGCACTCCGCAGCTCAGCACGGGGAGTACCTGCCCCCTCCACGTCCTGCCAATTCACGATAAAACCTGTTTTATCGAAAGTTTTCTGACAGGTCGTAAGTTCACCGTATTTAATGGATATTCAATGTGCGTTTTTCCGTAATAAAATCCACGAATCGGTCTCTGAAGGAATTTCACCTCGAAGTTGTCATTTTCAGAGCGAGGATGGGAGACCTCGCTGCCTCTCCCAGCCGTCAGGCCGTGGCCAGTGTTTGGATGGTGGTAGCGCTGCTGGTGGGCGTGTGGGTGGGACATGTTGCGGGCGTGGACCCCCGCCCACTACGACAGAAACACCAACGTACTATGCATGTAGGCCACAAGCATGGGGAGGCCCGGGCCGCTACTCAGAGGGTAAGTTTCAGCCAGGAAGGCTTGGTGTTGGTTACCTTCCTCTACATGATATAGAGTATAGATTAGGCTAGAGCTCGAATACGTGCTCGAATGTAAAAGGCACGTTGAAATTCCTAGCTTACAGCTCTAAGAGTGTCAATAATTATTCTATATTTATATACAATATATTAATTACAGGCCTTATTGAGAAGCCTAATGCACTTAGATATGCATCTAGATAGATATGCACGTATTAAACTATTATTTTAATCACAAATAATGTTTTTTTTAATTCTGAGGGCGATACTTTTTAAGATATAAGTTGTTAAATATGACACATTACAGAGTAAAACAAAAGTAAAGTCAGGTGGAAGTCAATGATGCGCGCAGGTCATCGACTTTCATTGAACTTGTGCGCTATCAAAGTTAGTCTTATTTCTTTATCAAATAAACGTATTTCTTGACTCCAGTGTTTTTTTTAGATAAAAAAGTTACAATTACACGGAATTGGTTTGATCTTAAATCAACTATTCATATGGAGGTTATAATTACACATTTCATGAACATTTGCAATTCTATGGCCATTAAATCCCAAAATTTAATTGCATATCAGTAGATAATGATAGATATTGTGAGGATAATTCTTTTGACAGTTTACATGGTCAGATCTAAATCAATCGTTGGGAGGGACCTTCCTGAAGCCTCGTCGCAGCAGAACAGTATAGTTCCGTTATCGTAATTTTGTTGACTACGGCTAATTTTCCGTTATTTCTCGTCTGTAAATAGAAATTCTGCTCATTTGCGTATTACTGTATCTAGATGTTCCCAACCAAAAAATTATGTTAAATGCAATACACACAATTCGTATTTGCCTTTAGGACTTCGGAGAGTTGACGAAGCTTGGGCGTCGGTTCCTGAAGTGCTCCAGGCGGCGGTTGCTACCACCTGAGGCGCCCAGGCAGAAGACCTGCAACCGCCTTCGTGTGAGCAGCACCTCCCCAGGAGCCAGCCGCACCTCCACCGGTAAGGCCAAGACTTGGTCAGGCCGTCGTCGTGGCTCTTCATGGCATTACCCATGGTTCAAGTTCAAACTCAAGTCTAAGACAAGGAAAAGGCCCAAGAAAAGAGGGAACGGTATGGCAGTGATGTTGGTGTGTTGCTTTGTGTGTTTAGCAGCGCCTAGAATACTGGTCGGGGTGATCCACGAGTCTGTCATTCTGTGTCTCAGTCGCGTTAATTTTGCTTTATTATTTGTGTCTGTTAGAGTGTTCCCTGTTTTTCTGAGTGTTCCTTTAACTTATTTTCTACATGTTTGCTTGTTCTTTCTGCATTCGGCGACGTACTGAGTTGTCACGGCATCTACAAACACCACCTCCCTTGGTATATCTTGCTTCTCCTCTTAGTTTCCACCATGGTAAATGCTAAGTAAATACTGAACCGTCATCATAATAGGTCCCGTAGTACTGTGGTCTACGGCTTCTACTCACAATCAAGGATCTCTGGTTCGATCGCAGGGCGGGACAGAAATGGTTGTACGCGTTTCCATCCACCTGATGCCGCTGTTTACGTAGTAGTAAATTGGTATCCGGAAGTTAGGCATATGATGAGGGTTGCATCCTGGGGAAGTTGACCTAGGGAGATACCTTGATAAGCCTAAGTACAAGTTACGTGTTCCCGACAACGGGAATCATTATTATAAGGAGCGGGGATAACAGCCTGCACGCTTCTCCTTTCTAGTGGGCGAGTGTGCAGGCACCTACACACTGGGACTCGAGGACGAGGTCAAGTTTAAGCTGCCAAGATCCTCTACCTTCTGCCAGATGGTCTTCTTGGTAAGAAAAACACGTGAGGGGATCTGACTTTGACCATTCATGCTTGGCCACATGATAAGTCGAAATCTAAATATTGTGTTTTATTTATGTTTTTTTCGGATAAGTGGGTTTTATAATATATATTAATGCCTGTCTACTTCTATTCTCATGTCTGCATTTATCAGCCCGCTCTTTCCATTACTAAAAAAATTGTCTCTCGTCTTTCCTACAGGCCAAACCAGGCACCTCCCTATCCTTCAGTTGCCGCAAGTTCAGTACAGCCACCTGCGAAAAAGAGTATCTCTTCCTCACCGACGGCATCTCCATAGCCACGTGAGTCTGCCTTGCCAATACGTTATTAATGTGTATTGTATATCCAAGCTGTCCTGTACCCCACCCCCCCTTTACACCCACCTTCAGTGTGTCCTCCACCACCACCCACCTCCCCAGTAATGATAACAGGTTATGATGGTGATAATGTCAGACACCATTCTTCCCCCACAGCACGTCTTGTGGACTAGAGCTCCCCACGCCGCTCTCAGGCCTCTCTCAGCTGTATGTCCTCTACGAGCGGCGGAGGCGTAGGGCCAAAAAATCGAAAATTGTCTGCTTCATCAGCGCTACAGGTATAGTCTTAACCCGCTCGCAGTGGAAACTGAGCTAAATGTTTGCTACTTGTGCGAATACTTCCTGTTGCACGGGTTTTAATGTCTGTTAAGAGATAATTGATAATTGAGGTTTTAACTTACAGAGACATGTCTTTTGCAGGCAGTAACGACGGAGGCTCTGGAGGCGGTGGTGGCGGGGGTGGGGGCGGCGGCCTCAGCACTGCTCAGGGTCAACAAGCTACCAACTGTGCCTCAAGTAAGGGTCAAAGTCATGTTAATATCAACCAGTGATGACCAGTCTGCTACTACTACTATTAATTCGACTACCGCTCTTGTCGCTGCTGTTGCTACTAAGATTTGTAGAAATAATTAAAACAATTCATTTCGTATTTCCCGACGCTCGAAACGTATCCAAGAGAAATCTCTAAATCAATTTCCGGTCCAATAACATTTCTCCTTTAATCTGTGTCGATGTTTTAAATACACCACTAACAGTGTTACTCCTATCTATTACTACCCTCGAATTGTTAATCCCAACCATCACATAACTTCACGGGAGCCCCAACAAACCCACAACCTTATTTTTTTAAAGTTGTAGCACCGTAAAACGTTGTTCCAATGTTAGGTGTTTTGCTGGGGCGCGGCTGTCTCTTCGTCTTACAATCACTAAGCGGCTAAACACACACACATTTCAACTTGTTTCTGATAACTGTCTTCCTATAAATCATGATCTCAACACCTTGAGAACAGTTCGTTTGTGTCAGGTCAGTCCACGTGATGCCGTGCCAACTGACGTTCTTTGAGTCATCAACATTTACGAGTCCGCTTGTGAAACCTGTACAAAGTTCTTCGATCATGGCGGTTAATCTGTGTTTATTAAACAGGTTAAGAGCTTCAAAAATTAGCAATATAAAGTTTTTGTTATAGGCAACCTCGTAATATTCTGGAGCTCAAAACCAGTTTAATATATTCTAAGCCGCCGTAAATGAAGAAAGATGCATAGGTTTCGTAAGTGGACACTCAAATTCTTGACCCTATGTACTAGTAACAGGCTTGTGAGATTTGTCTTAGGTTTTCTTAGCTCTCTCTGCCCCGCGGTGTGGCTTCCTACCACTTTAATGACCACCAAGTCGTGGAAACCACCTCCTTCCATAACATAAATTCGAAAAGGAATTCGAACGTCAGAAAAGTTAAACTAAAGCATACTAGAGAAAACAAAGCTAGTAGCGGAGAATAATGAACTAAGACCTGGAGTCCTCGTAGGTACCGTGAAGTAAGCTCCATGTTTTACAGTGTGTGGCGCTGCTCCTGCTGGTGCTGGGGCGACGCGTATCGTGGGAGGCGGCGAGGCAGAGCCTGGAGAGTACCCGTGGATGGCCAAGCTGATAATCAGGGACGAGGGACGGCCTAAGGAATGTGGGGGATCAATCATTACCTTCAGGCATGTCCTCACAGCCGCCCACTGTCTCAACTTCAAGAAGTAAGACTACCGGAGGGAAAAGGGTTAGAAGATAGATAGATGCAGACAAGGGGTCACAATAACGTGGCTGAAATATGTTGACCAAATTACACGTGAACTAGAAAGTGAAGGGACGACGACGTTTCGGTCCGTCCTGGACCATTCTCAAGTCGATTGTCGAAACGTCGTCGTCCCTTCACTTTCTAGTGTGTGGTTTGGTCAACAAGATAAATAGATGTTAGAGTGTGGAGTAGACAGACAGATGTAGGGATGTGGAGAAAAAAGATATATGGGGATGGGGATAAGACGGAAAAGAATTCAAGGACAAAAGGAAAAATAAAGGAATTGGGAATGGGAGATATATTTAAATTAGGCTATGAGAGTATGGGGAATAAATAGTTTGTGTTCTAACATGGCAGTTTGATGATCAACCTTGTTAGTTGTGGTGTTATACTAAAGCAAATACATAACTTTTATACTTATATCCATTTAAAATTGGCTCATGCTCATGATATGAAAAATGGGTTTCTGAGAATTATATGAACTATATAAATATAGTATTTCCCCTTTAAATTTATGTAAATATGATCTTTATATTGTATATTCTTTAATAAAGAAAACAAAAAGTTTTAGAGAGCAACAACAATAATATTGATTCATTGTTAAACATCGTTTGCCAGTTGAGTTAATATATCGTGCCCTCCCCCTCTCAGTGTACAGGTGACGGTGGTAGCCGGGGAACACAACGTCAATAGCGACTTGGACGGAACAACTCAGGTGATTAAAGTCCAGAACTTTGCTGTTCATCCAGAGTTCGACCCCAATACACTGGTGAGTCCTCCACCTCCTTTACTCTTTTCCGAAAACACACACACACACTAAGAAAGTGAAGGGACAAGGGGGAGACATGTTCAACACATAACATACTCCTGGGAATTAACGGGGTAGATAAGGGCATAATATTTGATAAAAGTGATACTCGACCAAGGGGATGCAGGTGGAACCTAAATACTCAAATGAATCACAAGGATATATCAAGTAATAATGTGTTCAGTATCACAGTAGTGAGCGTATGCAACCCATCCTCCTGTTTAGATATTCTTTGTAACTATGTATAGTACAAAGATTGACGTACTAAGCAATTAGTAGAATTTAGTATTATTCATTTTATAGAGTCCGAAAAAAATAAGATAAAAAACAAACCTAAATATTCCTATGCCTACTATAGCACACGTATGTACTATATTAGGCCTCAGATATCGTGCATGAAGCCTACGAAGGTTAGGTTCGGTTAGTTTACTTTGTCTTTGCAACATAAATATAAAAAATTTCCGGATTTGTCCAAATACAATAGTGCCAATTTCTACTTTCTAACTGCGTTGTACGTCGGTCTATGTAGGATGGTCCTCATCGTTACTATAAGTACTACCAAAACAGGAGGATCGGCTGGCGTATGGAATGCACCAAGAAGGAAAATGGCAGTGGCAAATTCCACATCTTCTACTATAATATACTATACAGTTTTAGGCACCATCTTCGAGAATGGATAAATAGAAGGATATTCGGAACAAAAATTAAACCAAAACTTAGAAATAAATCATACGAAGCCCGTTTAAAACTTACGGGACATATTAACAATTATAACTCAAAGTAGTGCTGGGTATAGGTTTAAAAATAGAACTGACAAATATTTCTCATTAATTTCAACGCCTTAAATTGATTGTACAACCATTTATATAGTCATTACAGATGTCATGATACAAAACTCCATGAAATATATTCTATAGTTAAACAATCCTAAAACATATATTATGAACAGTTCTACATTGTGTGTGGTTCCCTGCTCAGACCAATGACTTGGCGGTGCTGATGCTTGAACGAGATCTGACCTGGAATGACCGTGTGGGTCCTGTATGCCTCTCACCCTCTAATAACTACGTGGGTCAGACAGCAGTTGTCAGCGGCTGGGGCACCCTCTCCCATCGTGAGTATCTATAGTATCTCTCTCTCTTTTAGCACGAGTGGCATTCAATACCACCTCCTTTTATCTGTATTATTTCACTGTTTACACTGGTACTGAACACTTTGTACTGCGTGTAAAGTGTGTGGAGATAATGTTATCACTCCTGGCACGCGCTGGCCACACTTCTTCCTGCTCCTATCATAACTATTTGATCGCTTAGCACCACTGAAATCTTAATATGCTACTATGTGTAATTTAACCAACAACGTTGGACATTATTGTTGTTCATTCATTATAGCACAATCGATTACAGGTACTCTCATTTTGGGAACTGTGCTCATTGTCTCAGTTCTAGCATTTATAGGTATTGTTACTACTACAATTACACTAGTAACTAACGTCTATATAATTTTGCCAACTACTAAACAAGTGCTATATGTAGTGTATACCTTGCTGTACAAAATTGGGCTTCCCCCTCCAAAAAAACTTGCACAAAATTTGAATTTTTATATTATAAATTACATCTCATCACGTGAGAGATTATTATATTATTATTAATGAGTATGTAGCCTATGTTCATACACTTTATTATTTTTCGTAATTTGTCATATTAGTTTATAATTTATGAAGTAATTTTCGAATTCTAAATGTTTAGAATTTAAATATAAAATGCAAATAACTCTTATATATTAAAAATAATATAAAATATTCTTATTGGATATGTTAAATCAGAACTAACTTGTATCTGTTTATATTATTCATTTGTCTTCGGGAAATTTGTCTATTAATTTCCATTATTACTCTCTACTTATTTATCGGTTTAAGATTTGCCCGAAACTCTGTGTAATGGAAGACTTTGTATAATATCCAGATAAGTGCAAAAAGTTATTTTTAGTTTATATATATATATATATATATATATATATATATATATATATATATATATATATATTATATATATATAATTAATTATATATTAATTTATTGTAGTTGGGAGCCAGCCTAGCGTTCTTCAGGAAGTTGCTGTGGAGATCACTGACCATGACAAGTGCATCTCTAACTACAAGGAGTCGTTCATCACCATTACTGGCACTCACGTGAGTACTGCACCAGTACCCCTACTGGAGCACTGCACCAGTACACCTACTGGAGCACCAGTAACTAATAGGCTGTAGTTATTGTGGATTTGGACAGTAACACTAATGGTAGTGATATAGCTGAGAACGACTGCTATAGCAGTAACACTAATGATAGTTACAGTAGTTAAAGTAGTAGTAAAAGTATTATAATAGTAGTTATAAGTACTATAGCCTGGGATACACCGAGGTATGCTCCGCTTCTCGGTGTATGTACACCGAGAGTATATTTTTGTCTTTGTGTCCAGGATTATAGTATATTTGCCGGTTGGTGGACAAACAACTGGCCTTAATACACACACAAATCACAATAGCGTGATATATCAGATGAATAAATCCACAAGGGCTGTGATGAGGGTTCGAACTTACGTCCAGGATAATCACAGACATCCTCTTCCATCCTTTTTTTCCAATTCTTTTACCGTGTCGTGGCTCAGTCGATTAAGGCGCGTCTGGGATCATCCTGGTCGTAAGTTCGAACCCTCATCACAGCCCGCGTGGATTTATTCAACTGGCCTTAATGTTGTGTTGGCCTTAATAACCTTCCAGAGGCTGATAGGCCTTAAGTCCAACACAAACCCAGCAGTGATAGCACCCACGATTACATTGACTTCAGTCATCATTGGTTAGTCATGAATATAGAGGCCACAGCCATGGATACGTTGGCCACAATCATGTGTACATTTTGGCCACAGCAATAGATGTACTTGCCACAGCCATGGAGATTTGGAGACGCCACAGCCATGAGTACACTGACCAGTTATAGTTATGCTGACTGCACCGACATTATATATGTTCAACTCGTACAATCCTGGCGAGACTTAGGAGTGCATGCCGGGTGAAAATGTTGATCCGCTGTAGCCGACGGCGGGCCTCGGGAATGCTGATTGTCTGGAGAATGTGATGTGGCTTTGTTTGGTTGTATTGATCAGTGTTAGGTAGTATGAATCTGGCCTCCGGGTGAGAGGGGGGGGGCATGAAACAGGTGTTGGTTGCTTTGTACAGTTCCACCCTTACACCTGTGTTAGTGCATCCTTCCTCGTTGACACACACCTGTTGTTGGTTCAGCCATACCTTCTCTACCTCCCTATTTTCTCTCTCTCTCTCTCTCTCTCTCTCTCTCTCTCTCTCTCTCTCTCTCTCTCTCTCTCTCTCTCTCTCTCTCTCTCTCTCTCTCTCTCTCTCTCTCTCTCTCTCTCTCTCTCTCTCTCTCTCTCTCTCTCTCTCTCTCTCTCTCTCTCTCTCTCTCTCTCTCTCTCTCTCTCTCTCTCTCTCTCTCTCTCTCTCTCTCTCTCTCTCTCTCTCTCTCTCTCTCTCTCTCTCTCTCTCTCTCTCTCTCTCTCTCTCTCTCTCTCTCTCTCTCTCTCTCTCTCTCTCTCTTTGAAACTGCAAGCAAGAGCTGTTAACCTCCCTCAGCTCATCTGAAGCCTACCCGTTGAGAATAATTTTTCATGAGGTTATTATTTTAAAGTAACTAACTATCATATAAAAAACAGGTGTCTAGTGAAACCACAAGCAAGAGCTGGTATCTATATCTCTTTCTCTCTCTCTCTGTCAAGATAAAAATTAGCATTCATGACACATTAGCGGCGGGTCTTAATACGTGCACATCATCTGGGTCAGAGGAACTTTTCGCTAGAATATACAAGTCTTAGCGCCTCGTGACCAAATTCTCACAAGTCAAGCCTGGCCTCGGGCCGGGCTTGGGGAGTAGAAGAACTCCCTGAACCCCATCAACCAGGTATCGTGACTCTTGCGTTAACGGCAACACTCAGCATGTCATTACCACGAGGCCAGATCAAACCGTTCTCAGGCAAGTTTCATTCCATTCAGCGTCCGATCCCAAAGTCGCATTCCTTAATTTTAACATGCTGTTCATTCAAAATGGGATTTGTTTTCAAATATAAATTAATATTATTATATATTAGCATATTTTGCATATTAGGCCTAAAGGCTTTCTGGAGTTACCTTCTTTCTTATATTTCCTTTCCTTCGCCTTTTCTTGGTGGTCAGGTGATTTGAAGGAGATTTTAGCCGAATATATATATATATATATATATATATATATATATATATATATATATATATATATATATATATATATTATGACAATGTCAGACCACGGAGGAAAAATGAAACAAGAATTTCCTTAAGTACTTTCGTTTAATACATCTTCAGAAGGATTTTCGTATTAATATACGAAAGTACTTAAGGAAATTCCTGTTTCATTTTTCCTCCGTGGTCTGCCATTGTCACATTTTTAATCACGTGTTTATTTTCGTGATATACACACATATATTATACCATACAAAAGCCAAATATACTATAAAGATATATTTTTTGCAGGGATATTCATGCGTGGTTAATATATACTATACAAAAGCCACTGTACAAACACCTTAAGTTTCACCTTAAATCTCATACCTCTCTCATGTCAGGTATGTGCTGCTTCTCCTGGTAAAGACGCGTGTCAGGGGGACTCTGGAGGCCCGCTGGTGATGCTCAACGGAGGAATCTGGTACCAAGTGAGTTCCAATTCTTTACCCTTCTCCTTCCCTCTATTCTTCCTTCTTTCTTCTTCTTCACTCTATCTTTCATTAGCTTTACCTCTTCTTTACTCTCCCTTCTCTTCTCTTCCTCATTCTCTCCATTTATGCAATTGTCTCTATATACAATTTTAACAGGAGAACGGGTTGCATTTTCTACCACGCTCATTGAACCTTTCTCTCATTTCCCAGTTGCTCCGTTTTCTTTCATTTCAAACTCTCTCAGTCTGCTCTTTAAACACACCCGAGGCCTTGTTTCTCATTACCCAGGCGAGGATGTTCGTGAGGTCACCCAACCAGTTACTGGCCAGACCTAACGGCGCTTCACTCTTGGTTTGGTATTGGGCCGCAAGCCTAATTCCAAACATACATGTATTAATAATAAATTATCTTACAACATGAATTATTGAAAGGCATTAATTGAGGGGTTAACACTTTCTATACGACATATTTTCGTTAGTTGTGGCTACGGTTTTGAATCTTGGTCACTATCCTCAATTTGTAAGTAAATATAAGTAAATATAACTACATATGTGAATACAGTATCATTGTGTGTACCCGCGTCCACCAGGCGTGTACAAAGTGGGTAACAGGCTTCCGTTTCGTCAGGTGGGAGTGGTGAGCTACGGCATTGGGTGTGCTAAGGCCGAGTTCCCCGGCGTCTACACTCGCGTGTCTTCCTACGTCCCCTGGATCGTCGAGCAGGCCACCTCCTCCTCCTGCTAGCCTCTTCCGTGCTGGCCCGGTGGAACCATCCCATGCTCCCATGGTGCTCCCGTGCCTTCTGATCCGCCCTTCTGTCAGTCTTTGTGGTCCTTGTGAGGCTCTGATCACCCGTCTTCTTCCTGCGCTTCCTGGGGATAGCCCTGCGTTTCCTGCGGCATTCTTGCGTATCCTGAGATAGTCCTGCGTATCCTAGAGGTAGCCCCCCTCGCGTCCCGGGGGTAGACCTGCGTATCTTGGTGGTAAGCCTGTACTGATTGTTGCCCTGAAGACCAGTGGTATACGAATTGAGGAAGAATATTTTAATCATTACATAATCCTTTGTCATTCGACATGGTCATAACGAGAAACGTTATTTGCAGAGCACCGATAGCGTAAGAAACGTTAGTGCATCATTAACGGTCTTGTTCCATAGAGGTGTAGTGGTGGGCTGGCTATGATTAACTCTGTATAAGCGATTGACAGCGTTAATTGTTGTAATTTTGTAGAGTATGCAATAAAGACGGCGTGTATAGTCAACGATTTGTTGAGAATCACAGTAAGGTGATGAAGGCTCATTATTCCAGTACACCTGTTGTGTTATCCTAGGCCCATCGATACTCTAAAGTGCGGGAATAGATCTTAAATTCAAGCTTTTAACTTGATATAATCTTATGCTCGCTGGTTGTCAAGTTCGGGAATTCTCACTAACTGACCTTGGGACCCATGAATTATCATGACCCATGATATATGAATATTACTTCATATATCCCCCAATGGTCACTATGTTTTATCAGTGACCATCTTGCTCCACTATACGTCATTATGAAACTCCAATAACCACGGTGGTTTCCCATGGTCGGGGACAGGAAGCGTTAGTCTTATCGAGGTTTCCCTTGGCCAACAACCGACCTTCTACAGGGTGCAGCCCACAACAGTTGCCTAACTCCCAGGTACCTATAAGGCACTAGGTAGACAGGGGAATCAGATTAAAGAAAAAGTACACAAACCTGTGTGGGGACGAACCCGGGATACGTTGGTCGAGTTTCGACTGCGCTGACAATTGCCAATTTGAATATTCCTCTTGGAACACGTATAGTCACGCCTCATGTAACTTATATACATGTGGTCATTAAGCTTTCCTTTTATTTTTTTATATTTCTGGTCTACGAATTTAATGTTTTCCTCGCAGAATTTCGGTTTACAATACGGGTTTTATAATGTAATATGAGCCTATTGTATTAGGCTCCGGAATTCTGACAATATACATTTTACGAAGTGTGTGTTTGTGTGGGCGATTAAATATGTGTATGTATATATGTATACGTATGTACATGTACATGTATGCATGAGTATGTGTACATGTATATATAACATTAATAGTTTTGTAACTAGCGTCAAAAGATTATTATTTGCTTAGCTAAACGAACTAGAGGGTTCAGTTCCTGAACCGATTATGTACCTCTGTATTCCTTTACACCACCGCCCACGGGATGGGTATGGGGTGCATAATAATGAAAGAAATTGAAATTGCTTGAAACGAGTAATCGTCCGGAAAATGATGGAAACCAAATGTTCAAAGCTGGCCAGTCCAGCCACTAGAACCTGAAATGTATTTATAAGTATGAATTATTCCTTTATTTGTTATTTATTATGTTGTTAATAGTTTGTGTAAGATTCTTCTCTGAACATCAATTGTCCCAAGTGCCGTATCGTCTGTCTGTCTCAAGCTAGGCTTTATCTCCCTCAATTGACGATATTTCATTTTTGTGTATTCTTAATTTATTTAATCGTCTGTAGATGCTCAGTGTAGGCCCTCAGACATAATTAAAATCCTGCTACACTAAGGAACAAAAATGAAATGTAAACTGTATATAGATTAAAGGATGATCAAACAAGGATAAGAGATAAAGACTGAGAAACACATCTCTTGAGTAAGTCTGAGTGCCTGATACTGGAGTAGGTCTACCTGTGGTGAAGTAAACCAAGAGTAGCCTTAAGAACGCGTGAAATACATTACTATGGAAAGTCTGTTCAGTGTTTGTCTATCCGTATAATTAGTCGAAGCTTGATGGTTTGACTAATAGATGTTAAGGACATTAAGCCTTTACTTTCTAATCTATGAGTATTCCCCTTATCTTGAAGAAAGTTCACAATGTATGTAAACTCAGTTTATATATACATAAATACACCTCTTTGTGTATAAAGCTGTGACTACAGACGGATGGTGTAATTGGTCGTATGGTTGTGTATTTATTAGGAAACATCTCGTCTAAGTTCATTATAAGCTGTGTCTGTTAAATTGTCTCTAATTCGCTGTTGAAATAAATGTTTAGGGTCAAAGTCATATTATATATTACATATTACAAGGGACATATTACAAATGTGCGATGTTATTTATATGATGTTTAGCGCTGCTGCCATTTTGAACTATTCAGTGTGTAAGATAATGAATTTGATTTATGTAATACATTATTGGGTCTAATATTATCGTGTGCTAACCTTAGCGCTTTCTATTTATTTAATAATTGCTTTACCTTGTTCATGATTGATTTGCATGGTATATATATATATATATATATATATATATATATATATATATATATATATATATATATATATATATATATATATATTGAGTAATGTTTCATTTAGTATATATAACATTTTATAATATTACTATTTTTTATAGGCTAATGCCTATCTGCGACATGAAAATGGATTACGGTATAATGATATTGTGTGTACGAATATATGGAAGTACTTATGTTTACAATGTTTCTTAATTCAGCATTAAGTTATGTACCCAGATACCATCTTTTAAAACTTTAAACAAATGTTGAACTTTAGACAAATGCTCACTTTTGTAACATACTGTAGATAAGGTACTTCTGGAGTGTCCTTACGAGAACCACAAGGCTTTGCCTACGTGGAATATGTACAGATTGGAATATAGGTTTATCCTCAAAACATTATTGCTGTTAAGGACATCAGTAAGAATAGTGTCAGTATCTTTATTGAGAAGTTTTAAAGATCACTAATTTACATCATCTGTGTTATAAAGTTTTATTACGTAAATTATATAATAAGAGATTGTGTTGATAAGCATTAATAATATAAACTTTACACCAAATAATACTACAGCTGAACACATTTATTATGAATGCAACACAACCAAGACTGTCAATCAGTTAAACACTATTTACAAATACAGTATGAATGCCAGAGGACCATTTGCAGCTACACAAATAAATAAATAAATAAAATATACACACATGAGTATAGCAACAAACTTTAACATCACAAGCACTAGAGAGTGAACCACTCGAAGAGTTTCCAACATTCCAAGATTATATTGGATAAATATTTATTAAAAAAGTATAAAAATAATTTTATACAACTGGATTAGAGTTAAAGCATTAACCAACTATAGCGCCGCATTGTACAACACAATGATTCCCAGATTGAGAGACTCACAAAGATGTGACTTAGTAGCCTAATAGAGGTGTGAAAATGTGTGTGATCTGTTTGGCTAGAATGTTTGCAGAAAACTAACTTAGCGAAGGACAGCTGGAGAAGACTAGCTTACTTAGCGAAGAACAGCTGCAGAAGACTAGCTTACTTAGTAAAGGACAGCTGAAGGATACCAACCTACTTTGCGAACGACAACTGGAGAAGACTAGCCTACATAGGGAACCTATGTAGGCTAGCCTACACTTTCCAAACATTTGTAGTGCCTATGCATCGCGGGTTGATCAAGAAAATAGTCAAACACCAGTAATAAAATTACGAGAACAAAGTTCTGTTAGCATTACGATGTACAACTTAGAAGAGATACGAGGACGGGAATGAAGGAACTGACCCAGTCATTTGAACCTTCGGGGAACAAACTCTGGCCTTGTAAGATAGAAGACCGACGATCTACCGACCAATCCAAGCTGGGATTTGAAGGCAGAGTGAAAACCCGGTGCACAACCACTAGGACAAGGGTAATACATATATTTATTATCTTCGCATTAGAAAAACAATTATTCCGTTTCTTTCGCAACAACATAACTCGAAAGTTTGGGCGCCTAACTTCTGTTCAGAAGTTCCAGGATCGATCGAGGTTTGACTAGTGACACACACACACACACACACACACACACACACACACACACACACACACAACTAGCTAAACACAGATGCCGAAGAAATATAAGAAAATTCACCTTCGCAAATAGAGTGGTAGACGGTTGGAACAAGTTGAGTGAGAAGGTGGTGGAGGCCAAGACCGTCAGTAGTTTCAAAGCGTTATATGACAAAGAGTGCTGGGAAGACGGGACACCACGAGCGTAGCTCTCATCCTGTAACTACACTTAGGTAATTACACACTCCTTACGACCCTGGAGGGCAGAAGAGTAAGGGGAGACATGATTACAACCTACAAAATCCTCAGGGAATCGACTGGGTAAACAAGGATAAACTATTTAACACTGGTGGTACGCGAAAAAGGGGACACAGGTGGAAACTGAGTACCCACATGAGCCACAGGGACATTATAAGGAACTTTTTCAGTGTCAGAGTAGTTAACGGATGGAATGCATTAGGCAGTGATGTGGTGGAGGCAGACTCCATACAGTTTCAAATGCAAATATGGTAGAGCCCAGTAGGCTCAGGAACCTGTACACCAGTTGACTGACAGTTAAGAGGCGGGACTAAAGAGCCAGAGCTCAACCCCCGCAAGCACAACTAGGTGAGTACACACACACACACGTTGAAAAATGTCAACAACAAAGATGGCTGCTACCACAGGGGAGGTAGCGGCCTCCACTTATTCATGCCCGTGCCACCTTTTGGGTGGCTTAATCTTTATCAATCAATCTCACTCCCGGTACATCCAGTTACAGCCGCGCTTCTATGCCAGGTAAGTCCACTACGGGCTTACCATAGCCCGTGGTACTTGCAACTTTTTGTTCCCAGTAGCCGAATCTAAAATAACAACCTTGATAATGGTCCAGGACGGACCGAAACGTCGTCGTCGTCTCCTCATTTTCTGGTGTGTGGTTTGGTCTTCATGTCTTCCGTCACGTTATTGTGACTCATCGTCTGCCTATGGGATTGATTGTCCATGGAGTCTTTTTCCCACTTGTTTCTCGGTTGTTATCGACCTGGAATCAACGACGATAACGTTGATTCAACCGCAGGACTGTTCCTCCATGGTGTCGAGTATCCAAGAGATGTAACTGGGAACGAAGGTGTTGACTCCGGGAAAGCCAGGCTCCGCACACCGGTGTCCATATGACACAATTCCCACCTGCAAGACAAACACACTTGTTAGCCACTTGTAAAACACCTGATAGTCACTTAAATATGGTGCATATATGCCTGATATTATATATATATATATATATATATATATATATATAACTGAAAACTCACACCCCAGATTTGTTTTCAGTTGCATATGTCCTGGGGACCATTCAGGCTTGTTCGCATATATATATATATATATATATATATATATATATATAAATATATATGATTAGAACCATATCAGTTGAAATTCTATCCTAGTGCAGAGATTGGTGTTACCTGGTACCAGGTTGATCCTTTCCGAAGCATAACAGGACCCCCAGAGTCCCCTTGACAGCTGTCGACTCCTGGTGCAGACGTGCATACCTGGGGAGACCACTCTTATTATACACACCTGCCAGACCACTCATTATACACACCTGCCAGACCACTCTTATTATCAACCTGCCCTTAGGTTAGGCCCGTCGAGGCGTCGGGCTATGCGTCACAGAGACGCATTCATTAATTTTTAACCAACTGCGTATTCAAAATTAGTATTATCTAAAATATAAGGTTATATTATTACATACTATAAGGTGTTGAATTTTTAGGTCTGATTAGATTCTGTTGACCATTAATATTCAACCCGTCTTCTGTTCATTCAAAATAGGAATTTTCTCAAATATAAATAAATATTGTTATATATTAGCATACTGTCTATATTTAAGCATTGATTAGGTTAGGTGTTTAGGTTCTGTTGGCGATTATTTGTATTTGTAGTACGTGGGTGAAGTATTTACAGCGTTGTGGTTCGAACAAAAGTCATTAGCGAAGTGTTCGGACGTTTGATTGATTAAGATTAAGCCACCCAAGAGGTAGCAAGGGCATGAACAACCCGTAATTCGGACATCATTCATAAACAGGGGGTTTGGCGGGTGCATGGAATGAACTTTGGGCCTTTGTTTATGAGGACACAGCCCGTCCTCATGACCACTGTTGCCAGACACACAGGACGAGGAGGGGTGAGAGAGGATGTAAACAAAGCTAGTAGAAGTGACTCACGTGTTCGTCAGTGAGAGGTTGTTCATCACTATCTGGGAGAGTGGAGTAGTTCCTGGCGCACTCGTCCAGGTTGACCACCTTCTGCGTCGCCTCCTGCAGCTTCTCAGGGCTTTGACCATCTGCACAACCATGGAAACAAAACTGGGCTAGTTTGATCAGGCTTAATAAGAAATAAAGTTTAATTTACATTATTTGGTTTAAGGTAACAAGCAGAGGTAGTCTTCCAAACTTTGCAAGGCTCGGGTCATCTGACCCAAGGGAAGTCATAGGCTATATGGAGTTTTAGCTTCAGGGCTCTACCATTAGTGATGGTCATTTTAATTCCTAACTATTTTTCAAAAATGTCCTCAGGCTAGACTCGTCCAAGGAGCAGCTAACAACACAAAGACGTATTCATCAATGTAACTATGTATTCAAAATCGATTTCATTTCAAATATATTTTATATTATTATTATAATTTAATATATACTTAGGTATAGGCTAGGTTAGGTGTTTAGGTTCTGTTGGCAGTTATTTGTATTTGTAGCACGTGGGTGAAGCATTTACAGCGTTGTGGTTCGAACAGAGGTCATCAGCGAAGCATTGTTCGAGAACTGTTTGAATGTCATTAGTTGTGAATCACGTGTAAAGCGGTTTTATTCATAAACACAGCCCGTCCTCATAAACGAAAGCCAAATGCTCGTTACTCTAGCCGCCAAACCCTCTGTTTATGATTAAAAAAACGGTTTACACATGGCTCACAACCGATGACGTTCGTACATTCCTCTGGCCGAATCGCAACTCTGTAAATGTTTCACCCCACGCACTTCAAATACAAATAATCGTCACTAGAACCTAAACACCTAACCTATCCTACGCCAAACTATACATAGGATCTTAAAATATATAATACAAGTAATTTATATATGAGAACAAATCTGTTTTAACACACAGTATGTTAAGTATGACGAATGCGTCTTGGGAGAACGGACGCTGCTTTAACGAGCCTATTCTGAGGATGGGTTGATCCTAGGGAAGTTGGAAAGTAGGTCATAGCAATGAGGGTCTTACAGTAATGCCAAGAAGATGTACACTGTATGAAATCGTGTTTTGTATTGAAGACATACACTTACTGTCTATATAAAGATTTTTCCTAGGAAGTTCAACTACTGGGGAAACTCCATGAGAATATTAGCTATATCAATAAAGATTTTGCAAGCATGAAGATTGTATGTAGTAAAATATGTCCCGTGTACAAAAACCGGGTAAGGTTCGGTACATCAGCTAGTAATTAGTAAGAAGAAAGTGGGACTCACTGAATTTCAGGTTGCCCCAGCCCGCCAGTACTACGGTGTCGCCCTCGTAGTTACCAGGGGGAGCCAGACAGGCGGGGGCCACGCCCTCACCCAGCACCAACGCCCTCTTCAACTTCAGCAAAGCAATGTCCCCAATCTGTGACCAACACAAAATAAGCCGCATTATATTCAAAGTTGCTGGAAAGCACAGGCCCAAAATAGAAACAGAACAAATTAACATTTTGTGTCACTTAATTACGTGTGAATTACGTGTATATATATATATATAACTGAAAACTCACACCCCAGAAGTGACTCGAACCCATACTCCCAGATGCCACGCAACTGGTATGTACAAGACGCCTTAATCCACTTGACCATCACGACCGGACATAATGAGGTGATAGCCGAGGCTATTTGAACCACCCCACCGCCGGCACTCGGATAGTAATCTTGGGCATAGCATTTTACCAAATCACCTCATTCTTTGGGGCACACGTGAGGAACACAAATGCGAACAAGCCTGAATGGTCCCCAGGACAATATGCAACTGAAAACTCACACCCCAGAAGTGACTCGAACCCATACTCCCAGATGCCACGCAACTGGTATGTACAAGACGCCTTAATCCACTTGACCATCACGACCGGACATAATGAGGTGATAGCCGAGGCTATTTGAACCACCCCACCGCCGGCACTCGGATAGTAATCTTGGGCATAGCATTTTACCAAATCACCTCATTCTTTGGGGCACACGTGAGGAACACAAATGCGAACAAGCCTGAATGGTCCCCAGGACAATATGCAACTGAAAACTCACACCCCAGAAGTGACTCGAACCCATACTCCCAGATGCCACGCAACTGGTATGTACAAGACGCCTTAATCCACTTATATATATATATATATATATATATATATATATATATATATATATATATATATATATATATATATATATATATATATATATATATATATATATATATATATATTTTGGTAGCAGTCTTTCCTGTAGACATATTTTATTAAATATGACCGAAAAAGTAAGATTAATAATTCTAACACGAATTTTCTCAATCTTTCGTACATTATGCTTCACTGTTGGAGGTAAATCAAAAATCACTTCTCCAAAATTCATTTTTATTTCTAGTCTGACGCGACACGGGCGCGTTTCGTAAAACTTATTACATTTTCAAAGACTTCACAAATACACAACTGATTAGAACTTGCGTTTCCCTGATTTTATATCTACATTTGAGTGAGGTGGGAAGGGTGATGTGGCATTACATTTGAGTGAGGTGGGAAGGATGATGTGGCATTAGAGGATATTAATAGGGTATTAAAAGTATCAACACAAGACAGAACACGAAACAATGGATATTGAATAGAAGTGTTTGTAGAAAGCCTATTGGTCCATATTTCTTGATGCTTCTATATTGGAGCGGAGTCTTGAGGTGGGTAGAATATAGTTGTGCAATAATTGGCTGTTGATTGCTGGTGTTGACTTCTTGATGTGTAGTGCCTCGCAAACGTCAAGCCGCCTGCTATCGCTGTATCTATCGATGATTTCTGTGTTGTTTACTAGGATTTCTCTGGCGATGGTTTGGTTATGGGAAGAGATTATATGTTCCTTAATGGAGCCCTGTTGTTTATGCATCGTTAAACGCCTAGAAAGAGATGTTGTTGTCTTGCCTATATACTGGGTTTTTTGGAGCTTACAGTCCCCAAGTGGGCATTTGAAGGCATAGACGACGTTAGTCTCTTTTAAAGCGTTCTGTTTCGTGTCTGGAGAGTTTCTCATGAGTAGGCTGGCCGTTTTTCTGGTTTTATAGTAAATCGTCAGTTGTATCCTCTGATTTTTGTCTGTAGGGATAACGTTTCTATTAACAATATCTTTCAGGACCCTTTCCTCTGTTTTATGAGCTGTGGAAAAGAAGTTCCTGTAAAATAGTCTAATAGGGGGTATAGGTGTTGTGTTAGTTGTCTCTTCGGAGGTTGCATGGCTTTTCACTTTCCTTCTTATGATGTCTTCGATGAAACCATTGGAGAAGCCGTTATTGACTAGAACCTGCCTTACCCTACAGAGTTCTTCGTCGACTTGCTTCCATTCTGAGCTGTGGCTGAGAGCACGGTCGACGTATGCGTTAACAACACTCCTCTTGTACCTGTCAGGGCAGTCGCTGTTGGCATTTAGGCACATTCCTATGTTTGTTTCCTTTGTGTAGACTGCAGTGTGGAAACCTCCGCCCTTTTCCATGACTGTTACATCTAGAAAAGGCAGCTTCCCATCCTTTTCCGTCTCGTAAGTGAAACGCAGCACGGAACTCTGCTCAAATGCCTCCTTCAGCTCCTGCAGATGTCTGACATCAGGTACCTGTGTAAAAATGTCGTCAACATACCTGCAGTATATGGCCGGTTTCAAGTTCATGTCGACTAAGACTTTTTGCTCGATGGTACCCATGTAGAAGTTTGCAAACAGGACACCTAGGGGAGAACCCATAGCGACCCCATCTACTTGCTTATACATATGCCCATCCGGGCTCAAGAAGGGTGCCTCTTTAGTACAAGCTTGGAGTAGTTTCCTCAGAATACTTTCTGGCATGTCAAGAGGAGTACAGGCTGGATCACGATACACTCTGTCGGCTATCATTCCGATTGTCTCGTCCACAGGTACGTTGGTAAACAGCGATTCTACGTCCAACGAGGCTCTTATCCCTGTGGCCCGTGCGCCCCGCAGTAAGTCCACAAATTCCTTTGGAGACTTCAGGCTGAAGGCGCAAGGAACATAAGGAGTCAGCAGGCCGTTGAGTCGCTTCGCCAATCTGTACGTGGGTGTGGGTATCTGGCTAATGATTGGCCGAAGTGGGTTTCCAGGCTTGTGCGTCTTGACATTTCCATACGCATATCCAGGTTTATATTCCCCAATGATCTTTGGCAGGTGGAGTCCGGATTTCTTGGCGTTCACAGTTTCGATCAGTTTGTTGACCTTTGCTTTTAATTCGGCTGTAGTGTCCTTCGTTACCCTTTGGAACTTAGTTTGGTCAGAGAGTATGATGTTCATTTTCGCCAGATATTCGTCTTTTTTAAGAATGACATATATTGGCGACTTGTCACCTCTCCTGACAACTATCTCCTTGTTCTCACGAAGGCTTTTAGCTGCCGCTCTAAGCTCGGGGGACAGTATGGTGCTTCTGTAGTTGCCTCGATTCTTTCCTCCTTCTGCAATAAGTTCTGCTTGTAAGGTATCTTTGGTAGTGACTTTTTTGTGTCTCGAGGTCGAATATGTCGTCCAACAGAATTTCCAACTCCACTTTCCGGGCCATTTCACTCGGTCTGGACATAACATGACAGTTTATGCCCAGATTTAGGAGAGTGACTTGGTCCTCAGTGAGGTTAATTCCTGCAAGGTTCAGGAAGCCATCTCTTGGTCGTGGAATTGCCATAGGTCCTCCATATAATGTTGTTAGTTTCTTGATAATCCTTGTTTCAGTGCTGAGGTGATGTTGGTCTGTGAGGATGAATTTTGGAGAAGTGATTTTTGATTTACCTCCAACAGTGAAGCATAATGTACGAAAGATTGAGAAAATTCGTGTTAGAATTATTAATCTTACTTTTTCGGTCATATTTAATAAAATATGTCTACAGGAAAGACTGCTACCAAAATATACTAATGTTAAAGTGCACGACCCAGCAGCAAGGAATCAAGCCTTCACGATAAAATATCGCCAGGATCTGATTCGTGATCAGATATACAAGGCAGAGAATGAAATCAAAGACAAAAAAACGCAACTACTTCATGCTACAAACGAGTGGAGAAATAGCAACATCGACCATAGTATCCGTACCCGCATTGAACAACACCTCGACATCCTCACAGACCAACATCACCTCAGCACTGAAACAAGGATTATCAAGAAACTAACAACATTATATGGAGGACCTATGGCAATTCCACGACCAAGAGATGGCTTCCTGAACCTTGCAGGAATTAACCTCACTGAGGACCAAGTCACTCTCCTAAATCTGGGCATAAACTGTCATGTTATGTCCAGACCGAGTGAAATGGCCCGGAAAGTGGAGTTGGAAATTCTGTTGGACGACATATTCGACCTCGAGACACAAAAGAAGGTCACTACCAAAGATACCTTACAAGCAGAACTTATTGCAGAAGGAGGAAAGAATCGAGGCAACTACAGAAGCACCATACTGTCCCCCGAGCTTAGAGCGGCAGCTAAAAGCCTTCGTGAGAACAAGGAGATAGTTGTCAGGAGAGGTGACAAGTCGCCAATATATGTCATTCTTAAAAAAGACGAATATCTGGCGAAAATGAACATCATACTCTCTGACCAAACTAAGTTCCAAAGGGTAACGAAGGACACTACAGCCGAATTAAAAGCAAAGGTCAACAAACTGATCGAAACTGTGAACGCCAAGAAATCCGGACTCCACCTGCCAAAGATCATTGGGGAATATAAACCTGGATATGCGTATGGAAATGTCAAGACGCACAAGCCTGGAAACCCACTTCGGCCAATCATTAGCCAGATACCCACACCCACGTACAGATTGGCAAAGCGACTCAACGGCCTGCTGACTCCTTATGTTCCTTGCGCCTTCAGCCTGAAGTCTCCAAAGGAATTTGTGGACTTACTGCGGGGCGCACGGGCCACAGGGATAAGAGCCTCGTTGGACGTAGAATCGCTGTTTACCAACGTACCTGTGGACGAGACAATCGGAATGATAGCCGACAGAGTGTATCGTGATCCAGCCTGTACTCCTCTTGACATGCCAGAAAGTATTCTGAGGAAACTACTCCAAGCTTGTACTAAAGAGGCACCCTTCTTGAGCCCGGATGGGCATATGTATAAGCAAGTAGATGGGGTCGCTATGGGTTCTCCCCTAGGTGTCCTGTTTGCAAACTTCTACATGGGTACCATCGAGCAAAAAGTCTTAGTCGACATGAACTTGAAACCGGCCATATACTGCAGGTATGTTGACGACATTTTTACACAGGTACCTGATGTCAGACATCTGCAGGAGCTGAAGGAGGCATTTGAGCAGAGTTCCGTGCTGCGTTTCACTTACGAGACGGAAAAGGATGGGAAGCTGCCTTTTCTAGATGTAACAGTCATGGAAAAGGGCGGAGGTTTCCACACTGCAGTCTACACAAAGGAAACAAACATAGGAATGTGCCTAAATGCCAACAGCGACTGCCCTGACAGGTACAAGAGGAGTGTTGTTAACGCATACGTCGACCGTGCTCTCAGCCACAGCTCAGAATGGAAGCAAGTCGACGAAGAACTCTGTAGGGTAAGGCAGGTTCTAGTCAATAACGGCTTCTCCAATGGTTTCATCGAAGACATCATAAGAAGGAAAGTGAAAAGCCATGCAACCTCCGAAGAGACAACTAACACAACACCTATACCCCCTATTAGACTATTTTACAGGAACTTCTTTTCCACAGCTCATAAAACAGAGGAAAGGGTCCTGAAAGATATTGTTAATAGAAACGTTATCCCTACAGACAAAAATCAGAGGATACAACTGACGATTTACTATAAAACCAGAAAAACGGCCAGCCTACTCATGAGAAACTCTCCAGACACGAAACAGAACGCTTTAAAAGAGACTAACGTCGTCTATGCCTTCAAATGCCCACTTGGGGACTGTAAGCTCCAAAAAACCCAGTATATAGGCAAGACAACAACATCTCTTTCTAGGCGTTTAACGATGCATAAACAACAGGGCTCCATTAAGGAACATATAATCTCTTCCCATAACCAAACCATCGCCAGAGAAATCCTAGTAAACAACACAGAAATCATCGATAGATACAGCGATAGCAGGCGGCTTGACGTTTGCGAGGCACTACACATCAAGAAGTCAACACCAGCAATCAACAGCCAATTATTGCACAACTATATTCTACCCACCTCAAGACTCCGCTCCAATATAGAAGCATCAAGAAATATGGACCAATAGGCTTTCTACAAACACTTCTATTCAATACCCATTGTTTCGTGTTCTGTCTTGTGTTGATACTTTTAATACCCTATTAATATCCTCTAATGCCACATCATCCTTCCCACCTCACTCAAATGTAATGCCACATCACCCTTCCCACCTCACTCAAATGTAGATATAAAATCAGGGAAACGCAAGTTCTAATCAGTTGTGTATTTGTGAAGTCTTTGAAAATGTAATAAGTTTTACGAAACGCGCCCGTGTCGCGTCAGACTAGAAATAAAAATGAATTTTGGAGAAGTGATTTTTGATTTACCTCCAACAGTGAAGCATAATGTACGAAAGATTGAGAAAATTCGTGTTAGAATTATTAATCTTACTTTTTCGGTCATATTTAATAAAATATATATATATATATATATATATATTATATCTGCAAAATTTACGAACATCCGTGCACCATATCGGCTATAAATGTTGGTAATGTATCAGTTGTGACTTCTACAAGCAGAAACCCTACGAGAAAGCGTTCAGTGATGAATTTTGAAAAGAAACTTAGAATGAATATAGAATGCAAAGCGTGGCATTCTGAGAGGTGTGTGTGCGCGGAGTACCAACTGTTTAAGACCATCCTCTCAGACGGTATTAAGGCTAAAGCTTCTGTCTTTTCTTAATTTTCTCGAAGTGTACGTGATAAAGCATAGGTAATAGAAAGGCAGTGAGTGAAGCTAAGATGCAGTGTGAACTAGTGCATGTAGACAAATAGAAGAGAGATGAAAAAGCCTATTGCACGTTAGCTCAAGGGAAAAAGGCAAGGAATTTCACATCAGTGAAAATTCTAGAATAGTGTTTGCATACAGATAGATGGCTCAGGAGTTTCAACAATATTATCCAAGTGACAAGCGGATCAGAACTTCTCTTACTGGTGAGTACAACGATAAAAATTGTCGAATTTTTTCCCATCAAATTGTCAATTTTTTACCCTAAAGATTTTCAGGATAAGAAACAACTGTATCGGACACAGTCACAACAGGGCCAGGATTCATTACTAATTTACGCAACCTGTACATTGAAATTTAACACAGTGTGTTAACAAACGTACACACAAATACTTTTATAAATAAGTACAAAGACATAAATAGCAGTAAAGAGGCTACGAATAGATATTCTTCTTCTTCTTCTTGAGAATAGGTGCAGTTTGCATGAAGGGTTAACCCTCCCGATGACTGCACCAGGACAGACGTAAGGAGACGCGTTGACGGTTAGGAGGAGAAGAAAGGCAAAAGCGGTAGATGTGATGGGCCGTAGAGAGAGGAGTGGCGAACGTTAGAGGGAGACTCCCCGCACCGGGGGGGCGGGGGGTCGTGGTCACGGTGGCAGCTGACCCACGCACGGCTTAGCAGTGTGCGCAAGACGGGAACTAATACTTCTCCGGAAACTTGTGTATCGAAAAGCGCAAGCAGTACGCTTCCCAAATCACCCGCAGGTCAGCAGGCAGCCGGCCACCAGGCGGCGCCCTCGGCTGAGACATCCTATCTGGCACCCTATACACAAACTCCTTCACCCGCGACACCCAGACAGTGGACGAGCACCACGGGATCGGAAGCACCCGGGCATCTCGATAAGGGCCCAACTCCGGATCCTCACAGGGCACGACCCCAGCAGACGGGACTAGGCAATCCCCAGACCGGAGCAAGGAAGGAGGGGATACAGCAGGGGAGGCAGGCGCGGCACCGACCCCACCACCGGGCACAGGAGCCGAGGCCCCCTGGCGCACATCTTTCCGCAACAGCACGACAAGGTCACGATCATCAGGCACAACCCCCCACTGCGGAGATCCAACAGCAGGAGACGGAGGAGGTGAGGCACAGGTAGCAACTTCGGAGCCCCTCACAGCACCATCATCCTCGGCGGGGGGCGCCAGATCACCATACTCCCCCACCTCCTCCCAAGGCACACCACGAAGGGGAGACACACTCCGAGCCCGCCGTGAACGCTTCGAGACAGGTCGCACCACACCACGCCCAGCAGGCCCCGCCGCAGGCACGGCACCCACATCACCCACACTGTCCACATCATCCAGGGAAACAGCCTCAGAACACCGACGCGCGCGCTTCTGCAAAGGGATGGAAAGAGCAGAACTACAGTCACCAACACACACAGGCACGGCAGGCACCTCCCCCTGCCGAAGCACCCCCTCTAAAACAGCAGAACCCGCGTTCCCGGGAGCCGGTACCACATCCACAGGCGGGGGCGGGACATGGACCTCCACCGGGACATCCTGCACTACTCGCAGCTCAGGCGACGGCCCGACACCCACACACACCGGCTGAACAACCCCAGGGGCCACAGCAGTCACCAGACGTGTCGCACAGGCCGTAGAATTCGCCGCAACAGGCGGAGCAGCAGACAGGCAATCAGGCGCCTCAGGCACAGCACCTACTCCGTCCTCAGAAGCGTCCGAACGTAACAAGGGCGGGAAATCCTCCGCACGAAAAACATGCACCCGACCAGTTGCTCCCACGTCGCACGCCGCAGCCAGATGACCCTCGTGACCACACCGATAACAGGTGCGCGGTTGACCCCGATACTGGCAGCGGAGCGTGTATCCCAACACGGACATCGACGACGGTACACTACACTTCAGCGACATTGTCAGGGTGCGAGAGCCGTCAAGCATACCAACACAGTGCCCGGCAACGACCTTGTTCCAACGAACACTTAACACTGTCCCAAATCGCTCAAAACAGGAGGTTAAAAAGTCGTCCTGAAATTCGAAGGGGGCACCATGCACCGCCACAGACGTCAAGGTGACACTAAGATTCACCACCGTAACTGAGCCAGCTGAAGCAGGGAGAGGGTAAACACGCCCCTCACAACGCTCGAGAAACGCCTGAAAGGCAGCCTGGAGGCGGAACTTGACCACAGCACGGTGGCCCTGAAGCAGCTGAATGCCCACCAGGTCCGACAGCTGCACATGAAGCACGTCCACCAGGGCGACACCAACCAATGGATGGTCCACCGGCACCGTAAATGCCAGACCAGCCGACAATGTCCTCTGCACTGGAAGGCGAGACGACCCCATGGCTAAGGCAAACGTCACCCTGTCAGTGGCAAACCACCACCAGCAGGGCAAACCAGCAGTCACCCAACGTAAACACTAGCCAGTGCGGAGAGACCTCAGGAGCGTCCGACCTGGCCGGTGGTCACCACGCAACTCCAATAGATATTCAGACATCAACAAAAGGTTACAATCTAGGTGGAACGTTCTTATGTCTCTCCAGAATATCATATGTTTCCATTGTAACGCATGTAGGCTATTTCTTCAGTAACACTCCTTATCTCGGTATTTCTATATACATTAATCAACGGACAATCAAGAACATAATGGATGAGACCTTAACATACCACATTGTTTACACTTCGTTTCATTATCATTAACACCTGTGCCATATTCCCAGTAATATATGTACCCTATCCTGAGCCGTATGTGAACAGTCACTCCAAGCATTTTTAATTTTTACTGTAAGTAAAATGAGAGTGTTTTGACTCGCATTATAGTGTTGCATGGTTTAACTTCTCGTACCTGGGTGACGTGGTCGTACCTAGGTGACGTGGTCGTACCTGGGTGACGTGGTTGTACCTGGGTGACGTGATCGTACCTGGGTGACGTGGTCGTACCTGGGTGACGTGGTCGTACCTGGGTGACGTGGTTGTACCTGGGTGACGTGATCGTACCTGGGTGACGTGGTCGTACCTGGGTGACGTGGTCGTGCCTGAGTGACGTGGTCGTACCTGGGCGACGTTGTCGTAGCGAGGGTAGATCCTGACACGCCTAACGATCACACTCTGCCTGTCCGTCTCCATCTCGTCCTTCAAGTCATACTCGGAGGCGATAACCCTCACAGAGTCTCCCTTCTTCTTATTCCTGAAGAACACAGTATATAATAAGAAAATCAGTTCAAATAATTAACTTCTCAATTACAGGTACAGATCTGAGTACAGTTGCAAGCTGTACTCAGTACAGCTGAGCCACTAGGTCATGTTAGCTACAAGAGATGATGCAGATGACCATCTTCTATGTGCAGGCATAGAAGCTTGTCTAGGGTGAGGTAAAAGTGCTTTATATCTGATGCTTTTCCAACATCAATGAAGCCACTATTATGCAAAATATGTCGGACATAATGTAGAAACACTTACACCTTATAACTTAAAAGTAATTGAGATCAAAACAAAACATATGTACTATTTTAGGCCTCAGATATCGTGTATTAGACCTAGGAAAGTTAGGGTAGGTTAGTTTAGTTTGTCTTTGCAACACCAGTAAAAAATAGTTTTCCGGTTTGTCCAACTCAATAGTGCCGATTTCTACTTTCTAATTTCGTTGTACGTCGGTATATATACTACGGTCCTCATCGTTACTATAAGAACTACCAAAACAGGAGGATGGGCTGAGCATACTCTAAACCAGTAAACATTAGAACCGCCTTCAGGAACATTAATATCATTACAAAAACTGTACTCTACTTAGGCGAGACCTGTCCTAGTTTGCAGCTATGTCCTGGTATCATCTCAAAAAGCACATTAGAAAACTTGTAAAGGTACACAGGCATGCAATGAGGCTACAGCCGTCGCTAGGCTGCAACAAAGAGCTGTACCTACCGTCACTAGGCTGCAACCCATCATCTACAAAAATGCACCACGTTCCCTGGTACATTTTTATTCACTCACCATTCGTCTCCGAGGGCAGTGAGAAGGTTAACGCATTCAAATGCTGCTGCACATATATAATTTCCCTTGTTTTAATTCTAAGATTTTTCTTGCAAGTTAGGGTTCACATCATTGCCTTCTTTTTCCCCTGTAGATGCAAGGAGTAGCACAGTAACACAGTTGATGCTGCAACGACACTCACTACAGTGTAGCGACTACAGTGATACAACCACCCACCCACTACACCACTAACAACCACCCACCCACTACACAACACTGCCAATACTCACACATCGAAGACGCAGTGCGCCGCAGTCAGTACATACAGAGGAGAGATAATGGAGCCACCACATTCTACAAAAGATCCTGAGACCTTGATCTTGAGATACACAACCCAAGGCCACTCCCCGATGTTCGCGTCCTTCCCTCCCTGGATCCTGGTCCAGGAGGAGTCCTGGGGAGTGAGTTCCTCCAGCGGTAAGCGTCGGGAGAGTTTTGGTTTGACTCTTTGAGGGAGACGAGTGGAGGCGCCAGGCGGCGGGTCGGCCTCTGCGTCAGGTGTTGTTGAACCACATTCTAGTGAGGGATTGTTGGTGAATTAATTGTTGGATGGTAATGTATTTCATGTCTCAAGGTAAGGTATTCATCAGGAGGAAACACAAAGCCAGATCTTGTCTCGTGTATCTATTTCAATTACAATTTAGAATTTTATTTTTGTCTTGAGCGCACTGGATGTTTCGTCAAGAAGCGCGGTGCCCCTGAAAGGTGTGATGCCCCTGAGAAGTATGATGCCCCAGAGAGTGATGCCCCTGAGAAGTATGATGCCCCAGAGAGTGATGCCCCAGAGAAGTATGATGCCCCAGAGAAACAGGTGTGGTACTCACGGAGTGGACACGGCTGGACCCCCGCAGCCCTGTAGCCATCTCCACCTGAGAAAAGTGGCCAATGTTTTAATATAAACATTTATATTGCTAGAGAAAATCGTGAGTCTAGCTGCTTAATAAGTTAAATTCACGCACGAAATACTTCAGAATGTATACAATTGCCTTAAGCCTAATAAATTGTGTTGGTAATTTATTTAATCGTTGATTATAGAAATATTAAATTTTCGAAATATATCACGTTTCATATTACTAAAGTATTAACACAACCACCGAACGGGTCGTTTACATGATTATTTATTTGTTTCAAACAAAAACAAACTTTAGAGGTGATTGAGGGCTCATATTTTGTGGAAGGCTTAGGTGTTCTAGATTAGGCCCAAGTTAGGTTGTGAAGGTACAGTTGAAGGGAGAGGGGAGGGAGGGAATTATGAAAGGAAAGCGCCAAGCCATTAGACTATACAGCACTTGGAAGGGATCAGGATAAGGATTTGGGATGGAATGGTGCCCAACCACTTGGACGGTCGGGGATTGAACACCGACCTGCATGAAGCGAGACCGTTGCTCTACCGTCCAGCCCAAGTGGGTGGGTAGTTGAAGGAAGAGAATGTGTGGGATAGTGAGTCACACTGGTGAGACGAGACGTCATGGCGTTACTCACTGGTTCCTCTGACAGAGCAGGCGGTCCAGGTGTTGTTTTTGAGAGCATCGCTGTTTTTGAGGACCTTGTAGGACACCAGAAGCTCGGTCAGGTCTCTCTCATCCACCTGGGTCGATGTGCTTGTACTGCAGTAACTGTAATATAGGGAGGCACCTGGCCTTGAAGCAGTCTGGAGGAACTAGCTCTTTGCATCAGTATAATAACCTAAGTGTAGTTACCTAAGAGAAGCCACGCTCTGCGTATTAGTGGCTTTATATAATTTCCAAATCTGTACCGACGAATACTCCACTATGTCATGTTCCACATGCATTTTATTAAATCTATTTAGCGTAGTTACAGGAAGAGATATAAGCTCGTAGTGTCCCAAACACTTCAGCCTCTTCTAATTTATTCCATCTGGCCGCAAAAGCGTATTTTCTTGTGATTACATCAACCGGCGCATGTTTCCGCATGTTGGGATAGCTGTGACCTCGTGTTCTCTATGTTATGGGGTCCAACAGGTCCTTTATCACCCTCGGCGATACTAATCATTATTTTATACGTGATCATACTACCTATTTTTTCCTCCGTCTTCCATTTTTGGCATGCATTGCGGTTCCAGTAAATAATAATAATAATATTCATAAAATATGAATAAGAACACATTATGGAAATATATTTGAGCGCTACAGCAGTTGCATATTAAATGAAGCCATAATACTCAAAGCGTTTAAACCTGGAGGCCATTTTGGCGGATAAATGAATTGATAATAATTTATTGTGAATTTATGAACCTCTTAAGAGCAGTGTACTGAAACATTTTTGGCATCACCACAATAGGCTAGTATATCCATAAACCACACACGTGATACCGTGCTCTGACGTGCAAGTCGCATTAGAGAACGGGTGGCTCTATTTTTGTAGTGTGACTATGCCCATCTAACAGTATATTAAATGTCGACGTGTTAGTGGTGAAGTAGGCTATTGCAGCCTAATTCAAGTTCAAGTAAGTTTATTGAGACAAGAAAAAAAATGCATCTCAAAGGGATAGAGTAGCTTAGGCTATTTCTACCCCCCCTACAACCTGATTATGTCCAAAGCTTGCGTGCACATGTAGCCTATTTGTGGCAAAACCTTTCTTTAAATTGTGATCTATTACTTAAACAACTTTTCTAACCCTCAATCATAGTTTTAATACTGAGAAAATGTTATTTTAGTACAGTAATACTTTTCCAAGCCACTGTCCAAGCGGTATAGCCTAATTTCACACTACAGGGAGTACATGCACTGAAAGTCGTTCACTATTTCTCTGTGTACATTATTTTTATTTATTTATTTATATATACAAGAGTTCTTACATTCTTGTACAGCCACTAGCACGCATAGCGTTTCGGGCAAGTCTTTAATACTAATTAAGGGAGAGAGAGAGAGAGAGAGAGAGAGAGAGAGAGAGAGAGAGAGAGAGAGAGAGAGAGACAGACAGACAGACAGACAGACAGACAGACAGACAGACAGACAGACAGACAGACAGACAGACAGACAGACAGACAGACAGACAGACAGAGGAGTACACAGGTGTACACATACCTGGTGGTGTGGGTGGCGGTGTGGAGGGAGAGACGGGCCAGGACACACCCCGGGACCATCACCTTGGGGCACACCACTCTGAAGGCCGCTCCCGCCGCCCCCTGTGTCGCCCCCCGGGGTGTAACAACACTCAGGTTACACTTACACTCATTACACCCATCACCTGGCTACACTCCACACACCTGGCTACACTACACCTGCATACACTACATCTGGCTACACTACACCTGGCTACACTATACCTGGCTACACTCTACACCTGGCTACACTGTGTTAGCAACACTGTTAGATTATTTGTAACAGTGCAAATCGACTCTAAATTTACTGTCAATAAATTTACAGTACATTTCAATTTACAGTAAATTAAAATTGACTGAACTACCAGTTTGTGTAATTGGTCATGCATATACAAGTTGTTACACGTGTTACAGTGATGAGTTACTGGTCGTTAACCTCTTGATGAGTCGAGTGCCATCATTTATCTCAAGGGATGTCACCTCTGCCATGATGAACCATCTAAGATTATTTTTAATTATTATTATTTGTTATATATACAAGAGTTCTTACATTCTTGTACAGCCACTAGCACAGGCATAGCGTTTCACGGAGGTCCTTAATCCTAATTTTCCCCAGAATACGACCCGCCAAATCGTTTAATTAACAACCAAGTACCCGTTCACTGCTGGGTGAACAGAGGCTACGGTTAAGGATTGGCGCCCAGTCGATCCTCCCCGGCCAGGATACGAACCCAGGACAAATCGCTCGGGAAGCGCGGGGGCGAGTGTCTTACCACTACGCCACGGGGATTGCTGTAATAATATAATTATACTAAAATATATTACAACAACAGAATCCAACATGATACCACAAGAAATGAGACATAAGTAACTCGAGGAAACTAATAAAGAAGTCAGAAATGAATTAAGTCAGATGTATCAGCGAGCAGATCAGTAGGAGCCTTGTGGAGGAGTCGAACCCGCACACTTTGTACTCTCAAGCACACGCTCTGACCACTACACCACCACATGGAAAATCAAAGCAACTTGGGGATCAACTGAATCCTCTATGGGTGCTGAGGCTTCCACTAAAGCCTAATCAGGGGTTTCTTCTAGATCAACTCTACACTGACAGTTCATCTAATCCTACCATAATGGCAGTGCTGGAGCAACTTACACTGTAATTAGGGATTATGTCTTTCAAAACGGAAATGAAAAAAACGCGTATTGAGAGGTATTCCTCCTCATTGCAAGCAGAGTTAACTGCCATTGTTATGGTATTATGATTGAAAAACTGGCTGAAAGTCTGTGGACAATCGCTGAAATCAAGAGAGCTGTGAGGATGCTGAAGGAGGCCATGCTACACACACAGGCTCAGAGACAAGTTAGAGGCAGCATCACTGTGCCAAGCTAACTGACGATTGGAGAACAAATCAATGAATCTGTACGCTGGTACAACGTTGTTTACTATTCGCAATCCTAATCATTATGCACGAAAGGGAGGCAGCCGAGGGAGAGAATATATGTTTCGTCTTGAATACAAATTCATATGGAGATTCGAGGAGCGGAGCAGGAGAATCAGTAGTGTAGGTTATGAACTCCGCCTTGGCCACTACCTCAGAGATTGTACCCACCCAAGAGACATTAGAAACATGAGTAGAATAATAATTTGTTGTTTTAGATTTAGCTACTCAGAACGAAGTGTCTATGTAGCACGGACTATAGTGAGCCCGTAACAGAATAATAAGTCTCACATTCTTTAAATAACCCCACTGAAAACCAGAGGTGTAACAGGCACTCACAAAACTCAGTCAACATCAAAGGCCCAAGACTTTTCAACACTCTTCCCCTACACATACGAGGCATAACTGGCCGTCCTGTCACAGTGGTCTAAAGAACAAATTATAAAAGCACTGCTTGTCAGATTTAGTTACTGTCTATAGATATAGATAGGTTAGATATAGATACTGTCCTTGAAACATTCTCCTAATTTGTACCCTCAAGATAAGGTAACTTTAGGAGTTGTTAATATGTTTGATCACGTGTTCACTTGAGGCAGTTAAGCAAGATCCAGGTGTGTAGTGGGTACAAGTGACAGGATGAACTACCTAGAGGGTCTCCTTCCTATTGCTGGAGGGGTGGGGGGGGGAAGATTGCACACTCACAGGCTGCTATAGCAGTATATTCACTCAGGATGAGAGACGCTGCCCACTACTCTCCCTATGGCGGGTTTCAGATTATGTGAGCGTTGGAATTCTTTTGTTCGTGTCAAGGGAACTTCTACATTATAGACATACCGATAGTACATTAGAGATGTACCATCTAAACAGGATGGGTTGTGTAACGGGACTTGTACTCACCCGGAAGATTATGTTACAGGACTCACGTCCACCGATTGCAAACTTGTATTTGATCCTGCTAGTGACGTAGTAAGTCTTCCCGCACACCGCTTCTGTAAGGCGCGAAACGTCAGTTGTGAAGGATGGGCGCGTGGTACAGTAAGGACACGTAGTAAAGTCATGTGGTACAGTAATGTCAGGTGATAAAGTCATGTGGTACAGTAATGTCAGGTGATAAAGTCATGTGGTACAGTAATGTCAGGTGATAAAGTCATGTGGTACAGTAATGTCAGGTGATAAAGTCATGTGGTACAGTAATGTCAGGTGATAAAGTCATGTGGTACAGTAATGTCAGGTGATAAAGCCACTACCCCCCTCCCGCCCCACAGTATCGACACTTCAGGAAGTGTTCGGTCATATCTGAGGACCAACGCCCTGGTCAGGACAGATGAAGCCATGCTCAGCAGATTGGTCTCAGTCATCACCTTTGGCCAGTACCGGGGCTTCAGGAGCCACAGTGTACTTCCCTCTGGGTTCTCGGTGAGGACAGACGCAGGAGCCGAACACGGCTCTTTGGACGACTAGACACAGTTTTGCTGCCTTACAGCAAATAATAGCCGGCGTGTCCTCCGAACAGTGTTGAGAACTAAATCACTGTGTTTTAGTGGTGGGTTTAGCACCTAAAAGTACAAGGGGGAGGAAAAGTTTTGGTTAAGAACTTTTTATTTCCCTAAAAGTTGTTTGACTTACTTTTCCTTATCTTCTTTGTGTTCTGTTTGTCGTGTGGCCGTATCCTCCGCCACCACGCGGGCCGAAGCTGAACCAGACCTTTCCTCTCCTTTGATCGTCTGGCCCGGGACTCTCTCCCTGGACCTGGTCTCTCAGGAGCTGCCGTTGAAAGGGACACTCCCTCAGCTTCTCTAAGAAGAGATCCGACCTCCGTCGCTGGTCTCAAGAGGTCAAGGAACGTGGTGTTCTTGCTGTGGAGTCCCGCTCGCCCAAACCCTTCCTGGAAGAGTCAGAATCATTTCTTACCACGCCAGTCTTGTAATTCCTTCCCTTGTCAACGGTTAAGAAGAGAATGCGGACGACAAAGGTGAAAAATATAATGATGGTTATGATGAATAACGCTAGGATATCTCCAGTCTGTGTTGGTCATGATTGACGCCCCGTCAACACCACCTCCATACCGTTCCGCTTCATATTTCCTCACCTGTCGGATAAGGTTTAGAACACAGCTAGAATCAACTTACCGGATCCTGTGTGTGAGGAAGGGTGTCAGCAGAGGCGAAGGGGCTATCAGATGTGGCACTCTGTGAGGCCCCAGGAGTCAGTGCCACAGACATCACCACCAGCAGCACCCGCCCCACACACCGAGCCTCACCAAACATCCTGGCACACCCCGGGGGCTGGCACTTGGCACCGCTCGACACGATCACCTCCTACACCTGCAAGGAAGGTGTAATTGCCTTGTTTACATATGTGTATATGTCTATGTTCACCCATGTGTGCTTTAGTAGTCAGAGATGCTGTTTACCTCAGTATACTAGCGTCAGGTCACTGGCCAGGGTCCACAGCAGTGGGGAGTATTGCAACGTGATTATCAACACCGCTGCATCATTTTAACGCATCAGTCACACATCCATATGTAGCAGGCGCATTAAAACCACTCGGTCGGGCCTCGTTACATACACTCTCACATGGGTACGTGGCCCCTCCTCGTAAACAAAGGCCAATTAAGGGGTTGTTAAGCCAGCTGCCAAACACCCTGTTTATGAATGAAAAACACGGTACACAAGCGGTCCTCAGACTAGACTCGTCCATAAGGTAACTCGCCCACAAAAACACATTCGCCAATTTAAAAATGATTGTTAGATTTATATAATTAGTTTATTTCTTAACTATATAGTACTATTATATACTAGAATTCTGTGTGTAGATGGGTGTAGGTTAGGTGTTTAGGTTCTGTTGGCGATTATTCGTATTGATGTGGGTGAAGCATTTTTACAGCGTTGTGGTCTGAACAAAAGTCGTTAATTGCGCACTTATTCAAGAGGTGTTCGAACGTCTTCAGGTATGAGTCGTGGGTAAACCGGTTTTCATTCATAAACAGTGTGTTTGTCGGCTGGATTAATGAGTATTTGGCCTTTGTTGATGAGAACGGAATGTTAAGCATTGCTTCGCTGGTGACCTCTGTTCAAATCATCAATGTTGCAGCCACGTACTACAAATACAAATAATTGCCAATAGAACCTAAACACCTAACCTGACCTACAGATATGTATGTATGTGTATATATATATATATATATATATATATATATATATATATATATATATATATATATATATATATATACACACAACAGTTTTGGATGAGGTGAAAACAAACTTTCAACACAAGACAGAACACGAAACAATGGGTATAATATTTTGTAAGTTAAAGGGAAGAATGGAAGTAACTGCAAAGGGCCTATTGGTCCATATTTCTTGATGCTTCTATATTGGTGCGGAGTCTTAAAGTGGGTAGAATATAGTTGTGCATTAATTGGCTGTTGATTGCTGGTGTCGACTTCTTAATGTGTAGTGCCTCGCAGATATATATATATATATATATATATATATATATATATATATATATATATATATATATATATATATATATATATATATATTATATATATATATATTATATATATATATATATATATGTAAGGTAACGGGTGTGTGAAGCTATATAAGGTGAGAGGGGCGTGGTTCTGGTGAATAAATCATGTCATCCATGCTTGACTCCGGTCCACTACCTGTATCTTGAGTTAATTATAAGATACTCGGTCTCTGATGTGTGTGCTAATGCGTCTAGTTCAGGTTCCTGATGTGGAGATATTAATCAAATGTATTATGTTCAGAGCTTATCAATGTCGCTTGCCCGTAAATAATTTTGGTGCCTTGTATGCTTTGGAAAATGAGTTTCTGGGTATGTGTGTGTGTACTCACCTAGTTGTCTTTGCGGGGGTTGAGCTCTGGCTTTTTGGTCCCGCCTCTCAACCGTCAGTCAACAGGTGTACAGATTCCTGAGCCTATTGGGCTCTATCATATCTACACTTGAAACTGTGTATGGAGTCAGCCTCCACCACATCACTTCCTAATGCATTCCATTTGTCAACCACTCTGACACTAAAAAAGTTCTTTCTAAAATCCCTGTGGCTCATTTGGGCACTCAGTTTCCACCTGTGTCCCCTTGTGCGTGTGCCCCTTGTGTAAAATAGACTGTCTTTATCTACCCTATCAATTCCCTTCAGAATCTTGAATGTGGTGATCATGTCCCCCCTAACTCTTCTGTCTTCCAGCGAAGTGAGGTTTAATTCCCGTAGTCTCTCCTCGTAGCTCATACCTCTCAGCTCGGGTACTAGTCTGGTGGCAAATCTTTGAACCTTTTCCAGTTTAGTCTTATCCTTGACTAGATATGGACACCATGCTGGGGCTGCATACTCCAGGATTGGCCTGACATATGTGGTATACAAAGTTCTGAATGATTCTTTACACAAATTTCTGAATGCCGTTCGTATGTTGGCCAGCCTGGCATATGCCGCTGATGTTATCCTCTTGATATGTGCTGCAGGAGACAGGTCTGGCGTGATATCAACCCCCAAGTCTTTTTCCTTCTCTGACTCCTGAAGAAGTCAGGAGTCAGAGTTTTCCTTCTCTGACTCTCCTGTGTGTGTGTGTGTGTGTGTGTGTGTGTGTGTGTGTGTGTGTGAGCTTCGTTTGTTTTCCTAGTATTCAGTTTGCATCTCGTTATGCTGAAGCTTCCAATATGGGCCAGAGAGTCCATAACTCTGTGTCGTAAACCACGCAAAAGGTATCTCTCACTCTCATCTCTCTCCCTCCCTCTCTCTCTCTCTCTCTCTCTCTCTCTCTCTCTCTCTCTCTCTCTCTCTCTCTCTCTCTCTCTCTCTCTCTCTCTCTCTCTCTCTCTCTCTCTCTCTCTCTCTCTCTCTCTCTCTCTCTCTCTCTCTCTCTCTCTCTCTCTCTGTCTCTCTCTCTCTCTCTCTCTCTCTCTCTCTCTCTCTCTCTCTCTCTCTCTCTCTCTCTCTCTCTCTCTCTCTCTCTCTCTCTCTCTCTCTCTCTCTCTCTCTCTCTCTCTCTCTCCCTCTCTCTCTCTCTCTCTCTCTCTCTCTCTCTCTCTCTCTCTCTCTCTCTCTCTCTCTCTCTCTCTCTCTCTCTCTCTCTCTCTCTCTCTCTCTCTCTCTCTCTCTCTCTCTCTCTCTCTCTCTCTCTCTCTCTCTCTCTCTCTCTCTCTCTCTCTCTCTCTCTCTCTCTCTCTCTCTCTCTCTCTCTCTCTCTCGAGGAATTTAGACATAACACCATCAGTGGAGTTCAGTAAGTGTGTAAGTACTTCTTTCATAATGATGTACTGCCAGGAATCTTAGCGAAGTATCCAAAATTTGCTTACTGTAGGTGCAGCCTGCACATGACTGTAAAGCTGCCGCCCAGTTGGGTGGGTGTGGAGCACATGACTGTAAAGCTGCCGCCCAGTTGGGTGGGTGTGGAGCACATGACTGTAAAGCTGCTGCCCAGTTGGGTGGGTGTGGAGCACATGACTGTAAAGCTGCCACCCAGTTGGGTGGGTGTGGAGCAAGACTAGTAACTGCGTGACTCACCATAGATGTAAAGTGCCTTGTATAGTGACTGTTGTGGGCCCTCTTGTTGAATCACTTGTGATATAAAAAGATTATATGATATGTATATATATATATATATATATATATATATATATATATATATATATATATATATATATATATATATATATATATATATATATATATATATATATATACATGTGTATGTAACATTAACAATTGTGTAACTAGCGTCAAAAGATTGTCACTTGCTTAGCTAAACGAACTATGGAGTTCAGTCCCTGAACCCATTATGTGCCTCTGTAACCCTTTCCACCACCACCCACTGGATGGGTATGGGGTGCATAATAAAGAAAATGGTGTGAGTGTGTTTGTGTCGGGTGCTGGCGCAAGAGCAGCCCTGGTAAACATTGTTACCTTCACAGTTACTCGTTCTTCTTCTTCTTGTTGTATTGGTGGCGAGGATAGATGGAGTGTGTAAGTTGTGGAGAGTTTAGTTTTGTTTTCAGTAACATGAGGGTTTAGGGAGTGAGGTGGTGGAGGGGCAGAGAGGGAACTGGAGGAGGAGGAGGAGGAGGTGGAGGATAAGTATGGAGTACTCACCTAGTTGTGCTTGCGGGGGTTGAGCTCTGGCTCTTTGGTAAGTGCGGAGTGTGATATGAGGGCTGTGTGCAGAGAAAAGTTTGCTGGTAAAGTGTTATGTTAGGTAGTTTAGTCTTCTGTGCCTTTCCCTGTTGTGGCCGAGAGTGCTTTACTCTCACTGGAATTATTCAGTTGAGGATTGTCACCTTTCTATTTACCTCTGCTGCTTCTTCTCTCTTCCTTCATCACATTCCTCTCAAGCAATATTGTTTCTGTATCTTGGTACATTTACAAGTTTGCACTTCTTTATTGTCTCGTTTGTGAGCACTATCTTTATCAGTCGATTTCTTGCCTTCTTGTACCTGCCTAACTTGAAAACCCGCTCTACGTTGTTCTTGGCTCCTCCATCTGTATTCCCAGCAGGATCCCTCCACTTGGAAGTCTGTCGTTCTCTCTCCACTCCTGTTTGGATCCCTTCTCTTCCTTAAGTTATACCAAGTTACAGTATTGATGAACTAGTTTGCTAACATAAATTACCAGTCTATTCACATTTTGATTAATGAACATGACGGTTACAGAGGAATATGAGTTTAGGAACTGAACTGAATTGATGTTCTGTTGGCTAAGCAATTTTTATTTGCAATGTACCAGTTACAGGCCATACAGCCTAAAAATCTATGATACAGTTACAAAGATAATGATAAAGTTACAGTACTGTATATGGAGAATGAGCCGTTATAAGGGTAGAGGTGGTGAGGGGGAGGAGGTACGGGGCAAGTGCAGTAGTAAATGATGAACTCGGAGGTAAGAAAGCAAGCAAAAGAGGGAAGGAGAGTAATTGCAGAGAAGTAAACAAACGAGAAGCAAGACAGACAACAGGAAAATAAAGCAATTTGTATCCCAAACTTACACTTGCAGAAGATCTGTGTGGAACTTTTAACAATGAACTGTTGCAAGCATCCCCTCCCTCCTTCCCCTCCCCCCTTACCACAGGCAATCAAAAAAATGCTCTATATTATTAATTTTATAGGAGGCACTAGAAAGTAGACAATAACCAAATCTACTCTTCCCAAGGACTAGTATAGCAGGTATATATCCTAATTTATCCCCGAGATGCCGTATAATAGACCTAGGATTATTATTTAGTCCTAGGACAGGTTAGGTCAGTTTGTATTGTCACTGTTACACTTTGCAGCGTGGCTTTGGAATTATTCCAGTAGA